TGGTTGCAAATTAGCTATTGTCATAAATTTAAAAAGAATAATAGTGCTGCACCCTGTTGGCAAATCTATTAACTTTTTAATGCTATTGAACATCACAGAATCAAATTGTTTAGTTGAACATGGTTGAACGTTAAACATTGAACCATAGCCAAATAGAATTTTTCCTATTTGTCTTTGGTTGAACCAGCTGTTAAGATTCTTTAATTCCATTTAAATATGAGTACTCATAAGGTTAACATGGGAAACTCCAGAGCCACTGGGCATAGGCGGATCTAGACCCCAAAATGTGGGGGGCTAAGTCTGGATGCCGGGGGGTCTGGGGGGTATGGAATACCCTTCAGGGCGAAGGGGGACCGGGGGTGGTCCCCCGAAAATTTGTGAAAAATATCAGCTCCAAAGACGTTTAGGCTATCTGGGAATCAACATTAAATGAATTACGGATTCAGTGAACATGGTGAACATACTTGAAGGGCCTTGTCTAACTAGCCAATTTGGATTTTTTGGATGATGAAAATCTTCTACGACCAAGTAGACATCATCATTAACTGCCTCGAACGTCATCGTCGCCGTTCGCGATCGTGGCAAAATTATGATCATTTCCCGCGTCCGCGTAGACATTATCATTGACTCTCGCGGCCACGGAAACGTCACCGGTGTCGTCTGCGATGATCGCGGCAAATTTATGATCATTTCCCGCGGCCGTGTAGACATCATCATTGACTCCCGCGGCCATTAAAACGTAATCGGCGTCCTCTGCGATGATCGCGGCAAAATTATGATCATTTCCCGCGGCCGTGTAGACATCATCATTGAATCCCGCAGCCACGGAAACGTCATCTGGATTCGTTTGCGATGATCACGGAAAAATCATGAAAATACCCGACTTTCATATCAAAATAAAGACTAAATCCCGACTTTTCCAGACCGATTTGAAATTCAATACTAATTCCCTCCTTGCCAGTTTTTTCCAGACTACTAGACACCATAAAAATAATAAATTTTATTTACAAATATCAAACTTTGAGGTTGCTATTATTTTTTTTATTAATTTTCCTAACTTAACCAATAAGAATGTGAATCCTCATATCTGGGGGAGCTTAGCTCCCCCATGCCCCCCCCCCTTCTGCCACCACTGCTACTGGGGTGGAGCCCTTTTAACGGATCTGCACCAAACCACAGAAAACATACTACTATATAAGTAGTGTGTTTTCCTTGACCAAACTTCACACAAACCATCCTTGAATAATGCTTAATAATGCCTGAAAGTTTCATTACAATCTGTCGAGCGGTTTCGGAGTCCATAAAGGACAAACAAACATACATACATTGAATTTAATATATATAGATACAGGGAGGAAATGAAGAGTGTTTGACAGAAATTCAAATGAAAATTACGAAAATATGTTTGAAAAATTACGTTAAAAGGTTAAACAAAAAAAAACTAATTTGAGATAAATGTTAGACCAAAACATCTACTGTGTTTTCAAAGATAGAACAACTTTCACAAACTAAACCTTTGAATACTGAAAGATTCATACTGTATCCATAAGTCAACGGCCAAACTTTCTACCAAATTAACGCCGTACAACTTTTTGTCTATGGTGCAACACATGAATGTTCAAAAATGTATCAAAAATGTTGGTAAAAAGTAACGGAAAACAACATGATTTTCCTCTATGCGTTATGTGAAACTTGGGCTATAAGGGTTAATCGTCCGTAATCAATGGTATGTTTGGAGGCCTTGTGAGAATTTATGCCTTCTAAGGTTGGCTATATGAGCTGCTTTCGTTTCAGACCCCATATTTCTCTTCCTCAATCCTCATCCGTTCTTGAACTTCAAGTTTTACTTCTTAAAAGTTTTAAATTAGGTTAGGTCAGGAACCAAAACCAAGTTTAATCGATAGGCCTACTCCAAAAACAATAATTGTGTGTTGAATTTACTTGAAAATCTATTGTGATCTATAGTTCTATTTACTAGATATAACAACGAAAGTAATACCAATATAATTTCATTGACTATAATACCCACATTATACCATGACATTAAGTCTTAGGCCTACTATTTTCTAACCTCTATCTAATCTAAAAATTTTTATCTGCATGAGTTTACTCTGGTAAGTAAATATTGATGAGTCAAGTAAAACAACCTGATTACTAAGCTACTAAGCTTAATTTTAGTATGTTTAGTAGAATTACACAGTACAGTATTAAGTTAATACTTAACTTACTTGGTAATGGATTGGGATGTACAACTATATTCTAAAAACTTGGATATAGCCTAACTTGAAAAATAGCCTTCTTGGCTCCATAGAAACCAAAATGGATTGTTGATCTATTGGGATGAGCATTGATAGGTCAACCATCGATGGTATCGACGTCAACCATCAATGTACCGATAACATCGTTCCGAAAACATCAATGTTATTTTTTTCAGTTTTTTGTCTGCTCTCTGTGGGTACTTTCCAGTAATGGAAAATATCGATATCTCAATACTTGGCAAAAAACATCGAAGTTTAAAAAACATCCTACCATCAATGTAACTTAAAATTATCAAACCTTGATGTTTTCTCATCCCTATTGTTCTTAAGCTAATCCATCTTAGCAATATTTAAAATTGAAGTTTATTCCATTCAAAAATTATAGGCCTTAACTTAATACACATTTTAGTGAATTTCCCATAATATAGGGAATAAGCTTTTACCGTAGGTCTCATGTTAAGACCTAGACCCGGGACCGATTTACATTTTTGTTTTGAGGTCCCCAGAGGCAAAAAAAAAACCTCCGTTCAAATTCATATCTTATATAGGCCCATTTAAAAAAATTGGTTTTTCTTTTCCGAGTTTGTTTGGCTCTTCTACCCGACCGATCTTCATGATTGAGGTCTCAAATTGAAGGTATGCACGCACAGATTTGCCATCAAGCATCGGCATATAATTATCTATAATCTCACACGGCTTATACATATACGAAATTTGCTTCCCATGTATTTCTTATGGGAGTCAAATTTGGTTTCTCTTTGCCGAGTTCGTTTGGCTCTTCTACCCGACAGATTATCATGATTGAGGTCTTAAATTGAAGGTATATACGCACAGATTTGCCATCAAGCATCGCCATATATTTATCTATAATCCCACTCGGCTTATACGTAATTGAAATTTGATCCTCATGTATTTCTAATGGGAGTTAAATTTGGTTGTTATTTTCCGAGTTCGTTTGGCTCTTCTACCTGATACATTTTCATTATTGAGGTCTCAAATTTAAGTCTTGCACGCAAAGATTTCACATCAAGCATATAGGCCTACTTACTTACTTACTGTATTACTCGAGTAAAAAAATAGTTTGATTATTTTCGAACTCTAAAATCAATTTAAGATGTTTTTGACCAGTTATAATTATATAATCCTATATAATTTGGTCTAAGATCTTTCAGTGAAATATCGGCTTTTATTTAAGCGATTAAGATACCGTACTGTATTACTCAATCAAAAATCATAAATTTGATTTTTCTCTCGGATATTATATTTATTTTAACGCTGCGGAGCAGCATGGGTCCTCTAGTTTATATTAAGATTTATATATATATGTGTCCGTTAGCGCAATAACTCGAGCAAAAATTACCGTATCCGATTTTGATGAAATTTGGTTCAAATGTGTAAACCTACGGTACGTTTATTAGAACAAGTTCGCATACCGTACCAGCATGATCGGTCTATGGGAAAGGGGGTTTATGGGGTAAAAATTGGTTTTTCCTATTTACGACCCTAAAAACACAAAATTTCACAATTTCTTTCCATACAATTTGTCAAGCGGTTTTGGAGTCCATATACATACATACACATACATACATACATCCTATTTTATAGATAGGCTATAGATATTAATAGGCAAGCATGTTTCTTTAAAACCTTTTTCTCAGCTCAAGTGCATTGCAGGGAAAGACGCGTACTGTTAGAAAGGTCCTGTAGATGTGCAGATTCCCTTTAAAAATTAAAATAGGCTAAAAAAAATGAATTTAAAATTTTAAATAAATAACATACTTTATGGGTTGTTATGCTGGTGGCGAAATAACAACAAAATATAAACGGAAAATAAAAGAAATAGAATAAATTCCAATCGCATGTTTTATTTACAGCGTGGGTTGCAAAGAAGTCTGTAAATTATATATTTTTGCTTGAGTTTTCGACCACTGGACGACAGTATTGATTAATAGGCAAACATGATTCTTTAAAACCTTTTTTCTCAGCTCGTGTGCATCGCAGGGAAAATCTACGCATACTGTTAGAAATATAAGTTTCTGTAGATGTATAGAATAAATTAAAATAGGCTCGAAAATAAGCAAAATTTAAAGTTAAAAAAAATTACCATGGGCCTTATGGGTTGCCATCATGGTGACGAAGTAACAACGAAATATAAACAGAAAATCAAAACAAATGTAAGAAATTCTAATCACATGTTTTATTTACAGCGTGCGGTAAAAATAGAGAAGTTTGCACAATACATATTTTAATAATAACTCGCTTCGTGGAGTTTTCGACCACGAAGCGACCACTAGTTGAGATAGATCGATGGATAAGAAATAAGTTAAACAGTGTATAATTACAATCATTAAAATACAATAATAATTACAATCCGTAGTGGCTTCGTCTATTAGTGAACAAGGATGAGAAAGATCTAAAAGTCTAGTTTTTGAACTGGATTTAAAACCTCTTATCATAACCTATAAGCTCACTAGCACTCCTATCTAGATTTTATTACACTAATGGATTTGTGTTTTTAACCATATTCTATGATATAAATAGGCAGCTATATTTAACTTAATTAAATTATATTTATTTATTAAAAATACATGCTCAAAAACAACTACATTAGGTATGACTTGATAGGAATATAAAACTTAAAACATTTTAAAACATATCTTTTAACTATAAAATCTAGAAGACTTAAGGCCTCTTATAGAATAAGGGTTTAAAGACGTGGCCAGAAAACGATTGCCTTTACAGAAATCTACAATGTTTTGGACCCCAATAATCCTTCCTCCCGACCCAACCACCATTCCTACCCTCAGCCCATTAGCGGAGAGTGTCCTTGCGATGATCAGGCAGGAGAGCTCAACTGTAGGAGGAAGCAGATGGCATCAGAGCAGCAGACTAGGAGGAAACAGACAGCAAGGGTCTCACAGCCGAGCTACAGGCTCGGATTCATTGCATGACACTCATTGGAACCCAATGTAAGTTTTATAAACAGTAAGGATCCATCTGGTTGTTTCCATTACTTATGTACATTGTCTCAACTTCTGTACATTATTTAATTGATTGCCTTGAAGTATCATGATTTATCTCTATAACATTTATTGGGATGAATTTTTATAAATACATACAACAAGGGTCAATCAAAAGTCATGCAAGACTTGAAGCTATCACTTTAGGTTGTTCGCTTTGAGAGGTTAATAACTTCTCGCTTCCTATAAGTTATCCTCTGTGGTCAAGAGCTTTTTAAGTCTTTGTACAATTGGAAAACATTGACTGAACCAGAAAATTGTGTCAACCTCATTATGATTTTGTGTAATATAACTCATTCTAATACTTACTGTACTAAACTTTAAACTGTAGGCTACATACCGTACATTTTTAATGCTTTAAAATTTAATTTTTAGCCAAGTTTGATGCATATTTATGTAGGACTGGAAGATGTCAACTGATCCAACCCCAATTAAAAAACTTTTAAGGCTCCCTTTGAATACATTAGCCTACAAACTATTTACTTTACACAAACATCTTTTTTGAAAATACAAAAATGTAATAGTATATTTCATAACAAGAGTAGAAAGTGCTGAGTAATTACATATTTGAGACCATGTTTGAAACAGTGTGAGATTTATCTAGCACTTTAAATGGTTGAAAATATGTATAGACCCACTTTCACTCGTGTTTTGAACGTTACGTTTTGCTACACTACAAAGACTAATTATTTTCTTGAAAATTAAAAGAAACTCATAGTATTTTTCAGGTTAGGCCTATAGCTTCAATTTAAAGTTAATATTTACTTTGGTTGTATAGTTTTGGTAGTTAAAAATTAAAACAAATGACAAATCAATAACAAATCTTTGTTTACGTTGGCAAAATCCAAAAAAGACAGTAAACATTACTTTTGCATAGTAAACATTCTTTTGCCGTAGTAAACAATGTAATGATGAACTTTCGCAGGTGATAAACATTTAATGAAAACAGGTCATTTCACAGTGTAGCGAAAAAGATTTTTTAAAATATTTTGTCAAGCTGGTCCATGTATACTATTATAAACTTTTTGCACTATTACAACACACATATATAAAAATGAGTTTTTCGGCCCTCCCTATATTGTTCACACTAAATGTGTAAAATGTCTCTTACATTGATTTTCCTTTAAATATTTTATATTCTGAATTACTTTTAATCTTTTTTAGTCAACCCATTTTTTGTCACTTCATTATGAAATGGTATATTTTTTATTGCAGAAATGTCCCAAGAACCAGAAGGGATGATGTTTATGAAGTCTCTGACGATTGGGATCATCAAAGTTCAGTTGGGATGAATTCTATACCAAATATCACTCGACAACTTGCAAAAAACTATGATAACTCAATTTCCATCAGTGATATCCCAACATTCTCAATGGCTTCCTTGCCTAATACAAGACTCAATTCAGGTGGTCACCATGCGACCTACACTAAGTTTCAAGAAGATAATATTTCTTCACAATCCTACCCTCACATTCAATCACGCCAAAGTAAACAGATAATACCCCACAATAATCCATATGAACCTTTTGATGTAATCAGGAATAACATTAAAAGTACATTAAACAATAGAGATCAAACTTTTAATTTAAGTCCTGACATGGAGTTTGATGATTTGAAAATTTACTCTTGTCCGTTTGACAAACAAGATGAATGCCCTCCAATCAAGGTATTTGACCAAAAACCAGATCTCAATATGTCTTTGACAGTGAAAAACAGGATAAATTTCAAAGAAATCAAACCAAGACCTTTGCAAAAGCGCGGAGTACAAATTGATTCCTCTCTAACATCGGGAAAGCAAGCAAAAAGGGTTGCACCAAACCAATTAGGACTGCTTGACCAGACTTTTGATTTTACCAGTGTAAATAATGTTCCAAAATTTAAAACAAAACTGGCAACCTTTAAAAATATTCCTTTAGCAAAACCAAACTCAGATATGGCTGTTGATAAAAATAAAAACTATAATCAAGGCATTTGTCAAGGTGATTTATTAAATATGAATAATTGTAGGAAAGTAAACTTATATCAAAACAATATTGAAGATCATGGTTCCAATAATCAAAATAGATTCAGTGGTGAACAAAAAATGTTTGATGTTAATGATGTTTTCAATGAGAGCTTAGACAACAACTATACTATGGAAGAAGATAATATGCGAGCAAAATTGCCAAATGTTGAAAATGATTTGAGGACAGAAATACCAGCATCATATGTGGAAAAGAATCATGCAACACATATGTCCAAAACCTTTAAAGAAAATTTCTTGATGGATCATCAAAATCAAGAGGCTGAAGTTTGGACAAAACGTGATGCATTAAAATTGTCCAGGTTTGCAATTAGCAGTTCAGATTATGATCAGCAAAAACTGTCAATAAATAGTTTAGAGAGAACACATCAAGAAAACTATATTCAACACAGGTGCAACTCATTCCAAAAAAGAGTAACTGACGCAACCAAGCCGAAGCAAACGGCAGAGTTAAATTCATTTCATCCTCTACAAAGCTTTGAAAACAACGTATGTACAAAGCCATCCTATAAAAAACAATTAGATTTTTCACAGGATATTTTTGCAAAAACACAAGAAAGCTTGGATCATTCCCAAAACAATATAAATGACATTGAAGCAAATCAGTCAGAAGAATTAAGTCTTCCGCCTTATCAAAAGCCGGTTGAAAATACAAATGAAATTGAAACAAATCAGCCAGAAGAATTAAGTCTTCCACCTTATCAAAAACCGGTTGGTAATAATGTTTCACCTACTTTTGATGTTGATGATTTATTTTCATTGGATGATAAAACTCTTGACCATTCTTCAATTATGTTTGAGAAGAATTTTGAAAACACAAACAAATCAGCAATTAGCAATCAAGTTAAGTGTTTGCCTTTTAATGAACAAACTGGAATTACAAACATACTTGCATCGACAAATAAACCTGCAGAAGAATTTAAGCTAAATAGTAATTTAGACCCTCATCCTATATCGAAGATACAAAATATTGATCCAATCTCATTAAATAATGAAGACACTAATTTATGTTCTCCAGTCCTCAAGTCTCAATACTTTGAAAACTATAATGGAAATTCCAGTACAAACAATCAACAAGTCTCTTTTGAGACCAAAAACATGAAACGAAACAATAAACTACCTGATAAAGAACGAGTTAATAAAGAGAATGATAAAAAAATTACCATGCAAACTAACATAAAAAATGGAAGTAAACTAGCAGTGGACATGGGCAAAAGAAATGTTACAGCAAAACCTCTAAAGCAAAGAACCCTTTTTGAGTGCCGAAAAATCCCACCAGAAACAAACAGTTTAGATTCTGTCGCAAGGAATGGCAACGAAACACATGTGAATACCTCTTTAAAGGGAGATCAATTCAAGAAACCTTTAGCACCAGTAAGAATGGGTAAAACTAGCTCAAAACTAAATAGTGTGAAGAATAAGGTATCGCTAAATAAAAATTTAGATAATATTTCCAAAAATGACAGCACCGGAAATGGGTTTTTGCAAGGTAACACATCTCTAGAAGAGATCAAACAGAAGTGTGATCCGTCCAAATTGGTACAAACAAGTTTAATCAAGAATGAACCTGTCAAAAGAAATGCTAAAGATACCTCAGCAAAGAAAAGTAAAAAGCCTTGTTTTGTACCACCAATATCCGCATCTCATTTGACTTCTAAGGTACAGTACAGATTTGAACTTTCATTACATGCGTATGTCATTTTTAGACCAAGGAAATTTTTCTTTTAGCGAATTTCCCTATAGGGAAGTAGCTATACCGTAGGTGGCACGGTAAGACCTAGACCCGGGACCGATTTACTTTTTCATTTTGATGTCCCCAGAGGCCAAAAACACCATTCGTTAAAATTTTTATATGTGTATATATATATATATATATATATATAGATTTATATATATATATACTAGCTGTAACCCGCGGGCTTTGCCCCGTTTAACTTCTTAATTTTCAAGATGATCTCGTTCGCATGGCTCAATCACGTCCTGGTTGAAGTTTGTTCGCTACGCTCACTCACCTTTAGGTTGGAGCTCGTTCGCTACGCTCACTTGCCTTCAGGTTAGCTCGTTCGCTACGCTAACTCGCCTCCAGGTTGAAGTTCGTTCGCTACGCTCACTCACCTTTTGGTTGCAAATTAGCTGTTGTCATAAATGTAAAAGAAATAATAGTGCTGCACCCTGTTGGTAATCCTTGTAACTTTAATGCTATTGAACATCATAGAACAGAACCAACTTGTTTAATTGAAACAGCTGTTAAGATTCATTAATTCCATTTCTCATAAGGTTAACATGGGAAACTCTGGGGCGGAGCCGATTGGACGGATCACGTAATTGATGGTGTATAAACCTATTCCATGAAATTCTACACGTATGTACCAAGTTTCGTGGCAATCGGTTCAGCGGTGTCTGAGTTTATCACTGCCAAACAAATATATATAAGTGATTGATAATAGGTGATTGATATAAGTGTGCCAGCCGTTTTATTCAAAAACTATAAGAGATATCAAAAAAAGTTAAATGGTAAGTGCCTTGGATTTTTTATTTAAAAAATTGTAGTCAAGTCCAAAAAATTATTTTAGCCGCCATTTTTCCAATATGGCCGCCAACTTTGATTTTTCTTATGGAACACCCTGTATTTTATTATGTATTCTGGTAGAAAAAGTAATTTTAAGACGATTTTATTCTTGTCATTTTTTTAATAAACCTAACCGTTTCAAAGATAATAATGGTTTAAGTTGTAAAATTTTGAATGGTTTTCGAACAAAACAGCTGGCATGCTTGCTTAGGCCTTTATCGAAACTCTTTCTCATGCCGAAATTTCAAAACTTTAACCATTGTTATCTTTGAAACGGTTAGGTTTATGAAAAAAATCACAAGAGTAAAATCGTCTTAAAATTACTTTTTCTACCAGAATACATCATAAAATACAGGATGTTCCGCAAGAAAAATCAAAGTTGGCGGCCATATTGGAAAAATGGCGGCTAAAATAATTTTTTGACTTGACAACAATTTTTTAAATAAAAAATCCAAGGCACTTACCATTTAACTTTTTTTTTAACTCTTATAGTTTTCGAATAAAACGGCTGGCACACTTATATCAATCACCCTGTATATACAAACATCCTCTTTTATACTTATAAGATACGCTCGTGAACGCGATAACTTGAGTAATTTTTGCCCGATTTTGATGAAATTTGGTTTAAAGGTGTAAAGGGGGATAAACTTGAAAGAGTTCGCGAACCAGCATGATCGGACAATGGGAACGGGTCTTTACGGGGGGTTTTATGGGGTAAAAATTGTTTTTTCTCACTTTTGACCCTGAAAACACAACATTTCCCAATTTCTCTTTAGACCTTTTTAAAGAGCTTAAAAAAACAACTAATTTAGTATATAAAAGTATTTTTGCTCGGTTATTAGTAACGGAGAAAATTTAAAAAATTGTAAATTTAAAATTTCCATGTTATTCATATGGAGAATATTGTCAAATGTTGTAGTTTGTTTGTTTATGGATATAATTTGATCAAACTTGGCAAATTTATTTATTTTGTACCAAGCTATCAATATTTTACTAAAAAACATACTTTATTAGTTTCCTTGTAGCAGCAAACCTAGGTACTCGTTAAACCTAATGTTATTAAAATATATTTAATAGAAAATCAATTCAGACAAATGAAAATTTGCTTAGTCGGCAGGTTTGCTGCGGCGGGGGTATTTATTTATATCACAAAGTACAAAACTAAGTTATAGTCTAAAGTTGGATTCAAACTTCACATCAAATCAAGAGGTTAAATTATAACACAGTTTTCCCTCCATGGAACTAGTAAATATTTGTTGAGGGAGTAAGCAATGGTTTATTGCAGAAAACCTTTGGTGATTTATTATTAAAAAATTTGAGGTTCTAGAAAAGGTAAATTTTGTCAGTATTCATGTTCACTTATTTTGATATGTTTTTTACCATATTCCATCTGTGATAATGTTAGAAATTTTGTCCCTCAATATCACAGGTGTAACAATGAACATATGTTCATTGTTACACCTGTGATAACCATTAGCCTTTTTAAGAAAGACCAACTGTCATTCATAATTTAAGTTTGTTAAGTTTGCCTATTTTTAAAATTATTTTAAACCTGTTAAATGTTAAACTAAGGGCAGCCTATATTTTGGAATTTTCATGTCAAATTTTATTAATTATATAAGTATTGCATCTTATATCTTTTACAATAATAATGACAATGTCAATTTCAATAATGTATTGTTTAAAGACTGAATAAATTACTATTCAATGACTATGACTATTCAATGACTATTGAATTGGCCTTGATCTACTTTGCTGTGTTCATAATCAATGTTAAATGTTCCCGCTAAGGACTGTTTTTAAGGTCATTTTGGTTTTTTTCATAAACTTTTTTATAAAATGGAATGGAAATAGTTCAAATAAGTTGAGCTCAAAAATCCAGGAAGCGAGAATTATCAAATAAAAACTATTAAGAACGTCTTTTTCAATTAGAAATGGTCTAAATATAACTTGGATAGGGCCTATTTGTTAAGAAAAACTATGTGAATGTAACTGTGGCTTTTGTAGGATGTGCCGTTGAATCACCACACAATAAATGTTCTTGACGACGTCAATGCTAATCAAGTTCTCCAGAAACTTAACACTGAAAAGATTAACAACATAGTCACCACTGTGACATTCAGGTAAAAGAGTATTTGAAATTTTGTGCAATGTATTTTCTTTGATTTTTTATAAATGTGGATTGCCGTTTCATTTATAATTTATAAGGGGTTTTTAGTGTTGCGATTTTGTCTCGCTATAGGTATTTCACTTACTGGTACTATTGTATCCCAAAAAAAAGTAGTGGGTGAAGAGGAACAATGGGCTTATTTCGTGCCAATGTTTTAACTTTCTGTATTCGCTAAATCAGTGCTAATTTTCCCCTCCCTCCACAATTTTACAACATGTATGTGCTTGTGTCACTGCCTAATGGCGTGCTTGTCACACCTCATTTTGCATTCTACAGCAAAATTAAGAACTACCTTAAATAGTAACCAAAGCTGAAGTGCACTACTGACATCAAATTATTTTCTTAGTAACCTGTAAGACAATTACTTCTCTGTGATTGTGGCTATTTAAAAATGTTGGTTAAAGACAGATGCATGCATAATTAAAGATTAATTGTACAATACAGAAATTATTTTGTTTAGGGGTGAGTCTATGCAAACTATAATTATTCATTTATATAAAAAATGTTTACTCTGAAGTCTTACAACAACCATAGCTGCCTGGGTAGGCCTAATAGTAAAAAATCATGTCAATTCAATTGTTTTTATTTTTTGCATCATGATTTTTCAGTTATTAGGTACTCTTTTTCTTTCAAATTGGTAATGCAATTTTGTAACTTTATACTCAGGGAAGGGTACACATTGCTCAATAAACCTGAAGAACAGAAGAAGAACTCTAGATGTTTTCCGTCAGGCGTGATGCACATGCTTGCCTGGGAGTCAGGACGGCAGGGTTATTATTGGCTTCCACTGTCAGATCCTGCGGCGATCACTCCTGCGGTGGTCAAGCTAGTGGATACTTTAATGAGCAAGAGTGAGCGAAACATTTGTTTTGAGGCCCAAGCTGTCTACATGCTTCTGATGGACATGCTCAAGTTGAAGGTAAAGCAATTGTTTTATAAATCTAATTTAAAATATATACGAGGGTTGTCCCAGGTCCCGTGTCACAGCCAAATGAACTAGTTCAAACCTGAGACCAAGGTTGTGTTCATTCACTACTATTCTAGCCTGTCCCCACCCATATAATTAGTCTGTTCATAGTATTGAAAAATGTTGTGGAAAAAAATTTACGCTCCTGCAAAGTATAAATAGTGTTCTGTGATTAGATTTCTGTGGTCTCAGTCGTCTACCGCTATTGAAGTCCATCACTTGATGGACGTGAAAAGAGTAAAGTGTTTGGATGTAGAATACGTGCGCAAGAGGTGGAGGAAGTTCGAAGGTGGTTTTAAACATTTGCATGATGTTTTCCATGGTGTTCATCAGTCTCTTTTGCCCAAAGTTGCGGGAATTTTGCATACGTGGATTTTGGTGTGACTAAACAACTAAACAAGAGGAGAGAATATCGGACTGGTAAGGAACGTCTCTATAAGACTGTCAATGTATTTAATAAGGTTTGACTGGGACGGGTGGCGTCGTCCTGTAATCCAGCTACTGGGAGGTCACGAATTGTGGATATTTATAGGGATGCACTGTGGATGCGATGCTCCCTGGTGTGGATTAACGTCCGCACTAGTGAGTACTACGACTATCCGCAGTATTATCCTGATAATTAGACCAATTCGTAAATTACAAGGAAAAATGTGGTTCGGATTCCACTATAAACTGTAGGTCCCTTAGTTGCCATTAGCTGTATGGGCTATTAATTAACAGCTGTGTCTAAGGAACATGTCGGCCTTAGTCACTAACAAGACTACAAGATCGCGCCACTCATCCTACACTCATCCTTCACTCATATTTGGGTTAAAATACGCACATAGTGGCGTCCCCATCTTAAATAATTGAATTGAATTGAATTGAATTGAAAAATGACTATTTTCAGCCCTTGAAGTCTGAAATAGACCGATGTGCAAGAAAAGTTTCCTTAAATTCAATCACTGTCACTATGGAAACTAATGAAGACTCGCTGCCAGCCCCGTTGTGCTAATATGCACGGGCTTCTACGCATTCGCCAAGGCACTAATGGATATTTTCCATGTCAAACCACTTTCCTGCATACAGTAATCACCAGGGATTGACCCCTTCCAACAGAAACCTATCCACAGGACGCTATTCATAGTTGGCAGGAGTACACTATGACCAGACTTGATAGAACAGTATTGAAGTAAGTAACAAGACATTGGTCTCAGGTTTGAACTAGCTTTCTTGGTTGCAACGGGAGCTAGATGGATTTTACGGACGACCCTTGTATTTTGAGTGCTATTTAAAAATTGTTTGCATTGATGATACAAAAAAATAAACACATGCTTATTTTCAATTTAAGTGTGTTGAAACACATTTTTAAATCAGCTTATTCATCAATCTTTTTTGTAATATACTGTCTTTAAAAAGTAATTTAGCTCTTTTGTTGGAGAAAAAATGCATATTGTCAAAAGCTTGAGTCCATGCACTGACTACTTGACTTAGATCCATGTAAGTAAGGTCATTTCTATACTGTTTTAGGAAGCAAAAATAGGTCTTTTTGTGTATTTACTTTGGTGACATACGTTTGTTTTTCAAAACATTAACTAACTTTATCACTTTAATTCCTTTGTTATTTGTACAATTTGTATGGAAAATATGTTTGAACTAAAACTAAATTGCTTTAATTATTACTTAATGGGTGTCATTGATGTTTGCATTTGGTACATATTTAAAATGTTAAGTTTTAAAATCAGAATACATGAGTTTTGTACCTTTTTGCATTGAGTAAAAAATCAATATTGTCAGTTAAAAAATAAACATCATAAAATTACACCATGAAAAGAGTATGCATCAATGTATTATAGGATTGTGTTTTTTAACAGGAAATACACAATTGGGACGCATATGATCCATTAATCGCAAGCTGGCTATTGGATCCTGACAATCCTCCAAAAGACTTTAAAGAGATATCAGACAAGTTGAACATGGACAAGAACCTGCTTGTTGTCAACCCACAAGCAAACACAAAGGATCAAGCTTGTGATCTCCTCCCTGTTTTGGACGTTGCGATGAACATTTTGCAAAATCGGCTTGTGAACACTTCTTTATGGACGGTTTTCACTGACATGGAAACGAAATTGATTCCAATATTAGCAATGATGGAAAGTTCATCAATTCTAGTTGATATGAAAAAGCTTCACCGAACAGCAGAGGCGATGGATAAAAAGCTGCGTAAATTGCAGAGTGAAGCGCATAAACTGGCCGACAGATGGTTCCAACTAAACTCCCCTCAGCAACTGAGAGAGATTCTCTTTGACAAATTAAAGTTGGACGAAAAATTCAATTTGAAGGTAGTATTGTAAGCAGCTAAGTAGTATTTAGTACTCCTAGCAGTTCATCTAGACTAGATGGACTTACTGTTCTGTTCAGGCCCACTTTTATAAACGGGCAGACTGGGCATATGCCCAGGGGCGCCGGGGGTTGGGGGGCGCCTGAGGGGCGCTCTAAACCACCGTCCGCACTAGGAGAAATAGGGTTTTATCAGCCGGGATTTCAAAAATAAAATGGGTGATTTCAACTTTTAATTAAGTGATTTTCCCTTATTGCAAAAGTAAATAAATACGACAAAATTTAAAATACTCGACCTTCAGATTATACCTCGTGTAGTCAGGGAAAGGCAGGCAGCAGTGTGAACCGGGCGCACTCACTATACTATCAGAGGCAGGGAGAGGGAGGCCTGCATACTGGAAGGAAATACATAGGTGTGGTATTCCCGTCACGTATGCTGACGTCACTCAGATTGCAAACACCATTTTACCATTGAGAAAAATTATAAAAACAATAACAATCAAATCAAAACAAATATATACTTATATGACAATACATCAGCTGATTTTTTTTGCAATTTGGGTGATGTCAGCAAATTACGGGAATAGCACGTAGGCCAGCTGTAGTCTACAGGCCTACGGTTGACGTGCCCCTCCTCTCCCACCCAGTCCCACCCCCATCCCCACAATACAACTACCAACTACCGCGCGGCACCAGTCCAGTACAGTAGTACAGTACTAGTACTCCTCCCTCAGTAGTCAGTAGGTTGTGTTCGTGTTGTGCCTGCTGCACAGTCGTTAAGTCATTAGTCAGTGTTGACACTCACACTGCAGTTAGAAAACCAGTAATGAATATATAGAAGTGTTGATACAAGTAAGTAGGCCTATAAACAGTGAAAAATGCATAAAAAACCTAGTGGAGCCGAGAGCCGCAAGCGGTTGGCTGAAATAAAACAAACTCAAGAAGCAGTTTTAAAGAAAGTGAAATGTATTAACCAGTATAACCACTGATACGGAATTGAAAAATCCCTCCCGAAACAAAACTGGTAAAAAAAACATGCTAATGTATAAATATATACGAGAGGTCGTCCAGTGGTCGAAACTCGACCAAAAATATGTAATGTACTCACTTCTCTATTTTCACCCCACACTGTAAATAAAACATGTGATTGGAGTTTCTTCCATTTGTTTTGATTTTCTGTTTATATTTCGTTGTTATTTCGTCACCAGCATGGCAACGCATAAAATCCATGTTAATTTTTTCAAATTTTCAATCTCATTTTTTGTGCTTATCTTTGAGCCTATTTAAATTTATAAAGGGATTCTGCACACCTACAGGAAAATTGCTTTCTAACGGTATGCGCAGATTTACCCCACGATGCACACAAGCTGAGAAAAAAGGTTTTAAAGAAACATGCTTGCCTATTAATATATAGATAGATACAGTGTGCATATGCCTATAGTAGAACCGTAGAACCATAGAAAAACATACTCCCTTTGTAGAATCTCGTTCAATACGTGTGTAATGCAATGAACTGCACACTGTACTGTACTGAACAATAATCAAATCACTGCGTAGTGCATTAAGCTATTCGCACAGGGAAAGAAAGATGCATTCGCATAGCAACTACTGTCAAGTTCATTTCACTCACCCCAACCCCCAACCCACCTGCTGTGAATTTCGGCGAACTGATGAGTCAACCCCCTTCCCTCTTCCCCTCCCTACACTGCTGTGGTCAAAACCTTTATAGTTATATATATATATATATAAGGGGGGCGCTGCTTTTGGGTTTGCCCAGGGCGCCACTGACCCTTAACAAGGCCCTGGTTCTGTTAGAATGTATTTCAAAACTTTTAAAACCTTTTATTATTAAGGAGATATGTTTCCTTATATTTGCCTTTGTTTTTGTTGTCTGAGTTCTTGTAGGTAAGATGTTTGTGAACTCAGGCAACAACAACAAAGTTAAATCTAATATAATTCAAGTTCTTGAAACTAATTGTTATACTACTAGTTAAACTAATTGTTGTGCTAGTTTCAAAATATATTTTTCCTGTTCACTTATTCCTTCATACCAGCCTTTTTTTTAATTGACTATCCAAAAACAACAACAAAACACTCACTATGGATGTGCTGTGGACTACTGCACAGCAGACTTTTAGGGCAACTTGTGGTGTTAAATATATCTTACATTTAAACATTTCAAAAAAAAAAACAAACTAGGATATTTAAAAATAGCATGCTTGAATTTTTTTGTGTGGAAAAAGTATTTTTGTGATAAGTACCTACATGTGTCATCGTTGTAAGATAACTCACAAATGAATACCCCGCCGCAGCAAACCTGCAGACTAAGCGAATTTCCATTTGACTGATTGGATTTACACTGAAATGTCTACTTAAAAATATAACATTTATTCCCGATTTAAATAGAATTAGTTTAACAAGTACTTAGGTTTGCTGCATCAGGGAGGGTAAAACTGTTTTTTTTTAATGTTAATAGTTAGTAAGAAATAAAAACTTTTTCAAAATTTGTCAAAATCAAAATACGTTCATAAACAAGCAAACTACAACAGTTTACTTATTCTCCATAAGAATAACATGGGAATTTTAAATTTACTATTTTTTGGAATTTTCTCCGGAACCATTAGGCGCATAATAAGGCTTCAATATACTAAATTATTTGTTTTATTAAGCTCTACAAAATGGTTTGGAAAGAAATTGCTAAATTTTATGTTTTTTTGGGTCAAAATGGGAAAAACCTATTTTTACCCCATAAAACCCCCCGTAAACCCCCGTTCCCATGGTCCGATCATGCTGGATCGCGAACTCATTTGAATAAATGTAGGTTTACATGTTTGTACCAAATTTCATCAAAATCGTATCATTTTTGCTCGAGTTGTGCTAACCAACACATATGAATTTGAACGGATGGTGTTTTTGGCCTCTAGGGACCTCAAAATGAAAAAAAAATCGGTCCCGCATCCAGGTCTTACCATGAGTACTACGGTAATAACTTATTCCCTATATGGGGAATTCGCTAAAAAATGTTATTGTTTGTTCAACTTGAAGGTGATAAAAACATTGTATACAGTTATAGAAAGTTTTGGCACACATCAAACAAGTTTAACATAACATACGGTAAGAGTCTCGACTATTCCATCTTCAGCTATCCAACGTTTCCGTTAATACACCCTGGTCTGAACTGTTTAACATAGGATAATTATGACTTGTACTTAAAGTGGATTTATTCAAAGCAATACTTACATCATAACACATTTATTCAAATGTTTTCATACAGGTGAAAAAAACAGAGCACGGAGAAAAATCTACTTCAGAAACTGTATTGGAACAAATGAAAGAGTTGCATCCGCTACCAAAGATTATATTAGAGTATAGAAGGCTGCAGAAATTGAAATCAACTTATGTGGAAGGCTTGCTGCAGCATGTCAAGAGTGACGGAACTATTGGGACAAGTTGGGAGCAAGTGTCTGCTTCCACAGGGAGGATTACAAGCAAGAACCCAAACCTTCAGGCGTTTCCCAAGTGTCCCATTGATGTTCAAGACGGTGAGACAGTCAACCTGAGAGAGATGTTCATAGCAAGAGAGGGATGTTCGTTTCTCGCCGCAGACTTTCAACAGATAGAGTTCCGAGTGTTCGCACATTTCACACAAGATCGCTCACTACTGCAGGTCAGTATTTTGTTGTAAGTTTTTGATCCTGAACTATTCTTTACATTATTTATATTGAATTAGAATCACACGATGAATTGCATTTACGTACATTTAGTAGTTTTACCATAGGTTACATTTGCAACAATAATCTCAACAAAAAAATCAAAATAAAGTTTATTTCCAACAAAAAGTCCTTTTATCAAAAATGTTTTTTTTACATCATGTCTAAAGTTTAACCTTGTCCAGAAACTAGCCAAGTTAATTCTGCTGCGTTTCATCTGTGGCCAAGGTAATTGCTTGTTAGTATAATTCTTTCTAGCTTTAGTAATTCCAAGCCTTTATTTAAGGGACCTATCAGGGACTTAGGTTTTTACGGCTTGCCAGTTTTGACAACTTTGTGCTAAGTAAACTTGTAACCCAATCTTACTAATAGATGAGTGAACGAAGTGAACGAATCTACGTATCTTGTATAGCGGAGTCAGAGAAAAGTTGTACGCTTGTCTGTGAGTCCGTGAGCATCCGGCAGTGTGCGTTCGCATCAAAACTCAAGAACCGTTGCACTTGTAGTGTTCAAATTTTGCACAAATAATTATGACACCAGTGAGAAGACACCATTAAAATTCTACACGATTCCGCTCTTCTAATTATAAAACCCTAAAAATACATTTTTAAATTTGTCCCATAAGAATAACATTAGAAGCTACTTGCAAGCTAGAAGCTAGAACAACTTTTAAGTTTTAATCTACGCTCTTTCATTCATGGAGTAAACAGTTCGGCGTCTATGAATATATATCGGTATAATTTCACAACTTTCAGAATAATAAATTGAACTTTACAATATTAGTCGGCAGTTATATACCTCATTTATGTTCAGTATTAGGGATGAAATATCATCAAAAACTTTAAAGAAATGTGCTGAAGAACTTGCCGCTCCCTTAGCCTATCTAATTAATTGTTCATTCCAGAGTGGAACATTTCCTGCAGTACTAAAGCTTTCAATAGTCAAGCCAATATATAAGAAAAAAGGAAGCCGGCACGATTGCATTAACTTCAGGCCAATCTCTATATTATCGACATTTTCTAAAGTAACAGAGAAGATCTTCTTAGCTAGATTAAATCAATTCTTAGATAAAAATAAGATTATCAACAAAAATCAGTTCGGGTTCCGTTCAGGTTACTCCACCCTAAATGCTGTGTTCAGCCTGGTTACAGAGGTTTCCAACTCTCTCGACGCAAAAAATCATGTCTCCGGTTTGTTCCTTGACCTTACCAAAGCTTTTGATGTCGTTGACCACAACCTACTTCTAAATAAGCTGGAAAGATTGGGTATCCGTGGAGTGGCTATGGATTGGATGTCTTCTTATGTTAAAGGACGGAGGCAAGTTGTAGAAGTCCCTTACATTGATTCCTCAGGCTGTTTGTGTAGTAGGATATCTGATGAGCGTACTGTAAGTACAGGTGTGCCTCAGGGGTCCGTTCTTGGGCCCGTCCTTTTCTTAATGTTCATCAATGATCTGCCTCCTGTTGTGTCAAATTCAAAGTTACATCTGTTTGCTGATGATACTTCCCTCGTTGTCTCCAGTCAAAATCATGCACAGCTAGAAATCCAAACATTTATTGAGAGTAGTTTTGTTTTCCAATGGCTATACGAGAACTCTCTACATGTTAATCCTCAGAAAACATCACTTTTAGAATTTCGTATACGGCAGAATTCGTCTAACCATCTGAATCTTTAAATTTACCTGTCGACAACATCAACATTGTTTCTTCTTCTAGTGTAACATATTTAGGAGTAGTCATTGACAGCAATCTGAAATTTTCCAGTCACATCGACAAAATTCACAATAGACTTAGTACTAGTGCTTTCCTTCTTCGTAGGCTCTCCTGTTATCAAGAAAGACGCATCCTTCTGACAGCTTATTACGGTCTTGTTTATCCCTTTCTTACATATTGTGTGCCCGTTTGGGGTAACGACAAACTTCAGACTAAGAAAATATTCAAACTGCAAAAAAGAGCCATCAGATTAATCTTCAACCTAAAATATAGAGAGTCTTGTAGATCTGTCTTTCGTACAAATAATATGCTGACCTTCCCATCAATTTTCATTTTTGAATCTTTGACCTTCTTAAGAAAAAATTCGACAATGTTTCATATTAGAGGGTCATCTCACCACAGCTACAATCTCAGGAGGAACTTTAACCTACATATTCCACAATCTCGTACCACTTTCCATAAAAACCAATCATTCTCCATGTGTATCCGTCTTTTTAATTCTCTTCCTAACTCAATCAAGGGCGAACATGATTTAAAAAAATTTAAGCGTGGTCTGAGGGAATATCTAGTTGATAAGGAATTTTACAGTGTTTCTTCGTTTTTAAATTGTAAATAGTTTGTACCTTTTGAAGTTTGTATCTTATTTTAATGGGTCTGATTTTATTTGTTTAGTTTTAGTGACTTTTGCCCTGTACATTTATGTATTATTATGGCAATAAAAAATTCTGATTCTGATTCTGATTAAAATTCACCTTTACATTAAAAATATATACGGTATGTATATATTTAGAAGTAAGCAGTTTTTTACATTATTCAATTTAATGTTTTCATTGAATATTAAATAGTCAAAGATGTTAGTCTATTTTTATACTAAAATGCTATGCGAAGGGAGGGAAACAGATCCACGACTTAGGAAGTGGTAAAGAAAGTGGAAAGGTGAGCAGTGCGGAGTGTGGAAACCCTTTGTGACAGTTAAATTAATGTATCTGTAATACTTAAATGCTATGGGAAGAGAGGGAAACAGGTCTATGATGTATAAAGTAGTGAAGGAAGTAGTCAAGGCGAGCGGTCTGGAGTGTGTGAACCCTTTGTGACAGTTAGGGTAATGTATCTACAATACTAAAATGCTATGGGATTGGAAGGAAACAGGTCCACGACGTAGGAAGGGGTGAAGGAAGTAGTCAAGGCGAGCAGTCCGGAGTGTGTGAACCCTTTGTGACAGTTAGGGTAATGTATCTACAATACTAAAATGCTATGGGATTGGAAGGAAACAGGTCCATGACGTAGGAAGTGGTGAAGGAAGTAGTCAAGGTGAGCAGTCCGGAGTGTGGGAACCCTTTGTGACAGTCCCTTTAGGACCCTTTGTACCTGCAATACTAAAATGCTATAGGAAGGGAGGGAAACAGGTCCACGACGTAGGAAGTGATAAAGGAAGTAGTCAAGGCGAGGAGTGCGGAGTGTGGGAACCCTTTGTGACAGTTAAATTTATGTATCTGCAATGAAACAGTTGCAATACTAAAATGCTATGTCAAGGGTGGGAAACAGGTCCACGACGTAGTAAGTGGTGAAGGAAATAGTCAAGGCGAGCAGTGCAGAGTGTGGGAACAGTTTGTGGCAGTTAGATTAATGTATCTACAATACTAAAATGCTATGGGATTGGAAGGAAACAGGTCCACGACGTAGGAAGGGGTGAAGGAAGTAGTCAAGGCGAGCAGTCCGGAGTGTGTGAACCCTTTGTGACAGTTAGGGTAATGTATCTACAATACTAAAATGCTATGGGATTGGAAGGAAACAGGTCCATGACGTAGGAAGTGGTGAAGGAAGTAGTCAAGGTGAGCAGTCCGGAGTGTGGGAACCCTTTGTGACAGTCCCTTTAGGACCCTTTGTACCTGCAATACTAAAATGCTATAGGAAGGGAGGGAAACAGGTCCACGACGTAGGAAGTGATAAAGGAAGTAGTCAAGGCGAGGAGTGCGGAGTGTGGGAACCCTTTGTGACAGTTAGATTTATGTATCTGCAATGAAACAGTTGCAATACTAAAATGCTATGTCAAGGGTGGGAAACAGGTCCACGACGTAGTAAGTGGTGAAGGAAATAGTCAAGGCGAGCAGTGCAGAGTGTGGGAACAGTTTGTGGCAGTTAGATTAATGTATCTGAAATACTAAAATGCTATGGGAAGGGAGGGAAACAGGTCCACGACGTAGGAAGTGGTGAAGGAAGTAGTCAAGGCGAGCAGTGCGGAGTGTGGGAACAGTTTGTGGCAGTTAGATTAATGTACATGCAATACTAAAATGCTGAGGGAAGGTAGGGAAACAGGTCCACGACATAGGTAGTGGCGATGGAAGTGGTAAAGGCAAGCAGTGCGGAGTGTGGGAACCGTTTATGGCATTTAGATTCATTAGTTAGATAAACATATATTGGATTTTTTATCATATTTAGGTGATATAATAGCTTACAAATGCGTTTACGTTCACTCATCCCGTTACGCGCAGAATAAGCATACTACTAGTATTATAAATGTGATCCATTAGTCAATGGTGAAACTTAGTGTGTTTGTTTGAAGTTCAATCACGCATTAACTACTGGACGGAATGGGCTGAAATTTGGTATTATGATAGCTCATATTCCCGATTAACATATAGGCATATTCTTATCTCATAAATCTTTTTGGGCTCCGCCCCAGTGGCTCTGCAGTTCCCAATGTTAACCTTTTGAGTATTCATATTTAAAGGGAATTAAAGAATTTAGTCAGCTGTTTCAACTAAAAAAGTTGGTTCCATGATATATATGCAAAAGCATTAAAAAGTTATAAGATTTACCAACAAGGCAAGCAGCAACAAAAAACTGTGATAAACAATGTGATCTGTCAAAGTAGGATTGTTTACAGTTATGTTTATGTTTTTAACTTCATGAATAATTTGTGATATTTTGTGAATTTGTAATAATATATTTTTCTCTATTGTTTAGGTGAAGTGTAGAACATTATGGCTATGGTAGATGTGTAATGCCATACTATAGTATACCGTAAATTTAAAGAAGCAAATTTTATCAAACTGTGTCCTCCCCCATTTGCAAACGCAAAGCTTGAGCAATAAGCATTTTATACTATTATACTAGCTGGCCCGACAGACGTCGTCCTGTCCTAATGTGGTTTTATGTCAAATGCTTGTTAACCCTCCGAGTGTCATGCGTCGCTGCACTCACGAACGAACACTGTTTACGGCGAAGGCTCTATGACTGACAAAATCGGATTGAACTGGATCGAGTTAGGTATCGTTCTTTTCGTTAGATTCTAAGCTTTCTCCAGAGGTCTGTCTCTAAGCGCTTTATGTTCTCCGAGCCGATCGTAATTATAGCAGACAGCTGACGTGCGTATTTGTAAACAGGTTAGTTAACCTCGGACCGATGACTGATGTGTTTTATTATGTTTATCATTGTTTTAGTGTTAAAAATCAAAAGTAGTGATATACGTGGTGCATTATAAGAAGATTTAAGTGATTTTGAAGGACTGGTTGATGATCCTGAAGAAGTAGGTAGTGATATTGATGTAAATTATCAGCCAGATTCCTAGCTATGGTTAGGCTATGCATTATTAGCTAAACGCTATGTACTAAAATCTGTTTTTTGCCCATAACTTATTTATTTGCAAATCTACTTCCTTATATTATTATATATTTGTAATCCTCATAAAATTTAGAACAAAGTGGCTATTTTCAAATATTTATAGGCCTATAATTTATACAATTTCATTGAGCGCAAACTTATTTTTTTTTTCAATTTTTCCAAAATAATTTTTATTTTTACCTAAAAATTTTTTTTTTAAACAAATATTCCTTAGGTTTTATGTATGATATTGAAGCCCATAATTTTCCAAACAAAATGGTATATAGAACAGTAGAATTAACATTGTTTTAAGCTTTTCAGATCCGTTTTAATAAAACCTTGCAAATGCGCCAAAAATAGGCGGACATTAAGGCCTAAACTATGGACACTCGGAGGGTTAATTTTCAAGATCCTGGTTGAAGTTCGTTCGCTACGCTCACTCACCTTTAGGTTGGAGCTCGTTCGCTGCGCTCACTTGCCTTCAGGTTAGCTCATTCGCTACGCTAACTCGCCTCCAGGTTGAAGTTCGTTCGCTACGCTCACTCACCTTTTGGTTGCAAATTAGCTGTTGTCATAAATTAAAAAAAAAATAATCGTGCTGCACCCTGTTGGTAAACTTATTAACTTTTTAATGCTATTGAACATCACAGAATCAAATTGCTTAGTTGAACCAGCTGTTAAGATTCTTTAATTCCATTTAAATATGAGTACTCATAAGGTTAACATGGGAAACTCCAGAGCCACTGGGGCGGAGCCCTTTTGACGGATCTGCGCCAAACTTCACACAAACCATCCTTGAATAATGCTTAATAATGCCTGAAAGTTTCATTACAATCTGTCGAGCGGTTTCGGAGTCCATAAAGGACAAACAAACATACATACAAACATACATTGGATTTTATATATATAGATATGCCAACCCCGTACGAAAGACTGGTACTCTGCTAGTCCATATATAAATCCCAAAGTACCCATGAACTTTTGAGAAAACTACAAGTCACACCCCCATAAACCATATACTTAATATTTTCGTCATGACGAGAAACCTTGCGCATAACTATCCATCTATATATATAAAATCCAATGTATGTTTGTATATTTGTATGTTTGTCCTTTATGGACTCCAAAACCGCTCGACAGATTGTAATGAAACTTTCAGGCATTATTAAGCATTATTCAAGGATGGTTTGTGTGAAGTTTGGTGCAGATCCGTCAATAGGGCTCCGCCCCAGTGGCTCTGGAGTTTCTCATGTTAACCTTATGAGTACTCATATTTAAATGGAATTAAAGAATCTTAACAGCTGGTGCAACTAAACAATTTTATTCTGTGATGTTCAATAGCATTAAAAAGTTAATAGGTTTACCAACAGGGTGCAGCACTATATTTATTTTTAATTTATGGGAACAGTTAATTTGCAACCAAAAGGTGAGTGAGCGTAGCGAACGAACTTCAACCTGGAGGCGAGTTAGCGTAGCGAACGAGCTAACCTGAAGGCAAGTGAGCGCAGCGAACGAGCTCCAACCTAAAGGTGAGTGAGCGTAGCGAACGAACTTCAACCAGGACGTGATTGAGCCATGCGAACAAGCTCATCTTGAAAATGAACGAGCATGTGACATAAAACCACAATAGAACAGGACGACGTCTGTCGGGCCAGCTAGTTATTTGATAAATTGCCCTTTAAGGTTGCAATTCCTTTCTAAATGGAACTTTCCATATATAGCTAATGTTAAAAATACCTCAGCTGTACTTATTTGTACATATGTTATTCTTTCAATTTATTACCTTATTGAAATCAGGTGTTATTATTTGTTTGTATTACTGTATTCTGTTTTGTTTATTTCAGTTTAACTTAACCAACCAATAGTTTTATATAGTCAATGGTTTTATTAATACTCATGAAGTCTAACGGGGTGAAGCCCGTGTGTTACAGCTAGTATTGACTTAAAGACCGTTTGAAACATATTTTAAGTGTTATAAAACTGTACAAACTGTTTCAGGCATTCAGTGAAGGAGGAGACATATTCCAGAGATTGGCGGAACGGTGGCTGGGTGGCAAGGGAGAAGAAGAACGGGAAAAAACCAAGAGGATTGTTTACTCTGTAATGTACGGAGCTGGCGCCAATAAACTCTCGGAATATCTGCATGTTGAACCGGCAGAAGCATATAAAATCATTGACAACTTTGTTGGTGAGTAGTTGTAAATTAAATTGGGACAAAGGGTTAAAAGTTCATAACTTTGACAGGCAAGTAGAAGACGTTCATAGATTAATGTATGTGACGTCTATGTGTAATGTAGATTAATGTATGTAGATTAGTGTACGTCATAGATTAATGTACACAGCATTTAAAAATAATTAATTTTTCCTTCATGCATTAAACTATGTATTGAAACAAGGCACTTAACACATACACACTTAACATTGTCACCAGTAAATATATCGAAGAGAGAATATTAAAATGCTTCTTCCTACAACTACCAACACAGCAATGTTAGTAAAATCACTGAGTCTGTAAGTAAATATTCAAAAGTAAGGTAGACTAACTGAGCTTTTCAGTTATGAATTAGTTTTTAACATTTATGATTTGGTAATTATGTTTTCTGTCGGCAGCCATCTTCCCAAGTCTGCGCAGTCTGCCGCGGACAGTAATTGCCAAGTGTCGTACGCAAGGGTTTGTGTCAGCACTCTCCGGCCGTAGAAGGCTATTCCCCAACATCCGTTCGACCAATGGAAAGCTTCGATCATACTCTGAGCGACAAGCGATGAACTTCCTCATACAAGGTGATGCTTCAGCTTACTCTAATAATTATCAATTAATTGTTTTATTGCTTAAAAAGTTCGTAGCATAAGAGAAATCACTACATAAAACAAAATTTCTCAGATGAACCTCCTGTGTAAGTTCTGAACTAATTGGTTATGGTGTTATCATTGAGAAGTTTTAATTATTGTGGGGATTAAGAGAATTAATTGTTAGTCTCACATAGTAGATAAGCACATACAATTTTTGCTTGTTGAATATGTACAATACAACCTTAAGCTAAATGTTCTATACTTAAATAATTTATAAATATTTTATATACAATTAGAACAGTCGTTTCAGTACTACTCACTTCCTGCCAATCTAGTCCGGTTAAACCAATGTGCTGATAACAATTTTCCGGTTAAAGAGATGTCATTTCCGCCGAGTGTAGTCCGGTTAAAAGGTGTCCGGATAAGAGGGAGTTTACTGTATACATAAATAAACTAAATGGCAAAGATTGCATGTTTAGCGCTATACCTAATAACATTGTAAGACTGTGTAAATCCAAAATATTCTCTTTGCAGGGTCAGCAGCGGACATTTGCAAAGCAGCCATGTTGGATTGTGAGGCTGAGATTCGATCACGAGGACTCCGAGCAAAGCTGCTTTTGATGATTCATGATGAGCTCATCTGGGAAGTGGACGATAGAGACTTACAAGAAACTTCTAGTGAGTTGGGTTTGACTCATAAAGGTTCTTAATTTGATAGTACAAATTGCAGGAGAGGAACCTGTATGTTAAATTGAAACAGTTTCTCCACAATTCAAATATTTATACTGTATTTCTCAAATCTTACTTTATTCCTGAACTCGCTGGAACAAAATTCATGTTTGTCACTCACTCAAAACAAAATCTCATATTTTTACCATTTGGTGTATCTCTAGTTGATGTTGCTGGCCATATCAGTTTACAAGACAGCAGAAGGAACTGATTTGTTGTCTTTTTGCTTCTAAAAAAATACACAGCCTAAAAAGGTGATAAAAACTGTGTGGGTAGCAATATTTATCTGCTTGAGAATTAATAGCAAAAACTAAAACTAAATATACCAAACTGCTAAACATTCTACATTTTTTTTTTTAACTTTTACACTAAGATTTGGTAGATGCATATTACTGGTTTTATATACTTTTGTCTTTGTCTAAAGAATTAACATGTTGAGTGCGGGCTACATCTATTGATGTAGTGTGTAGTGTGTCACGAGCGCTCCTATCAGCCTTCATCTCACTACATTAGTTCAGTATGAGCTCAGCCATTGCCGAGGAACTTTATAATCCTTGCCAGGCTGTAGTTTAGAATGCGAGCTTTATTTTGGTGTAGGTTGGTACTATAAATTCCCGAAAAATCCCGTCTGGCAATGCTTTTGTCCCGGTTTTGGGGATTTCCTCTATTCGAGCCATATTAAAAAGACACTGGCTATTGATCCAGGCAGTGCTGCTACCTTTGGGTGTTTTAGTAAACTACGTCCACTTTCGGGGTAACACAGCACAATCACCGCTGCGCTTTTGAGATTCGTCAGACTGAAATATTTGAATGCCAATTCCGTTCGCTGATTCAGTAGCGCACAAGGGCTTCGCCCGGGCCTCGCCGCCATTGGCGAGCGCCTGTTTAAAGGTTTTCAGCATTCAACGTGTTAATGTGCTGATGAGGTTGAATAAATATTCAACTAAGCATGTCTAAAACCATGTGTCCAAATTGAAGTTTTACAAAAAATATCTTCACTGTTATACACATCCTTGATCAATAAACATTTTTACTTTAATTAACTATTAATTCAGATGCATTGTAAAAAATTGACTATTTGGGATTCTATTTATTGATTTTGCATTTTCCGTCAGTTAATTTAGCACTTAGAAGAACAATATTTTTGGCTTTACTGTCAATTTTACTATGTTTTTTTTTAGAAACAGTCAAGTTGGCTATGGAGCACCGCTGGAATGAGCGTCTCACACTCCTAGTTCCAATACCAGTTTGTGTCTCTACAGGAAAGACACTAGCAAACATGCAGTGACAAGTTAATCTTTGCAATTCTCGGTTTATTTTATTATCTGTGGAGAATTCTCAGTCACAGAACTATTACTTTAGAATGATAAGGAGTTGTTTTTTTATGATGTGTTAGTAAAGTATTTGTTGTTTGGTTTTAAGTTTCAAAAGTACACTTAAGAAACATTGTTAGGTTAGGTTAAGTTGTGGTTCAATGTTTGCTGAATTATTTTGAGAGTGATAACATGTAATATATTTTTTTCAACGTAGAAAAACTTGTATGTACTTAAATTGTATAAGCATTTAAAAAACAGTTTTAAATATTACCAACACCAATAAGTCAAACGTATTTCATCCCATTACTTTTAAATCTTGAAACAGGTTGTTGGGACTTTTATAACACACTTTTTTTAGTATCGTGTAAAGAAGTTTTTTATTTAGTATAAATATTTAAAATTCAAACAGAAAGATTTAATAGCCTTATGATGTGTGACAAAATGATTAAAACTTGTGTTTAAAGTGAGCTGTAATGTTTGTACAAATTTAAATATGAACTCAAAAATTTATAAAAAGTAGAATCGTTAACTTTTTAAGATATTAAATTATAGTTTTTCTTATTCCTTGTTAATTATTCTTTTTGCTACTCACAGCTTTGCTTGTTTTTATTTCTTCTGCCCATTCAAAAATCTCAGAAATAATTTAATAGGTTTAATATTTCTTTTAATATTTCTTTTTAATAGGTTTAATATTGCTTACGTAGTAGGGCCTATTTGATTTATTATATTTTTTTATCTTTCAATTTTGTTTTTAAGTAAAAAAAAACTATTAATAAGTTCTGTACTGGACTGGTTTAGTATGAATACAAAATAATATTTAGTAAAAAATATATTTATTGAATATACATAACTTTTACAACTAGCCTATAATTTAACAATATAATATGGGCTAATTCATAAAATGTTTGCATTTGAAGAGTAAAGCATGGTTACTATGATAAATAATACATCCAAAATATCTAGCAATAAATTTGTATATAAAAATCAGTCTTACGTAAAACAAAACAACATGCGACATGATAGCACCCCCACAGCATTGTACAGTTTAATGTGGGTTTCCTTAATTTTGTAAAAACAAAGATTAACAGGAGGACAGTGCTTAGGACCACTTAACTCGGCATATTGAAAGTTGTGTTGATAGCTACGGTCCTTATCTTCATTTACCTCATCCTAACTACTCTCTGAGTCATCAGGCTTTCTGGACTTAATGTTCTGTCCTGGAATTCTAGGGCGGCATCTTCAAGGGACTTTACCCCTCGTATCACATCAAGGTCTACTAAAGCTTTAGCTTCATTGCAGAGGGCCACCTTCAGAGTGGTAAGGGAACTACTAACGGAGCAGTAAACTGCATCTCTCAAACATGGTATGGGCACTAAATGAGTGTCGTCGACCACTTTGTTTCCAACGTCGAATTGTGAAAGTCAATATAAAATATGAACTTTAACTTAAAATATCTCAAGATTCAAATTTTGAATTAATTCAACAAACTCATCTTAGCTGTGCCCCAATGTTTAACATTTCTGTGATGTTGACAATTTTTTCTCTAGGTTTTCCCACAAGTTGACCTCTTTCGGTTTCCACTTTATCGATTTTCTCCCATCCGACGAAATCCACTGTTGGAATACCTAAAACCAGGGACTTTGCTGTATTAACTTCAACAGTAAAAAAAAAATTAATAGTAGTAAATAACGTACCATTGTTAACCATACCAACTTCTAATCAGGTGATTCAAATAATAAAAACCCAGTCTAATTTATGTCAAAAATTTCAAAAAACCTATTTTCAAAATTCTATTACCCCCAAACCCGGGGATGGAACCCCCGAACCATCACCCCCAAACGGAATGATCCCACCCCGCATTGTCCCACCAATGGCCCACCGCACCACCACTGTATGCTTGAAAAAATACAGGGTTAGTAAAAAGTGTGGGGACCTCCTGTTATTTTTTTAACGGCCCATACTAGAAAAACTAAACTCGGCACACCATTATGGCATGTTATGAAGTACTTTTTGGGCATAACTGCCACTTGGTGTTCATCCCCAAAATGGGGGATTTTGGGGGAAACTCTAAAATTTCAAATACAAAGACCCATCGAGTGACCCCTCATTTTAAAGGTCCTGGTAAAAAAACCAACAACGCAAACTAGAGGTCTTTATCTCAATCCAGTAAAAAATGGCAGCCAATTGAAATACTCAGAAGTTAAATTTAACTTACAGCTTCCCAAGTCTGGAGACCCGCTGATGTACACCAAGTGACGGTTATGCCCAAAAAGTACTTCATAATATGTCATAAAGGTGTGCCGAGTTTAGTTTTTATAGTATGGGCCGTTAAAAAAATAACAGGGGGTCTCCACACTTTTTACTAACCCTGTATATAGGTCTACCCCTTTCTAGACAATCATTATATCATTATAATCATTGTTGCATATATGATCTTATCTTATTATTACTATCTTATCTTGTTTGCTTGCACTTTCTTATCACTGAGGGCTTATACCTGTAAAGGTACCGGTACGTCACTGTCTTGTTCACCATGCAGACAAATAGACGATAGTGATGGAGTATGATGTTAAAAAAAAGGGAAAAATCATTTAAAAACTAAGAATTGCTTCCTAGGCTATAAGATCTTACCTTTACTCCGTAGCAGATTCAATATATAGGCAGCGCCTGGTTTGCTCTGAGAGACATCCACTGCGTCCGAACTCAAGTCTTTGTTGATCACATTGGCAGTTTCAAAAGCATTTGACATTGTTGACAAAATCACACCAACAGGACCAGTAGCGAGCCAACCCGCGGCGTACAATCCTAAAGAGAATTATTTTAGTGGGGATTTATAAAAAGGTATTTTTTTATATAAAAAAAACTGCCCAAGAACAGAGATAGGTGTTCTACTATCTTGTAGAACATGTAAAACAATATTTAAGATTTACAAAACAAATATGCTAGAGACAGTTTTGTCTGGCTAAGCAGAGCACCTCATTAATAAACTTTTGACTTTATAATGTTAACCTTGCTTTAGTAGGCCTATTTATTTTGTGAATTAACTCTTTGACCAGACTGAACTAAAATTGTATCCAGCTGACCTTTACGAATTACAAGTCCAGAAAGGAGTATGTTTAGTTTACGATATGGTTATACACTCCATTACAAAAATAAATTAAGATTATTGGTGCGATGTGGTGTAACGTGTAGCACTCACCAGGCTTCTGTGATACAACACTCCGAGCTGGGTCAAATGGCACATCAGGGTCTGCCGGGACACTCTTGTAGCCGATACTACGCAGCACCAGGCCACAACTCAGCGACTCTCTGGCCTCCGACAACACTGCTTTTTGTTTCTGAAATCAAATACTCACTACTACAAGACAAAAGTAAAGTGGGTTAAAATCTATGAAAACAGGTTGTCTCGTAGGTAAGGACGAAAAGTTTAGGAATACTGTAGGTCAAAATAAAACAAAAATCAAGAATATTTTGTCCCTCTAAATTTCATAATACAGTAGACTCCCTCTTACCCGGACACCTTTTAACCACACTACTCTCGGCGGAAATGACATCTCTTTAACCGGACAATTTTTATCAGCACATCGGTTTAATCGGACTAGATCAGCAGGAAGTGGGCGGTACTGAAACGACTGTTCTCGTGGAAAATATTTGAGACCAGTGATCACAAGTCTAAATACAATGCTCTCCTAAATTTAAGTTAAATACTGTATACAGTATGCATTTAAACGGTTTGTTTTAACGAGTTTTTGGGGACGGAAAAACCGTTATCCGGACTGGCCTCGGTCCTGAGGAGTCCGGATAAGAGGGAGTCTACTGTAATATCTTTAAAATGGCAGATATCTCAGTAACGAGGCATTTAGAAAAAATGTTATTCCTCATTTTGGTTTTATTCTGAGACATCAAATTTACTCCCAAATTTGTTATACCGGTACCTACTTAAGTGACACCCTGTATATAGATGGTAGCAGTGACTATTGATCAAAGTAGACATTCCTTTCTCATTATAAAAATTGTAACAGGTTTTAGAATGAAATTGTTGCAGTGGAATTGAGCCAAGGACAGAGTGTGCTGCAATCACTGATCTGTAGAAGGCATAGACTTATTAGCCAAACCAACGCGTAAGGACAACTTACTCCAGTAGACCTATACAAAGTCACTCATCGAACCCAATACGATAATGACTTTCCAAAAAAAGATCAACATGTAGTAGTGATTAGGAATTTTAAATCAGAACTTACTTTGCAGAATAATATTAAATACAAGCTAAAATTTTATAAATCCAGTTCAAACCATGCAAACTATTTTTTCAAAATTCAAGTACACTGCCCAAGTTTAAATTGATAAAATTAATACAAACAATTTTATCCTCATGGTAAAGTATAAAACTGAATTTAACAACCCATTGAGAATTATTAAAGTATAATATTTGACACAAAAACAGAAATAATAGCACTTAACAGATTTGACCTTGAAAGGCGACCAGTTTCGATCCTCACGGGATCATCTTCAGGCGGACGTCGTCATCGTCTTTTCGTTCTTGCGAACACGTTGTTTTTTAAAAAACATTGAGTTAACAGTTTTTAACATTTAAAACACAAAACACAAAAAATGGCCAATAACTATTATGGTACCGATCGGTGGAGCGGCGGGCGACACGGAAGTTGAGTCTAGACTGACCGCTGCAAGCCGGTGTCAATGTTTACTTGTCCCCTCCCCTAATCTTTCTTATCAGGTGCACGCTTTTGTTTGTATCCATTTTCAACTATTTTTATTGCTGTGTCGAATATAATGTTAGATGCGAAAGAGAGCTTGTCGTTCAAAACATTTTGTGGGTCCTGTTTTACGGCTTTGTATATTTCGAACTCCTCAATTGTTGTCATAAATGGCCCTTTATTGCATTTATGGAGTATTTCTAAATTATGTTCGATGTTACTGTGGCTGTGGTTGTAATCAATCAGATGGTTGGCATATGCTGAGTTGGATTTTTGTCTTGATTGCTTTGGCAGATGTTCCTTAAATCTGGTATTAAATGACCTTGCTGTCTGGCCTATGTAAAAACTAGGGCAGTCGTTACATTTCAGTTTATATATTCCGGTTTGTTTGTTATTTTGAGGCTTATCTTTGAGAATACTGGCTAGTTTGTTGGATTTTTTGAAGGAGAGTTTGATGTTATTTTTGGACATTTCATTTTTAATTACATTATTTAGTGAGACTCCGTATTCCATAGAAGCATATTTTTCCGTTCATTGCCTGGTTTTGTAGCCTTGTTTTTTGCGTGATGTCTCTGGATCATTTTCTGGATCATTTCGCTTTTATATCCGTTGGATACAGCTATAAACTTTGTGACATTTATTTCATTTTGGTAATCTTCTGGGCTTAGGGGGATTGATATTAGTCTATGCACAAAGCTATGGTATGCTGCCATTTTTTTACTTATTGGGTGGTGTGACGAATTGTGAATGGTTTGGCTTGTCGTTGTTGGTTTCCTAAAGATTTTAAATTTGAGTTTGTCTTGAGATTTAGTGATGGTTAAATCAAGAAAATTAATTGAACTGTTGACTTCTTCTTCTAATGTGAACTGTATATTCCTGTGTAATGTATTGATATGCTTGCTTAAAGAGTTTAATTGCCTTTTATTGCCATTGAATATAACTAATGTGTCATCAACGTAGCGGTAATATGATACAATTTTCTGCACATAGGAGTTTTGGCTAGACCATAAGTATTTGTTTTCAATGTGATGTAAAAATATTTCTGAAAGTATGCCAGAAAGGGGGGAACCCATAGCCAATCCTTTGTTCTGTACAAAGAATTCATTTTGGTAACTGAAATAGTTTTGTTTAAGTACTTCCTTTGTTAGGTTGACTAGTTCGTCAATTGATTCCCTTGTCAGTGACGAGTTCCTTACCAAATTTTCTTCTAGTACAGTTAAGGTTTCGTCGATTGGTACATTAGTGTACAGGTTCACGATGTCAAATGAGGCTAATATGTGGCTGTTCTTGAGTTGTAGGTTGGATATTTTCTCAACAAGGTCTATGGTGTTTTTTATATTGTGACTGTTTTCTAAGACCACATTATTTCTTATTAGTCTGTCTAGTTTTTTAGCTATTTTGTAGGCCGGTGAAGGAATAAAATTTCCTAGAGGGCGGATAGGGGTTTCAGGTTTGTGGATTTTAGGTAATCCTCTGAAAATGGGAGCTTGTGGGTTTGTTACTTTCATTGATTTAATTTCCGTTTTAGAAAGTAAGTGTGTGCTTGAATTGATGGTTTTATTAATTTGTTAGCAAACCTTTGAGTAGGGTCGTTGTCAATATTATGGATATAATTTTCCTCAAATAATTTGTGAACCTTATTTGAATATTCTTTGAGCGTGAGGATGACGATGGCATTTCCCTTATCTGCTTTAGTGATTACGGCCTCGTTATCAGTTAGCTTTTTCCTTATGTGTGTCGCTACTTGTTTTAGCGTGTGGTACTTGGTCTTTTGTTTGGGCTTATTGAATTGGTTCTTCAAGGTTTTGTTAGCTTTGTTGACTACCATAACCCGTGCAATGTCTCTCGATTGTTCATTTGGGATATTTTTAATTGTAGACTCAGTCTGTAAGAGTTCTGAGATTAGGTTACATTTTTTCGTGTTTGGAAAATTGAAATTAATTCCTTTGTTTAGAAGATCTAGTTCGTCATCTGTGAATATTATGTCAGTTTTATTAACTACACGTGCATGGAATTTATGGTTGCATTTTATGATTTCATTGTGTAGTTGACGCTAAGCAAGATTCTCGAGTTTTTTGTGTTCTACTTTTCTTTTACTGTAAAGTTTCTTTCTTATTTGCGACTCTATTTCATTAATGACCATGTTTAATTGACAATAATGTATCAAATTTAGTAGATCAATGTGTTTAGTGAATAGCAATTTATTCAGCATGCATTTCTTTGAATAAAGGCGTTTAATTTCTCCTTTTATCCAAGTGGTTTCTGCAGTTGTTTTAGCTTTTTTGGCTACTCGAGACTTTTGTCCTACTTTTACAGATACATAATTTGGTACCAAACCTTGTTCTAGACATTTCTTATTAAAACTTATGTTCTCAATGGTTTTTAAAAGTTTTATTTTGACGTCCTTGTATTTGTAGGCTTTAGTTGCTTGACTAGCTTCTAACTTCATTTTGTTTGAGTTAAGCCTCCGAATCACTGATCAAAACGTGTACTGGTGAAATTACCTGCTGTCAAGTGATCCTTTTGACCTTGAAAGGCGACCGGTTTCGATCCTCACGGGATCATCTTCAGGCGGACGTCGTCATCGTCTTTTCGTTCTTGCGAACACGTCGTTTTTTAAAAAACATTGAGTTACCGCCGCTCCACCGATCGGTACCATCATAGTTATTGGCCATTTTTCATGTTTTGAGTTTTTGTGTTTTAAATGTTAAAAACTGTTAACTCAATGTTTTTTAAAAAACGACGTGTTCGCAAGAACGAAAATCGCCTTTCAAGGTCAAAAGGATCACTTGACAGCAGGTAATTTCACCAGTACACGTATTGATCAGTGATTCGGAGGCTTAACTCAAACAAAATGAAGTCAACAGATTTGTTTAAAAATTTTGTATTCAAATAGTTACATCCTACCCCCAATTGTCCCAAATGTCTCCTTCGAATTAGTTAGTTCCTGTATACACCTTGGGAGCTGCTGGGTTCCAGAATAAGAGATCTGGGACCTAGAAACAACATTGTTTGGAACTATGATGCTTGGAACATCTCGGTCACTGGCAAAGTCCTGCGCCACATCTACTTAGCCAGCCGCATTCAGTACGATTCAAAACCTACCTTACAACCAACTTACGTTCAAATCATCTCCTTCAAGTTGGTTGATTCCTAGATTAATCTCGGAAACTCGTTGACCTCCAGTAAAAGAGAGCGGAGATCTGAGGAACAGCAGCTGGAGGGTTTTATCAACAGATTGTTGTGGAGATGATGATGCTTGGAGCAACAGCTCAGTGAGTCTCTTACGAGGTCGGGCTAGTTCTGAGAAATAAGATGAATTGTTCTGTCAAAGAATTCATAGTAATGTGTATACAAACATGCTGTATGTTAAGGTGTTTGTATTTTAAAGTCAATTTTACCTCCTTAAAACTACCTACATAAATCTCCTAGATGTTACAAATATTTTACGTCCTTAGCCCATTGAAAGCACCTTAACCTTTGGAAGTTTTAATTCTTTTTTATGAATGTAATTTTATAGATTATGTTGTTGTTGTGTATGCCTAATAAGGCTTTTTTCAATAAAGTGGACTGTAAATGAAGGAATATTGAAATTTAAATCTTGTTTACAAAAAAATATGGACTTTTGGTTTACTTTTGACACAATTGAGTTAATATTACCGCACATGCAGTTCTCTGAGTTGAAGGACTGATAGAGTATGGTATGGCCACGTTTCATTTGTAGTTTAGCCCAGAAGAAGTACAAACATTCACACAGTTAAATTCATACACAGTTTATAACCAAAGAGTTAAATGTACACACACAAAAAAGAGTTAGATAAATTAAATAAAACAAACTAAAAAGAGAAAAGGCTTAATGATGCTACACAAAACGATAAGAATGAGCAAGGTAATGCAGTTGGAACTCGGAATGTTTAAATTTATTAATTTAAGAACTGTTCATTGTTGGGAACATGGGGATTATGCAATCTACTCTCTCTATCTGTCACACTGATCAGCTGGCCTGCCTTTAAATGAATACTGAACAGTCCCAGAGGCGGATGCAGGGGTGGCAATTGCCCCCCCCCCCCCTCGAGACTGGTGCCAATTAAAAACTATAGGCCTAGATCTAAATTTAAAAAAAAATGATCATGTTCTTGTATCTAGACTGTCTAAGCCCACAATTTTTCAGTTAAGATTATAATAATGTGAAAAACTGAATAACACTACTTACTGTCGACATGTTGTTGCACTCCATCCATTTGACCTGTGTAGAACTGTGTCCTGACTCCAGGTAGCTTCAGCATCTCCCGCAGCTCTTTTATGGTGAAGGCTACTTGCAAGGGACCTCTGCGGCCTACCAAGACAACCCGACGCACTCTACTGGAGGCCAACTCAGCCACTGAGTGTGCTGTGATATCTGTTTTCTAGGGATGGCAAAGAAAACGTGGTAAAAACTTAATTGTTTGAACAAGTGAAATGCCCTTTTATTTAGTGTGTTTTAACAGCCCTATAAACATTTTTTCACAATTTTCTTTTATGGGAGTATGTAGTTTAATTCAAACCTGCTCTTGTTAGGTACTATTCAACATTGATCAAATGATCATCATCATTAGTTAGACCAATATCATTACATTAGATAGCATTATTATTGGTTGATAACTCGCAATGACAAAAATGGCATCTGCTCCAGAACCAACCCAGCTTGGGTACGAATCAGCAGCCTTCAGATTTGAACATGAGACCGATATTACAAAATCTATGTTTGTAGGAACGGTTACATTTATTTAGCCTTTGAATTAGTAAAATGAGAACGACATAAAAGTTAGGTTCCTAAGGTGACTTGGTGTTTTGACAACAACAAACTTTTTAGAGTCCCTTCGTATTTGATCTTACTCAGTAGACACAACCAGGCTAATACTTACTTAGTCAGTTTTATTCTATGTTGAAAATCCCTCAACTTCACTTGTTTAGGCTTTTACTCTTTTGTTAATTTTATATGTAAGGACCTGAACAAGCATTGATGAAAATAAGATTAAAATACCCTATCCGCAGCAAACCTGCCGACTAAGCGAATTTCCATTTGTCTGAATTGATTTTCAGTTAAATATATATTAATAACATTTTAGGTTTAACGAGTACCTAGGTTTGCTGCTACAAGGAAACTAATAAAGTGTGTTTTTGAGTAAAATATTGATAGCTTAGTACAAAATAAATAAATTTGCCAAATTTGATCAAAATATATCCATAAAAACAAGCAAACTACAACATTTGACAATATTCTCCATAAGAATAACATGGGAATTTGAAATTTACAATTTTTTAAATTTTCTCCGTTACTAATAACCGAACAAAAATAGGCTAATTTTATATACTAAATTATTTGTTTTTTTAAGCTCTTTAAAATAGTATAAAGAGAAATTGGGAAATTTTGTGTTCTGAGGGTCAAAAGTGAGAAAAACCAATTTTTACCCCATAAAACCCCCCGTAAAGCCCCGTTCCCATGGTCCGATCATGCTGGTTCGCGAACTCATTCAAGTTTATCCCACTTTACATCTTTAAACCAAATTTCATCAAAATCGGACAAAAATTACTCAAGTTATCACGTTCACGGACGTATATATATATATATATATACATATATACAAATTTGAACGAATGGTGTTTTTGGCCTCTGGGGACATCAAAATGAAAAAGTAAATCGGTCCCGGGTCTAGGTCTTACCGTGCCACCTACGGTAATAGCTACTTCCCTATAGGGAAATTCGCTAATAGGCTCAATTATGTAAATTCCAAAGTAAATTCAAACAGTGCATAAGCTCGGCCAAACAGTGAATTCGGTTGATGACACTTATTATCTTAAAACAACAATCCACTTCAACGTAAGGCGAGATCTTACCTTGAGTATATCAATATCTGTGAGCAATATCCTGGCCACATCAACGGCTACGTTCCCCTGTCCAATGACAACAGCTGTTTCACAGTCTAGAGACACCCTCAGGTCTTTGTCAGCTGGCAGTCCGTTGTACCACCCTACAAACCTCCTGGCAGAGATAACATTGTCCAGGTGTTCCCCAGTAATTCCCAACTCCTGGTCCCTCTCAGCACCATAAGTCTGCAAATGATTCTCAGATTATTGAATCTGTGTAAAATGCACAGATAAATTTGAGACTACTAATAGTGTAGAAAGTTTTAAGAATCTAACAAGCACAGCAGTGACATAGCCGTGGGGAGGGGGGTTCAGGGGGTCAGGACCCCTCCCCCTTTCTTGTCCAAAATTTATACTTTTTGTTAAATTAAACTTAAAATTATATAACTGGCCTATACTAAATACGACACTATAGTAATTAGATTAATAATTTATAACATTATCATATTTTCACAGCAATTAATTAACTACAAGCACATAGTCAATTAGTAATAATAAGAGACAAAATATCCACCAAGAGCTTTAAATGTCACATTGACATATTTAAAAATAGGCCTGGATATACTAAGACAAAGCATTGACGTTGGTGTTAGTTTTCAATGCCAGGAGAGCTAAAAAAGGCTGTTTTAGGGCCTATGTTTTCCAAGCATTTTACGGGGGAGTGCACCCCACACCCCCTTCTGTCTAGGGCTTATTCCATACCCCCAGTCATTTTGTCAGTTGATCACCCATTTTCAAATCCTGGCTATGTCACTGAGTAGAGGCTGGAATTTCAAATGGTAAAGTGTTTTGTTGAATGTTTTCACGCTATTGGCATTTTAAGGTTTTTTGTAAGGGAACAATCCAAAGACCTAATCTCTTACACATATACTCCCCTTACAAAAATCAAAAGAAAGTGTCTATAGCATTAAAAATAGACAACAAAATATTACAATTGGGCTAACCATACAAACAATATCCCAGATTGACCTGTGGTAGTGAGAGTTGATTCTCTATGTATACTACTGTTTATGTAGCCTACTAATTATCTACAGTATATACTACTATATAAAGTGGTCTAGTAATAAGTTTCCCAGTGTGGGAAAGCCATCCATTGTCTAAAAACTGGCTATCATATAGGATTCTTAGAATAAAGCCGAGTGTAAGCTTCCATGCTCCTCCCCCCCATATAATCAAAGTCAAAATTAAATCTTTATTAATCATTAAATAACATGCGTTTCAAATGGATTTTGAAATTTTGACGGATTTCAAATTATAATACGGGAATCACCATGATAATAACTCAGAACATGACTAGGCCTACAGCATGAACAAAACATTCTATTCAAAGGTTTCAAGACAATAAATAAATTATCAGTTTAAACAACCACACTTAGAGCAGTGATTTTTTTTACTTTCTCCACCTATACATAGTATATGGAAAAAGGATTGTTTTCGTCAAAATTGTCGAGTTTGAGTTTCAAGCGGATATATCCGTTTTGAGTCACTTTTCCCCCATATACATAGTAGGCCTATATATAAAGTATTGTTTTCGTCAAAAGATTCTCGAGTTTGAGTTGTGAGTATTAAAAAAGTGGTTTTCAAAGTGATGTCTGAGTGTGTGTGTGTGTGTGTGTGTACTGAGCTACAGATCACACCTGTCGTCCGATTTTGATGAAATTTTGTACGTAGGTACTAATCCATTATATCTCCAGGTGTTTCTTTAGATTTTTTTCAAAATTTTTATTTTTAATTATGATTTTTCCATAAAAACCCATAAAATAACAAAATAATCAGATTTTCTCGATGGCCCTAACAATTTTGATAAAAAAATTTGTATGTTATATTAAGTTCTGAAGAAAATTGTACAAATTCCATTTCTGTAAAAATTACAGTTCAAAATATATTGTAACTTATGTTATTTTCCTATAAAAATGAAAAATTGGATTTTGGAAAAAAGAAAAAAAGGCCAGTTTTGATTCAAATTAGTATGTTATGGTCCTTAAAATGTTGAACAAAATGGAACGAAACCCATTTCCGTAAAAAGTACGGTTCAAAAGTTATTGCAACTTTTGTGATTTATCCCTATCATAGTAACTCCCACCGCTTACCCATGATAAAGGTTGTTGACAAGCCTATAGGAGAAAGTAGCCTATGTGTCAGTTTGCTGATACCGTTTATTTATTACAGTTTTAGGCACTTAATCTTATATTTTCTGACCATCACTCAACAATGCCTTTTAGAACTTGATGGAGTCAAAGCGTAACTTAAAACAACAGCTAACAAATATAAATTTGGTTATGGTTTTTATAGCTACTGTCTAGGTGTTTTAATCTCAGGTTAAACCAACACAGGCCTGTTGGAGAAATTTATGTTCCACCTAATTATAAATATCATGTATTCTTACCAGAACAACAGCATGATAAGCATTCTGAAGATCTTTCAAAGAAATATTTTCTCCGAGTGAGACGTTTCCATAAAACTTAACTCGAGGATTTTGTGCAGTCTTTGTGAACGTATTGATCACATTCTTCACTTCAGGATGGTCAGGAGCGACTCCATAGCGAACAAGTCCAAACGGAACAGGAAGTCGTTCATAAATGTCGACTTCTACAGCTGAATTATGCTGAAACAAGAATAGTTGTTGGGAAAATGTTGAAATAATATTTGAACAAGGTACGACTTTATTTTGTAATAGATGAGTGAACGAAGTGAACGAATCTATGTATCGTGTATAGCGGAGTCGGAGAAAAGTTGTCCGCTGGAGTATGTGTGTGTGTGTGTTCGCACCTAAAACTCAAGAACCGTTGCACTTATAGCGTTCAAATTTTGCACAAATAGTTATGACACCAGTGTAAAGACACCATTAAAATTCTAGACGATTCCGCTCAGTAGTAATTATAAAATACTTAAAAAACATTTTTAAATTTGTCCCCTAAGAATAACATTAGGAGCTACCTTCTTCTTCTTTTTATTTGTTTACGTTTTGCGACCAACAATTTTGTTGTCTACTTAAGACAGAGAGAACGACTTTTACTCTAAGCTCTTTCATTCATGGAGTAAACAGTTTGGCGTCTATGAATATATATCATTATAATTTCACAGCTTTCAGAATAATGTTATTTAAGCTAATTAAATCTCACAACTTTCATAATAATAAATTGAACTTAACAATATTAGTCGGCAGTTATATACCGTTTATGTTCAGTATTAAAATTTCGCCTTTTAATTAAAAGTATATAAGTATGTATGTATTTAGAACAAAGCAGCTTTTTACATTATTCAATTTAATGTTGGCATTGAATATTAAATATTCAAAAATGTTGGTATATTTTTATACTAAAATGCTATGCGAAGGGGGGGGGGAACAGGTCCCCGACGTAGAGAGTAGTAAAGCGGAAAGGTGAGCAGTGAAAAGAAAGGAGTACGGAAACCCTTTATGACTGTTAAATTAACGTATCTGTAATACTTAAATGCTATGGAAAGATAGGGAAACAGGTCTACGATGTAGGAAGTAGTGAAGGAAATAGTGAAGGAAGTAGTCAAGGCGAGCGCTGCGGAGTGTGGGGGGCCTTTATGACAGTTAGAATAATGTATCTGCAATTCTAAAAATGCTATGGGAAGGGAGAGAAACAGGTCAACGATGTAGGAAGTGGTGAAGGAAGTAGTCAAAGTGAGCAGTCCGGAGTGTGGGAAGCCTTTGTGACAATTAGAATAATGTATCTGCAATTCTAAAAATGCTATGGGAAGGGAGGGAAACAGGTTCACGACACTTAGGAAGTGGTGAAGGAAGTAGTCAAGGCGAGCATTCCGGAGTGTGGGAACCCTTTGTGGCAGTTAGATTAATGTATCTGCCATAATAAAATGCTATAGGAAGGGAGGGAAACAGGTCCACGACGTAAGAAGCGGTAAAGGAAGTAGTCAAGGCGAGCAGTCCGGAGTGTAGAAACCCTTTGTGGCAGTTCGATTAATATACCTGCAATACTAAAATGCTATAGGAAGGGAAGGAAACAGGTCCACGACGTCGGAAGCGGTAATGGAAGTAGTCAAGGCGAGCAGTCCGGAGTGTAGAAACCCTTTGTGGCAGTTAGATTAGTGTAACTGCAATTCTAAAATGCTATGAGAAGGGAGGGAAACAGGTCCATGACGTAGGAAGCGGTGATGGAAGTAGTCAAGGCGAGCAGTTGGAGTGTAGAAACCCTTTGTGACAGTTAGATTAATATACCTGCAATACTAAAATGCTAGGCTATAGGAAGGGAGGGAAACAGGTCCACGACGTAGGAAGTGGTGAAGGAAGTAGTCAATGTGAGCAGTCCGGAGTGTCGGAAGCCTTTGTGATAATTAGAATAATGTATCTGCAATTCTAAAAATGCTATGGGAAGGGAGGGAAACAGGTTCACGACACTTATGAAGTACTGAAGGAAGTAGTCAAGGCAAGCATTCCGGAGTGTGGGAACCCTTTGTGGCAGTTAGATTAATGTATCTGCCATAATGAAATGCTATAGGAAGGGAGGGAAACAGGTCCACGACGTAGGAAGCGGTAAAGGAAGTAGTCAAGGCGAGCAGTCCGGAGTGTAGAAACCATTTGTGGCAGTTAGATTAATATACCTGCAATACTAAAATGCTATAGGAAGGGAAGGAAACAGGTCCACGACGTAGGAAGTGGTGAAGGAAATAGTCGAGGCGAGCATTCCGGAGTGTAGAAACCTTTTGTGATAATTAGAATAATGTACAGTATCTGCAATTCTAAAAATGCTATGGGAAGGGAGGGAAACAGGTCCACGACGTAGGAAGTGGTAAAGGAAGTAGTCAAGGTGAACAGTCCAGAGTGTGGGAACTCTTTGTGACAGTTAGATTAACGTATCTGCAATAGTAAAATGCTATGAGAAGAGAGGGAAACAGGAAATACGTTACGTATATTACCAATGACTTTGGTTAATTAATGGACGAGAAGTTAGGATTGTTGTTGACTGAGATTTGGTTTTTTTTAAGAGGTTGGTCCAGCCTCTTTTAACCTCGCCCGTGCGTGGATCGTTTACAGCAAAGCAATTGGTGAGCCAGAACAGTACAAAGGTGAACTGTACTGATAAAATTTAGTGGCAGTGACCAGGATCCGAACTTACGACATCGCTGCCTTGGGCCCGAAGTTCGCGTGACGCTACCGACTTGAGTCACCGACTCACCATTATTTGCTCCGACTCATGGGTTGATTTGCCCATACAAATAACATTTTTTTGTACACCAGTGACACCGGTAAGTGGGCTAGGTGTGGGTAAACTCTTTCATTATTGCGCTCATGTTCACTCATCCTGTTACGCGCAGAATAAGCGTACTACTAGTATATATATGCCAAATCTCTTGTAAAGTGAAAGTGATGAACTTTTACTCTACTGAACAGCAAGTGACACATAAGTTGGCACTTGGGGCTAGTGTGATCAGTGTAGGTAGGAGGAGGTAAGGAATAGACCAGACTGGAAACATTTCCGCTGACGCATGGAGATGACTTCCCCTTTCATGTACTTGAGCGCCTTCACGAAGGTCGCGAGGACCAAGGTTCAGTTGACGCAATCCTCATGACAGCTTAAAAAGTTTCAGAACTAGGCTAGTAGCAATCAGTGGATTGCCAGCTTACGTGTCTTTAGCTGTACATTTAGGTTTTCCCATAACTGGCCCAGGCTACTTTTAAGTCCAGATTTGTATTCTTTTATTTTACACAATCTGCATCTTTTATGACATAGGCTTCTCTAGAATAAATAGTGTATCTAACCATTGACGATTGGATGCTTATGTAGGGGCCTAGACTTCTAATCTATACGGACCAGCTGCAGCGCTGCAGCCAATTGCTTCTGTCAAAAAGAACATAGCCTAGTTAAAAGCCATTCACACTGAGTGTGCTAGGGTCTGAAATTCTATTTTCAGGCTGGGTAGCTGAGTGGTTATAGTGATCGCCTAACAATCAAAAGGTTGTCGAATCAATCCTCAGATAGGTCAGTAGCTTTATGTTGGTTTGAAACTGGACCCAGCTGTCCCTGATTATTGGCCTTCAAATAAATGATCGTGACTAATGTAACAGCTGATCTTATAGTCAGCAATAAAGCACATCTCACTTCATTCTACACTGATCCCTCACTCAAATTTGAGTTAAAATGCAGACATAGGTGGCATCCCCATCTCAATTCATAATGATAAGGATAATACTAATATGAGGTACATACCTTTACGTCAACAGTTCAATTGTAGTAAGTAGAACTCACAACATGTTTCGCCTATTTAGAACAGTTTAAATTTACAAAAGCTTCCAAGACAGCCACAATAAAAACCATATTTTAAATGACCAGTTCAATTTCAAATCACACTCTATCTTCAATTCCATAATAGCCTTCAACAATAGACAAGAACAGTTTGACCTTTGTAGTACAACTACTGATAACGGAGGAGGGATCGGTGTTACATAATTCCAGCAAGTTCAGTCTGCCTCCGTACCGCGACCGGTAATAGTAGGCCTACTCTATTTGTTAAATGTTTTCGTGCGTAATGTGTGTGTATTTATTTAAATGTTTCTTGACGACTCCATCATGGATGAAGACAAAGCATTCTTGCTAGGATACAACCTGACGATGCCTGAATAGGCGAAACATGTTGTGAGTTCTACTTACTACAATTGAACTGTTGACGTAAAGGTATGTACCTCATATTAGTCTAACAAACAGTTCAGGGGCTAAATCATGAATTTTAATAAGGATAATGCTTTAAATTTTAAATACAGTAACTGTAATACTAGATGGTAGCCTACATAAAAGATGCTATGGTTTATAGTTTAAATAAGTTGTTCTTTCAATTTGGCCTGAAACCTGTTTTTCAACTGTGAGGCACTCTTTGAAATGAGTAGGACAACTCTTGGCAATCTCGTAAAAGGGAGTCGCCAGCCCCCCTCCCCCCATTGGAAGGACCATGGACATTGGAATGGGGTGGGAGGGATAAAAAACCTAAATGATTTAAAAGATGCCTAAACGTGTTGATCCAAATTATCACTATCCCAACTCATATCTTGATATGGATGGTTACTTCTTAGGATGATCTTTTTTTCATTTCAAAGAACATTCAGAAAACTTCAAAAGGATTGATGGAACCCACAGATAAATACCCCCGCCACAGCAAACCTGTAGACTAATCAAATTTCAACTTGTCTGAATAGGATTTTTACTAAGATATTCCCATTAACAAGTCATATTTACAATTAGTTTTAAAGAGTACTTAGGTTTGCTGCCAAAAGGTGTGGATAAAAAGTGATTTTTTTACCAAATTTTTATAATTTAGGATGAAATAAATAATTTTGCTAAATATGATCAAAATATATCCAAAAAAAACCAACCTACAAAAGTTTTCTTTTTCTCTAGGTAGCCTACCTATAAGAATAACATGGGAATTTTAAATACAACTTATAGTTTTTTTTAAATTATTTTTTCCGTAACCTTTAATTGTAAAACAACACTTAAATGTACAAAATCTTTTAGTTAATAACTAATTTCTTTGATGGGTGGCGTCGTCCTGTAATCCAACTACTAGGAAGTCACGAATTGTGGATATTTATAGGCATGCACTGTGGATGCGATACTCCCTGGTGTGGATTAACGTCCGCACAGGTAAGTACTACGACTATCTGCAGTACTATCCTGATAATTAGACCAATTCGTAATTACCAAGGCAAAAATGTGGTTCGGATTCTACTATAAACTGTAGGTCCCTTAGGTGCCAGCTTAGGTAACAGCTGTGTCTAAGGAATGTCGGCCTTAGTCACTAACAAGACTACAAGATCGCGCCACTCATCCTACACTCATCTCCATTCATACTTGGCTTAAAATACCTACTTTGTATGGTCGCCATTTCATAGAACAGTATTAACAGTATTTTGGGATGGCTGTACTGAAAATTGGGCCTTTCCATGTTTTTATTGTTAAAGTTAGTGAAAAAACTAATTCAAAACCCCATTACACCCCATGATCTTGCTGATTCGTGAGCTCATCCTAGTTAATCAGACCATAATTACCTGAGTTACGGTATGTTTATTGCGTTCACATATAAGCTATATAAATTTAAACGAAAAGTGTTTTTGGCCTCTGGGGACGTCAAAATGAAAAAGTAAATCGGTCCCAGGTCTAGGTCAAGCTTACAGTTTAGGCCTAAGTTTACCGTGCCACTTACGGTAATAGCTACTTGCCTATTGGTAAACTTGCTAAATCACTACCTTTACAAGATGCTGAGCTACGTAGAAACCTGCTGGACCACTTCCAATGATACACACTTTTTGAGTATTTGCTCTGCTTGAAAAATATCTCCAGCTTGAATAACACAGTCTGCATAAACTAGGCATGGTCAAGTAAGTTAATTGAGCTTAGTTATTCAGATAACGTTTCTTGCTGGCTCCCAATGCTCAATTGGCTCTGGAAAGCGAAGAAAAGAAATTAATAGTTTAGGCCTACATAGGCTGTTGTTAGTAGATAAAAGCTTTATTCCCAACAGAGTTTTAATTGCCATTCAAAATGTTCCTATATTTTTTTTATGGGGTGCAAACAGTCATTGGGAACGGAAAATGTATCATAATGTTATTTTTTGTAAAAGATAATCATGTTGGGTTGGTCGCAAGATGTCAAGAAAATTGATTAAACAATATTTTTTTTTAGATTACACTAATAAAAAGTTACATCTTAACTAAAAAAAACATCTATATATATAATTCTGTAAGACCAAATTTTTACCAGAAAATTGTGGACGTCTGGTAAGTCGCAGAAAAGTGGTAGGGGTCTTAAATTAAAGGTCTTGACCCCAGGGACTCGGGAAAAATAGCAGAATTCCCACAAAGTTACCAGAAATCGAGTTATAACGTAAAATATCCACCATAAGAAATGCATGGGGACTGAAAAACGTATGCATTCTATCAGCTGTTACTTATTTATTTGCAATGTTTACATTGATTCCGAAAGTCAATGCTGGTAAACAATGTTTCAAAATGAATTGTGTTTAATTTTTTGTTTTTTGTTTTTATAATGAGTGAAGTAACTAGACAGGGTAGGGAAAGACCTGCAAGACGTGGAAGAGTGTCCAGGAATTCAACAGACTTAAGAAATGCAAAAGAGAACGTCATGTAGGGCCTAACTGTGAAAGAAATCCAGAAGCTGTTTTACAACCTGTCTTTAGAAGAACGCTGGAAAATGAGTTGAGTGTTGTTTCTCACAATCTAGGTCCTCCTAAAGCACTTGCATGCATTGTGGCGCATTTCACTTCGCAGAGGAGGCCACAAATGGACATTTCAACGCATGTTGCCATAATGGACATGCCACAACCACAATTAAAGGACGAACTAAATGAACTGTTTTTACATGATTCGAACTTCATAAAAAACATGAGGCTAATAATAATAATAATAAGGCTTTACAACAGTGCAATGGCTTTTGCGTCGCTTTCCGCTACACAAAAAAAGATACCGGGAAATGGGCCTTACTGTCTTAAAATTCAGGGACAAATTCATTGATATATTTCTGACTTACTACTGCAAAATGGGGAGTTTCCTTCATAATAATTAATAATAATTTTAACCTTTACATTTGGTTCTCAAAATGAAAACTATAACAGAATTCGTAGGATTACAAAAAAAAATCTTCAATTTTAAAGTATAAAAGATGTGCAATGTTTGGCTGTATGATTTCAGCTCTGATTCGTCGTTCTCCGGGCTCAGGCCAAACCGTGTGCACGTTTCCATTTGTTAATAGGCCTATGTTGTGTTATTGATTTAGTCATTATTTTACATTTGTATTTCATTGACACATCAGAAGCAACTAATATACGACTCCAACGGAAGGTAAACCAAGATATAAAACAAGAAACACTGTTAATTTTAAGTAACATAAAACTGATAACTTTAAAAACATATTTCGAATATTTGTCTTTTTATATACGGTATGTTTTTTATTGTAGTCTAAATTAGGGGCTATGGCCCCTACAGGCCACTAGTACCAAATAAACATGTAACTCACAAATACAGTAACAACACTTATATGTAATAAGAACTGTATATGGGTACCGTTCCGCAGAGAACCTGTAACATATTATCGGATTAAATATCAATATACATTTATCGATAATAATTCGGTTTGATATTACAATTATTGCATCGAATTTCGTTTTACCAAATTAAAGTTGTTTCTTTTTACCCTTAGGCTGAGTCAGAAGAAGGATTCCGGGATTAAAAATAAATTGAATAGCCTAAGTAACTGGCACAACTAAAATAGCAGCAAATTGTTTATTTATATTACTTTAAATAGGTTTTCAACTGCAACTTAGACAAGTACTGTAAGTATAACCTATGAGGATCATAAACAATAACAAGATTTGGACTGTTGACTGTATATTATAAAGTACATAAATCAATAGATATTTTAACTTACGTATAAAAATATCCAATATTTGAATACATAGGGTAATTATTTGTAATATGTTTTTAAATATCTGAAACTTTGATCTATTGTGAGGTTAGATTATACAGATAATAATGTAAATATTATGTATTTATGACAGGACAGGACGTTTCTGATTCTGACGTTTAGTTTAACGAATAACAATAACAAACTAGAAAATTTTTCCAGTACAGTCTAGAGACAGCGGTTCAGCTAAGAGAACTGAATACCGATGGAGAAAAACTTTACTGAATTTCTCTGAGCATAGGTTAACATTACTTGAGATAATATGATTTAAAACTTGTCAAAATGTGCATTAATTAATTGACCCCGTAACTAAATTATGGTCAATAACAGGTCTAATTAAACAAATTATTATTAATCTATCATATAACTGACTAATCTGTACTAATACTATTGTTCACATTACTTATAATACTTTAATAATTTCTTATTAAATGGCAAACATACAAAGTAGGTATTTTAAGCCTTACATTAAACAGATATGTAATATAATACTTGGAAGGTACAAAAATGGCAGTTTGCCGAGTTTGCAGACAGCAACAGGGTCAGTGTTATCCCAACGGCCGCCTCTGGCCTGGTAGAGTTGGCAACGTCGCAAGTAGGCTTGTTTAGTGTCCGACGTCCCATAAGATAACATGGCAGACGGGTAACATCAGCTCGTTAATTTGCACTTTCTTGATTTAAATTTAAATTTACTAGGTGGCGTTTGCAGAGGCATCCACAAAATTGAGCGGAGTCATCAAGAGTTTATATTATATTGTTTTGGCCATACTACAGTAATACCAGTCGTTTTTAAAGCATGCGTTGCGGGTCTAAAGTAGCATTTTTACTCTTTAGGAAGTAAAAATAGTTTGTATCCTCTATGGAGTAAAAATCTGCTGTTGTCATATCAGTAGTAAATTTCTATATTGTAAACGATTGCATGTATCGAAATATGTATCGATTCGTGCTTCGTAATTATTTTAACCTACAGTCTACAGTCTCTTCCCATAGCCTTTTAGCATTGCAGATACATTAATCCATTCCCACACTCAACACGCTCACCTTTACTACTTCCTTCACCACCCCCAACGTCGTGGACCTGTTTCCCTGTCTTCCCATAGCATTTTAGGATTGCAGATACATTAATGTAATTGCCAAAGATAGTTCCCACACTCTGCACTGCAAGCCTTACTACTTCCTTCACCATTTCCTACGTCAGAGACTTGTTTCCTTCCCTTCTCATAGCAGTTTGGATTAAAGATACATCAATCTAACTACCACAGACGGTTTTCACACTATGCTCATAATTTACTACTTTCTAAGCCATTTCCTACATCGTGGACCTGTTTTCACCACTTTCCATAACAATTTAGTATTTTAGATACGTTAATCTAATTGTTACAAACATTCCCAACACTCCGCATTGCTAGCCTTTACTACTTCTTTCACCATTTTCTATGTCGTGGGGATGCTACCATCCCTTCTCATAGCATTTCAGCATTGCGGATACGTTAATCTAACTGCTACAAACGGTTTCCAGTTTCCACACTCCACACTGCTCACCTTACCACTTCCTTCACCTCTTCTTATGCCGCGGACCTGTTTCCCTCTCTTCCCATAGAATTTTAAGATTGTAGATACCTTAATCTAATCTTCATAAACAGATCCCACACTCCGGACAGCTCACCTTGACGACTGCCTTCACCACTTCATACGTCTCGGGACTTTTCTCTCCCTTCCCATAGCATTTTAGGATTGCAGATCCCTTAATCTAAACGTCATAAACAGTTCCCACACTCCGGACTGCTCGCATTTACTACTCCCTTCACCACTTCCTACGTCACGGACCTGTTTACTTCCCTTTCCATAGCATTTTAGGATTGCAGATACCTTGATCCAATGGTCATAAACAGTTCCCACACTCCGGACAGCTTGCCTTGACTACTTCCTTCACCACTTCCTACATCGTGGACCTGTTTTCCTCCCTTCCCATGGCATTTTATGATTACAGAGACCTCAATCTAATCGTCATAAACAGTTCCCACACACCGGACAGCTCACATTGACTACTTCCTTCATCACTTCCTATGTCGCGGACCCGTTTTCCCTTAGCACTTCCCATAGCATTTTATGATTGCAGATACCTTAATCTAATCGTCATAAACAGTTCCAACACTCCGGACTGCTCGCCTTTATTACTTCCTTCGCCACTTCCTACGCCACAATCCTGTTTACCTCCCATTCCTTAGCATTTTTGGATTGCAGATACCTTGATCTACTCGTCATAAACAGTTCCCACACTCCGGACAGCTTGCTTTGACTACTTCCTTCACCACTTTCTACATCGTGGACCTGTTTTCCTCCCTTCCCACAGCATTTTATGATTGCAGATACCTTAATTTAATCGTCATAATCAGTTCCCACACTCCGGACAGCTTGCCTTGACTACTTCCTTCACGACTTCCTACGTTACGGACCCGTTTTCCTCCCTTCCCATAGCATTTTATGGTTGCAGATACCTTAATCTAATCGTCATAAACAGTTTCCACACTCCGGACTGTTCGCCTTTACTACTTCTTTCACCACTTCCTACGTAGCGGACCTGTTTCCTTCCCTTCCCATAGCATCATAGGATTGCAAATGCCTTAATCTAATGGTCATAAACAGTTCCCACACTCTGGACTGCTCACCTTTACTACTTCCTTCGCCACTTTTAACGCTACGGACCTGTTTCCCTCACTTTCCATAACATTTTATGATTGCAGATTCCTTAATCTAATCGTCATAAACAGTTCCCACACTCCGCACAGCTCGCATTGACTACTTCCTTCATCAGTTCCTACGTCGTGGACCCGTTTTCCTCCCTTCCCATAGCATTTTATGATTGCAGATACCTTAATCTAATCGTCATAAACAGTTCCCACACTCCAGACTGCTCGCCTTTACTACTTCCTTCACCACTTCCTACGTCGCGGACCTGTTTTCCTCTCTTCCCATAGAATTTTAGGAATCCAGATACCTAAATCTAATCGTCATAAACAGTTTCCACACTCCAGACTGTTCACCTTTAGTACTTCCTTTAGCATTTCCTACGCCACGGACCTCAAGCTAGTGTCGTCATTTGATTATATTTATGATTCATACCGTTTCTGTTCTAATATCTGTGGAATAATGCTATCAGCTATTTCTTCATCTGCTGCATTCAAAAGTCAACAGCTGATCATATGTCTTTGTTTATGTGTCAAATACTGCTTCCATAAGGATTACATTGAAACTTTGAGACCCAGTGGGCCGGATTCCTGAGAGTTATTTTTAACGCCATATAGATGTTGGCACTCACCGATATGGTATTTATCACCATCCAAAATTTGAAAACGATTGATTCAGCCGTCTAGGAGGAGTTTGCGTATTACGAAATGCATAAAAGTCGGCGTATAAGAGCTTCGCTCGCTCCGCTCAATAAACTTAAATTTATTAAAATATAGGAAATAAAACATACAGAACTGAAAACAAAAAACAATATGAAATGAAAATATATATCTTTACATTTAAAGTGGAGTCAATATTTTCATAGTCCAGTAACCAAGCTTTCGTAAACACACAAATACCATTAGCTGCTTCCAAACAAAACAGCTGTTGCAACCCTACTTGCGACGTTGCCACTTCGAAGGCCGCGGCCTGGAGTTTAAGGAGGCCGTGGTTATCCCCCACTGTGATAACCAATTGCCCAATGCCCAGTATAGTGCCAGGTTGTTAGACGGAGCTGTGTACGTACCCCAGTGAATGGGAAGGGGTGCCAGAGGTCACCCAGACTTCGATGTGGTCACATAATGAATTTAATAAAATCAGATTGTAGGACCATGACGTGGTCTTGTATTAAACGTTCTATACATTGCATTAAGCCCAGTGATTTAAGACAGTTATTGGGCTCAATTTTGAATCATCAGATCTAGGATTGAACCAGCGCCAGCTAGGTATCAAAAATAATTTTCTTAAGCAACATTTGCGAAGGGAAATACAGCTATTTTGAAAAGACCCATGTAGTTCAGGGGAGCATTGTTAATTTCCTTTTTAGAGTCATGAGAAGTTTAAAGTAAAAACATAGCTTGTTGACATATTTTTTACTGTGGTACTAAATAAGCAAATTGTTAAAATATATGTATTTACTTATAATCCTGTAGTAAACATACCGTACCACCACCACTTAGTGGTGAAGAGGCTATTGGGGTGGTTTGGTGGTGAGACCAAGGATGAAGCTTATTTTTTTAGTTGATGTGAGTTAATACAAAATATGTGTCTAATTAGAAATAATATGTTCTTTGAACCCAGTGACAAGACCTGTATTATACAGATTTATTTACCTATTTTTGCCTGAAGGTCTTGTAGGATGTTGAAATTACTAAACGGTAGGGTATCACCAATCTGACACATACTTTCTCCCATTCCTTGTCAACAACTACCTTTATCATAGACCTAGCAGCTATACCCGTGCCTTGCAACTGGGGTCAGTGGGTCATATTATGCAAAAGAGACAATGTTGGTTCTTTGAAAATTACTTTAAAAAATGATTTCACACCCACCATTTAATTTTGAAACGAAATTGAACAAACTGTATTACCTTGATAATAGAACCTTTTGTCAACTCAGAGTGTGAACACTTATTTAGGCTACCTAGGATACAAAATTAATTATAGACTTTAAGGTAATCAAATAACATGTTAAACGGTTTTTTTACAATATTTTCCATGGAAATTTTATATGAAATTTTTTTAAATTTTCTCTGTAACCAATAACACTTTGATATACTATATTAAATTGTTTTTTTTTTAGTTCTTTAAAAAGGTCTGGATAAAAATTTATAATTTTGTGTTTTAAAGGTAAAAATGAGAAAACTCAATTTTTACCCCATAAAATCCCCCGTTCCCATGGTCCGATCATGCTGGTTCACGAACTCATTCAAGTTTATCCCGCCTTACACCTTCAAACCAAATTTTATCAAAATCGGACAAAAATTACTGAAGTTATCGTCTTCACGGACACATTTTCAACAATGGGCATTTGCAAATTTTCAAAAATAATCTTTTTGAAATTTTTATTTTAATCTTTACTTGTAGCATATTATAGTAAAGCTAATTTCATAACAAGTAAGAAAATTCAACAGGGGAAGGGCTAAGTGCATTGGTATAGGAAACACAGAGTATTAAAATCATATTGATTAAAAAAAAAAAAAAAAAAAAAAAAAAAACTACCCCATTTTGAAACTGAATAAGATAATTAATTTCTGTTTTCGCCAAAATTTTTGTCTAATAAATACCTTTAAAATGATGTTTAACATGACAGGTATGTTTACATTTGAAAATCCCAAGATTTTAACTAGCGAAACTAGTTTTTGGCACTCCCTGTATTGGAAAAAAGTTTAAAATATGTTTACGTTATTCCTTGGGGTCGATTTAGCTGGAAATAATTTTATTTCATCCTTGTACATTATGCCATTTTTCCGTAATCAATTTGAGACTTCTTTGTGGGACACCCTGTAAGTAGAATTAATTACCAGCTTTTCAGTCATAGCTTCTCAATAAAGCAAACATTTTTCCTTAGAAATTTTTCCACCTACTGAGCATACACTTTGACTTGTCAAGTAGGATATTCAATATAGTAGTGACAATTAAATTTAGTACCCCAGTCTTATCCATATAACTAGCTGTAGAAGTCATCACTACAAAAAATATAAGTCAGTACTAAAAAAAATTGATCCAGTAGTCATAGGAAGAAAATCAACAAACTAAAAGATTAATATGTTTATTATCAAGATTGCACATAAATTGCCTACTAGCAGGTTTATATGCCTTTGCTCGGAATCTAAAATTAACAACAAATAAATAAAGGATTGCTAACCTACGAACAAGATATCTTAATCAGACAAGAACAATAACAGAATTATCGATACAAATACAACCTGAAAGTTATGGCTTCGAGTATTATTGATATGAGTCCAAAAATTAGTCTTGAATTTGCCAAAACTGAATATCTATGTTGACGATAAAATATTTCTTTAGAAACTATAAGTTTGCGATCGTCATTCATCAAATTTTTAAGATACAATATGACATTTGAGTTTTTAAGGTCAGAATTAAAATTTGATTCTAGATGAATACTAACAAGTTGTTTTTTAACAAAGTAATTTGTCAACTTTTTATAGTAAGAATAACTGGTTAATAATTAATTATTGTACAACCATCTAACTTCAACCTTTAATCCAAATCCAGAAATTATTCATCCTACAATCAATGACAGTACATCCAGTTTTTTGTTATCCTGGAATTCCTATTAGTGTTTTCAGACTTTGTTCAAAGTAGTACATATGATAACATACTTAAAAAATAATGAAAAATATTAGTTTTGAGTTTGCAATCATGTAATACAAATTTAACAATGCCACAATGTGCTTAGAAAAATCTATTGTAGTAAAAAATTACTGAAATATATTAAAACAATTTAAAATATAAAATATTCAGTTCTGGCACTGACAACTAACATACAAAATCACAATCATCAAACCTAACTTAAAAGTTAAGAATTATTGCAGGCAATTTCATGAGCAAGGTAGAAAAAATGAGCAATTAGTAAACAGTGAGAGAAAACTCTAAATATGCTATTCGAGATTAGTGCCATGATTAAAATTTTAACAACTATTTACAATCCTTGCTCAACGAGTAACGACTTACAAAATAGGGGGTTTGTCCCTTACAAAAGTCAGCCCTAAAAGTATTAAGTAGTCTCGACTTAATCTACGACCACAACTACTGAATAAATACCCTAGTGCTAATATCGATGAAATATCGCGTTTGTAACTAAATAAAATTAATAACCTGTGAACGGCTTAAACTATGTAAATTTTGCACAAAAAAGATCAGTCTTATTAAAGTTTAATCTTTGAAGAAGACAACACTAATATAAATTATTCAGAGCGAAAGAATACATGTGTTTGATTCTGGTATGGTATGAATTGTAGTTAATTTAGCATTCTACCTTCAACTATTAATTTGTATTATTCCTTGGTTAATATATTTTGGCTCATAAAAGTAAATTAAGCATCCAAAGGACTATGTGAGCTTCATACTTGTAAAGGAAAATCTAATGAACCATTAAAGTTGACGTTCTTTTTATAATCAGACAATAATTTTATGGCTTATAAGTACTACATTTTTTTCTGTAATAACTAGTCAGGTTATACAAAATTTTACCATTTTTGAATCAACGAAAGACAAGTTTTCATAATCTATTATTTTTTTACCCAGAGTAGTTTTAAGTTGTAATAGTCCTGAAATTGACATAACACTTTTGAAAATGCACTTGAAACAGCAGGCGACCAAAAAACATCACCTCGCTTAATGGCAACAATTGCGTTACAAACACGATGAAATGAGAAAATAAATAGTTACAAAAATATAAAAAAAACACTTAACTAAAAAAAATGAAGCCTCTAAATCTAAAGCATTTATGTGTTAGTCTGGCTTTCGCCAAAGGTTGTGCAGAAAAGGAACTTTGTACAAAAAATGTCATGAAAACACAGCACAAAACGAGTTTCTACGTAAGTAAGCTGCCCTATTCTAGACTTATTGCCGGCATAATACCATCGTTAGATTAATACTATCGTAACTATATACACACGACCATTAGGCACAAAGGTCATAGGGTCAAGGCTGCAAATGCTCGGACAACCCTGTTTGTCCGTTCGCTGACAACGGACCCGCGGCGAACCTAACCTAGTCTAACAAAACAATAGGCTTAATCTAAATTGAGTAAGACTCTCCATAAAATGTGCTTATTAAGTGTAATTATTTTGTATAGCCTAAATATTTCAATAGGAGAGCAATACTTTTTATTGCATAAACTAGAGTAATTTTACAACTTCAACTTAAAAGTGCCACATGGCTGGTCAACAAGTTTTTTCCCCCTTTAAAACTTCTAACATGCCATTTGTAAACATTCCTGCTGCCTAACTGACAAATTCTAAACTAACTACTACTGTTAAGTTAGTAAGTTATAGTTCAATTTGTTTTTGTTTCATGGGTTCAATCCCATGCATTGATTTTTACACAGGCCTTCAAATGCATTCTATGCTATTGCAAAAAACTCAAAATAACTTTTAATCTAAATTAGCACTTTTATATTTTCATTGAGATTTAAATACAAATGTCAAAGTAAATATATTTGTTCATACTGTTTGCAATAAGCACTGTAGCTACATTTTTATGGAAAAAAATATCCTAACATGAAATTAAATACACACACACACACACAATTTGTCTGAGATTCTTACATTTTGTTCACTTTATAGTTGCAATAAGCGTAAAAATACATTTCCAAAAGGAGAAATAATATTTGAACTATCCTTTATCAGGAATAAATATATATGAGTAAAAAAACCTCAAAAATACTGAAAGCAATAACATTTTATAGATCAATAAATAACAGAATTATTACACAATAAAGTCAAATCTTCGCCAGCGAGCCCGCGGGGCGAAATATCGAAAAATAAATAGCAAACACAGAATCACAGATTCACCTAACCTAAGCCGAGTATTCCGAAGAGTATTGAACAGAAAAGAGAGCTGAGACCATGTAATACTGGAGAAGGTTCGGTACAACATAATACTAGGTCGGACGTAAGGACGGGAAGGAAGGGTCAAGGAAACCCAGTCCCCACCAGGGCGGCATGGTTTCGCAACATGTTAGAATGAAACATCTGCGCCAGCAGCTTTACACCCTGTGGAAATAATCAAGAACAGTGTTACAGGGCTGGCAATGAAAACTGTTATTTACTTATGAAGTCATAACACTGTGTTGCTTCTCTGCTCTAGTGGACAGGGCAAAAAACAAACAGCTAATTATGAATATAGAGTAGAATATAGAATAGAGTGAGATATAAAAAGAAGTCTACATCTCAATACAGAATTTAAGTAGGTAAACAAAACTAAGTTTTGCAAAAAAGGTCTGATCTCTAGAAAGTTTGGTAAAATGTAAAATTAATACCATTATATTCGTACAGGCAACATTGTAACATTACAACTATGAAGGTCGCTGGTTTGATTCCAAGCGAGATCGTTTCCAGACCCAGATGCCATTTTTTATTGCGCTATGAATGCTATGCTATCCAACAAAACAGATGACGTTAGATAGTAACAAGACCAGGGTTTGGACTATTCCCTTTCAAAACATAAAATACCCCTGCTGCAATAAACCTGCAGACTAAGCAAATTTCTGTTTGCCTGATTTGATGTTTTGTTCAATGTACTATGTAAATATGTACTAAAAGAATAAAGATTGTTTGAAATGAAATGAAATGATTTGAATATCATTAGGTTTAACGAGTACCTAGGTTTGCTGCCTACAGGGAGGGTAATAAAGTGTGTTTTTAGTAAAACATTAATAGCTTAGTATAAAATAAATAAACTTGACATGTTTGATGATCAAAAATATTCATGAAGAAGCAAACTACAACAGTTTATTTATTCTCCGTAAGAATAACATGGGAATTTTAATCATACAATTTTGTTTCAATTTTCTCCGTAACCAATAACCATACAAAAACACTTCAATATACTAAATTATTGGTTTTTTCAAGCTCTTCAAAATTGTTTGGATAGAAAATGGGAAATTTTATGTTTGGAGGGTGAAAAATGAGAAAAAACCTATTTTTACCCCATAAATCCCCATTCTGTATTGTACTGTATATATATATATATTATAAATTTGAATGCAGAGTGTTTTTTAGCCTTTGGGGACATCAAAACGAAAAAGTAAACCGGTCCTGGGTCCAGGCCTTACCATGAGACCTACGGTAATAGCTTATTCCCTATATAGGAAATTCGCTAAAATGCCACTCGAGTTGAAAACACACAAATAAGTTAACAGTTTTCACACCAACCATGTAAATTTGTTTTTTAACGTATAACTTTTCAATAGGTAGTCAATAACTTAAGAGTAAACAAAACATTTAGACAAAAAGACAAACAAACAATCATATATGCTATTTCTAATGAAATAATACAGTAATAATATCAACAAGGGTGAGTATCAATAGTTGCAACATAAAGTTATGTTTCAGATCTTAAATGTGTCATGACTGTGTCACAAAACTAATTCATATTTTATATATAGAACATACGATTTTAAACTCAAATTGTTAAGGACCACAACAATATTATTAAATTAATAATCACAACGATTACAAAGAGAGCAGTTGATGTTAAAAAGGCAAAATCACTTAAATTGTTAAATCTAACTATACTAAGCAACAATAAAATGTTGGCTGGATGTTAATACGTCAAAATTTCACACATTCAGTCTTGATTATTAGTCAAACTATTAAAAAGCCAATGGTAATCATTTATCTGGTAAATAATAGAAGTGGTAAAATTTAAATAGAAGTGGTAAAATTTAAACAAGCAAACTTAGTTAAAATCTAAAGCTATATAAGCAGTTTTACTATGTTTATATATATTTTTGGATGTAAGGTTTGGAAATCAATAGATGAATGTAATATATAAACAATTTTAACATTTTCTTATCGATCTAGTAGGCCTATTTATTAAGGTGTCAGTCACTTTTATATATAAGTATTTAAATGGGTGCAAGACTTTTCTTTATAAATAAATGTTCCTACGTTTTTCTAAGGGGTTAGGGTAATCCTGACCCTAGCTACTTCGATCTGTAGACCTTTTTATAGCACCCCTCAGCTCAGTCTGACAGTCCTAGGCTTTTGGCATAGCTGTGAGACGATAACTGCTAGGTTTGAAACAACTAAAACTGCACATTACTAACAAGTAAATTTAATATGCTTCAAGATTAGCAAACATCATTCTGGAGCATTTAAATGGTAAAAAACAAGAGCAAGAAGTATGAAATTTAGTGTGCAATATTTTAGTTAAATAAAATGTTTTTGGCCTCTAGGGACATCAAAATGATAAGGTATATCGGTCACGGCTCCAGGTCTTACCGTGCCACCTGAAGGTAATAGCTACATCCCTATAGAGAAATTTGCTAAAAATGCATTTCAATGTATCCAATGAATTAGATATATTCATGCCATCAGAAAACATACCATTTGTGGTAGAAAATGCTCATATACAAGCATATAACTACAACTTCTTGCATAGCTAAGTTCTAAGAATTGAAAGGAACTCAAACGAAAAATTGCACATTAACAAGCTGTAAATAATGTTTAAAAAGTTTTAGTATTCTCTTTACAACTGACAGCACTACACCTTACCCAAATTTTAGAAGTGTCGTAGCATACATATCATTAAGACTCAAAATAATCAAGACTGAACACAAAGTAACAAGTGAAATGTGTGACTAATACATCCAACCCAACAATTAACCCTGGCAAGAATTCCCACTGAGGCGGGAGAAATTAATTCGTAGCAAAAAACTAGCCAAAACAACTGTTTAACAGAAGGATCGTTCTACATCGAAACGATCTTTCTAAGAACATAAACAAAGGGATGATTTTACTGATGACCGGCCACCAAATTGAGTGGCGCTTCATTAGGCTCATCTCGTTTGAAGTTACACACCCCGACTCCCGCAGACGACGGAGGGAAGCCCGAGCTCTGTTGCAGTGCGGCCAACATGAGGTGAGGTTGAATCTGGCGGCGCAGTGCTACCAACATGTCATCACACTCTTCACTGCCACTGTTGCCCCCACTGGCACACTCACTACCAGCCTCTGTGAAAAAAAAAACTATCTGTGAAAATGTTGCTAAGAAGATGCAGCATAGTAGAAGATATGAAAAGTATTAAATTTAACATTAAAATAACTGATCGGGCCTTACCTGAGGTATTGAGGGATGTGTTTGCATATTTTCCGCCCTTGGTTGTCTTATCACCCCTAGGTCGTCTTCTCCTTGTATGTATTGTATCTCGTCTCATTGTTGCGGGCCTGTAAGTAAACAGAGATATTAAAGATCAAAGTTTCAAGCGGTTGCTTATCTCAAATAAATCCCTTGCAAGTTTCTTGACATCAGTCAATTCGGTCCATTCTCCATGTTCTACACCTTTTTCTGTCTCGTGGTCACGGTACCTTTGTCAACATATGTCGTCACTCGCGACACATCGAAATATCCGACAATCAGAACCAATCACAGTGTCGAGAAAATCCCGTATCAAGGTAGGAGTGTGTGAAGCAGCAAAAAAACTTTCAATCAATGGATACTGATTCAACAGGGTGTCCACCAGGCCAACCAGAAAAAATTCATGAGTAAAAAAATCCAGGTAGTTCAGGTCGTACTTTTTATACTATAATTTCCAACTCCCGCAATGCTGTTTTAGCGCTAACACAGCTTGCTATTTTAGTTATCGAAAAGAGCATTCTCAGTTAAGGAAAAAAAAAATTATGATTGCTGTTATATTGCCTGACATAAGTATTCAATTTTTATATAATACTGATTAAATAATCCAAAAATTAAAAACTAATTATTAAACCTGCAATTTATTAACACATTGAACCCTAAGCCCGAGTATAGGTCGGGGTATGACGTAAGACACACTGAACTAACCCCGAGTATAGGTCGGGCTTCAATATTAAATTCCATAGCAACGTAATGACGTCACATTTGCTATTTTTGTTATTACGTAACCATTCCTTGGTCATCTGGCTTCGATTGTAATACCCCACAACCTAAAAAAAACCAGCTGTTTGGTAACACAAAAAAAAGATCCAGCTGTCTGCAGCCTTGCATCGTATTGCTTAGTGATGACGACGACGACGCTTTGTTGTTGTTGTCTGCGCTAATGGCTGTCTTTGTTTACAATCGTTTATGTGTTCAATAAAGTGAATGTTTTATGTTTTTTACAAGTATTATGATTGCGTAATAGTTCTTGTTATGAGCAATACCTTGTTGTGGATAATTTTTATTGTGTTTAGTGTCAAATATGAGCGATATATTTGATAAAAAAACGTTGAGTCATATTCGTGAACTCTTGTCAGAATCAGACCATAGTGATGAAGAAAATCAATCTTTTAGTGAAAATAATTACTTATGTTCAGGACCTAGTTCTACTACAATATCAGTAAATGAAAACTTGAATGATCCTATTTATGATTCTGGTTCGGAAGGTGAGTTTGTTGTAAGTAATTTAGATGCTTTTCAAAATGAGGTTAGTGCAGTTACATACATGGTTGATGAAAATGATCCTGATGAGTTGGTGTTTTATGATTTACTACCAAGTGACATAGACAATGATGACTGTAAAAATGAATCAATTTCAGTAGTTGAAGAAGATGAAAGTAGAAACTTAGGCCCAATTAGATGTAAATATAACCCTAGGCCTACAATTTACTCTGATGAAGAAAACTGTGATGAACCAGAAACAGTTCTAGACACTACTAGGCCTACAGATGGTATACCATTTAGGCCTAACCCTCTTGAAATTAGTCATGAACAACCACCCAATCAGCCTAATCATAAAATTTGCAAAAACAGAAAATTACTTAGGCCTAATAGTTCGATAGTTTCTTCGGATGACGAACTGTGTGATCCTGATTTCGACAATGTTGACAAAGATCCTGATTTTCTACCTAGTGATCGTGAAGATAATGTCTTACAGCCTTCAGCTACTTCTTGTTTAGGTTCTCTTAGGCCTAATAAAGTAACCAACCAAGTAAAACGCCGGTCAAATAGTACTAATTATAATCGTAAAACCAAAAGACATCGATCTATATCGCCAAATGAAAACTTACCGGATAATGCAAATTTACCTGTGCCAAATGAAAACTTTGAACATGAACCGGAGCAGACTCAACCAAGGAAAAAGAAGAAAAAAAAACCCACTGATGAGGAACTTGGATGGCGGTTGGAGGACAACCCACCGCCACTACCAGCATTTGACGAGTTAGGCGCTGGTGTTACGGCTGCTATTGATGAGAACTCAACTCCATTTGATGTGTTTTCTATATTTTTTCCTGAATTTTTTATCAAATCATTGAAGTCAGAGACAAATAAATATGCCAAATCTATAACCGATAAACTAAGAAGATCAAACAAATTGAAGAAAAATAGTGTCTGGTCAAAATGGACAACCGTAAAGCTTTATGAAATTTACCATTTTTTCTCGATTGTATTGCACATGTGTGTTGTGAAAAAACCTAAACTTAGTGACTATTGGTCAACAGACAATTTTATAAAATCTATGTATGCTCCATCAGTCATGGCCAGGGATAGGTTCCTAGCAATTTTGGCAAATTTTCACATCAACGATAATTCAACATACATCCCATTCAACACTCCAGGCCACGATCCGTTACATAAACTAAGACCATATATAGATCTTTTGCTGACTTCTTTCCCAATGTGTTTTTCACCGTACGAAGATTTGACCATAGACGAAGGAACTTGCGGATTCAGGGGTAGAGTTCGGTTTAGAGTTTATAATAAAAGTAAGCCTGACAAGTACGGGATGAAATTATATGTTTTGTGTGATGCATCTACAGGATATGTTCTAAAATTTGAAGCCTACACCGGTAAGTCTGACTCCAGTAATACAGTTGTAGCTCTATATGAGAGATTGTTGGCAGATTACCTCAATAAAGGACATACTATTTATAATGATAGATTTTACTCTTCACCAAAGCTTTTTGACTTTCTCTGGGAGAAAAATACTAAAGCAGTCGGTACCTGCATGAGCAATAGGACCGAGTTGCCCAAGACTGTCACCACTAAAAAGCTACAAAAAAATGAAACTGTTTTCATGAGAAGAAACCATTTACTCTGCATAAAATGGAAAGATACTAGAGATGTCTTAGCTCTATCAACAGCTCATAAAATGACTACATCAGAAGTTACGGTGCGTACAAAACAAGGGATGTTGCAAAAACACAAACCAGATCTGATTTTGGATTACAACAATAAAAAAACAGGTGTGGACAGAAATGACCAGTTTATTTCCTATTACCCTTTCAAGAGGAAACAGATGAAATGGTGGAAAAAAATGTTCTTCCACTTGTTTATGATGTCAATTGTCAACGCATTTATCTTATATCGAAAAACCAGACCTGCAAACTTGAGACCCCTCTGTCACCTTGAAAAATTTATAATAGCAATTGGAAAATCATTGAGCGAAAAAGCAGGGACTTTATTACAAGAAGAGGAAACTGCAAGAGCCACAAAATCTGATCGACTTATTGGACGTCATTTCCCTGACAAAATCCCCTCTACGGACAAGAAAAAAAATCCTACAAGAATTTGCAAAGTGTGTTCGGAAAAAAACAAAGTTTCTACAGGAAAATCTGGAAGAAAAGAAACTTCTTGGTGGTGTCCAGAGTGCCAAACACCATTGTGTGTGCCTGAATGTTTTAGACTGTATCATACCAAAGCAGACTATAGTAAAGCCTAGGCTAGATGTGCTTGGGAACTGATACGACAACGACATTTCAATTTCTCGTGTTATAATATGTAAGGTAAGCAATATAACTATATACATGTATATATTTCCTGAAAGGGCATGTTGTTCTCTTCAATTTCACATGATATAAATGCCATAATTATGCTAAAGTAAATATTAAATACTTTTTTAATTAGGTTAGTACTTGCGGTTGCAATTTTTGTTTTTCTCAATTTTTTTTGTTATTTCAAACTGAAACCCTGTAATTTATAGCCTACGGTAATGTAATAAAATATATGTCATTTAAAAGCTTATTATTTTCTCTTTAATTTGATATATTATTCACCAGAAAAAAAGTTTTTTTTTACCAAGCTACAAATTTTTAATAATACCCTAAAATTGCCCAGTAACGCCCATACTAAGGGCATTTTGCGCTCAGGGTTAAAAGTGTTAATAACTTCCTAAAAATTGTGATATATTGATACCAAAATTAATCAAATCTCTGTACAGACACCTGAAAAATAGATTCTTAATAATGATAATTTCAATTTTACCAAATTTTCTGAAGGTATCATAAAGTAAAATTTAAAGTAATGGGTTGTTTTCCAAGTGGCCTACAGAAATAATAATGCAGAAATTACAAAATTGCTGTAATCAACCTTAAAGTTAAGAACACAATGGAAACTCCATGTACAGTATCAAAACTTAAATTTATTTAATTAAAATACAAAATTGATGGTAAAAAGAAAAGAAAAGGTTCACAATAAAGTTAAAAAAAACATCCCCCATGAATTTACTAATGAAAGCTTTAGGCTAAGCCTATTACAATAGTTCTAATTTAGGTTCAGGTGTTATAACTTATTGCATGGATCTTTATCTCAGGTGGTGTGATCGAGCGGCATTTGAATTTAATCTTGTGATTTTATATAGCCTAATTAAAATTTTGTTTTGAAATATAAAATAGGTTCAAATTATTTTCTGATTGGTTGAATTAATGACTTGATTAGTGTTTCTTGACTTTTAAATTCTGGTATAAATGTTCAAAAGTTAGGCCTAAAAAGTTTTAATGGCTTCCAAGGATAGAAAATGTCTACTGGAGTGATCTCACCAAAAATTGATGTCTTCTTCACGATAAATTTCTTGATGTAGTAATTATTAATGTTCTTAACAAGGACGGTTCTTCTTTAATCGAATTTCAATAATTTAGGTTCAAATATAGGCATTTTTTTTATAAATTTTGATATTAAAATATGTAGTATCCAATTTACATCTTCATACTAGCTCAGCTCTCTTGAAAGTGATGCAGGTTTGATGCATTGTTGCACTCACATATGTCAATGCTGACTTAATCACAGAGAATTGTAGGCCACTGTTCACACATATATATTATAACAATTTTAATTTGCTAGAGAGCTAAATTATAATTTTGAAAAGTTATTTAAATAAAATTATGTTGAATTTGAAGCAATTTTGTTACAAAAATTATATTCTATTGTATATTTACATGAAATTAGGTTATTTGAAAATTTTCTATATTATATTGTATTACATTGATTACCTATTGGTCTGCATGCACAATTAATTATTATATATGGTTTGAAAAGGGAGATGGACTGACATATTGATAAAAATAAAAACATATGGTGAAAATTAAATTATTCTATAATAAATAACAGTGAAAATATTGAATTGTTGCATTGCACGTGGTCAATTTATTTTTTAAACCCTTCTAAACATATTAAACAAATACCACGTTTAAGGTAAATGAAGATATAACAAAAAAATATTTTAAAAAACATTCTAGAAATGTGCCATTTTGAAATTTTTGGTATATTGTAATCATTCAACACAGTCGTAGAGACACCATCACCGTTTTCAGCGATAACTGAAAAATCCTGAATATCTCACTCAGTAACAGAAACATCACCACTGTCTCCCGAGGTCACGGAAACGTCATCGTCATCACACGCTGTCATGAAAACGCCATCGTTGTCTCCCGCGGTCACGGAAATATCATTGTTGTCTCCCGTGGTCACGGAAACGCCATTGTCGTCTCCCGCGGTCACGGAAATGGCATCGTCGTCTCCCACGGTCACGGAAATATCATTGTTGTCTCACGTGGTCACGGAAACGCCATTGTCGTCTCCCGCGGTCACGGAAATGGCATCGTCGTCTCCCGTGGTCACGAAAACGTCGTCATCATCTCCCGCGGTCACGGGAACGTCATCGTCGTCTCCCACGGGCACGGAAATATCATTGTCGTCTCCCGTGGTCACGAAAACGCCGTCATCATCTCCCGCGGTCACAGGAACGTCATCATCGTCTCCGGCGGTCACGGAAACGTCATCGTCATCTTCCGCGATCACGGAAACATCGTCGTCGTCACCCACGGTCATGGAAACGTCTTGTCTTCATGTCGCATGCGCGATCGCGGCAAAATCACTAACATATCCCGCGGCCGTTTGGACATCCTTATCGTCTCACGCGGTCACGGAAACATCATCGTCGTCTCCCGCATTCACGGAAACGTCATCGTCATCTTCCGCGATCACGGAAACATTGTCGTCGTCACCCGCGGTCATGGAAACGTCATCGTCTTCTCCCGTGGTGACGGAAACGTCATCGTCGTCTCCCGCGGTCACGGAAACGTCATCGTCGTCTCCCGCGGTCACGGGGTTGTCTTCGTCGTCTCCCGTGGGTACGGATACATCATCGTCGTTTTCCGCGGTCACGGATACGTCATCGTCGTCATGCGCGATCGTGGCAAAAAATTCCCGGTTAAATACAAAATTCAAGCATAATTCCCGGTTTTCCCGGTTGTGGACACCCTGTTCAATAACGTATGGATACTGATTAAAAAACGTATATGGATACCGATTCAAAAAAAAAAAAACATCGCCACAAACAAATTGAGAACCTCCTCCTTTTGTTGGTAGTGGGGAAATCGGTTAAAAATATATGGATACGGTTCAATAACGTATATAGATACTGATTCAATAACGTATATGGATACAAATTTAATAACGTGTATGGATACAGATTTCAATCAATCAAATATTCTTTATTCAAGTTTAGACAATATGTCTTAAACAGCGTCATTAAACTAACATAAACAAAAAATTATAAACTAAATAATTAAAGTCATTCATTACAAAGATCTATATAGTAAGACTAAAAATGAGTGTTATTACTTAAACAAATCACAAAATCAATTTAATAACGTATATGGATACGGATTGTCAAATTGTCAATTATTCAAGTCTAAAAAGAAAAGTCAATTTCAGTACAACATTTCAATAGTCACTTTATTTAACATTTTTTCTTCATCATATTAAAAAATTATAACATGTTAAAATTAATCTTCACAAATAAATTATACAGCAGAAATAGAAAAGATTAACAATGGACATACATATATGAAATTAGTCATTAACGTCAAGTTTACTACATTTATAACTGGTCTAAATACATCATACAAATTGAACTTTAAAAAGAAAATTTATGACAGACTAATTTATTACATAGCATTGATCTTAACTTTTTTGTATGAAAAACCTCAGCTCAAAAAAAATTCAAGGTTCAAGCTCGACTTGAAATCGGCTTGATCAAAAATCTTAGGCTTGCACACCTCTATTAAAGATTAAATAAAAGAAATAAATTACGATTTATTAATTTTTTCATTTATTCACTTAGTGTGGTATTACAAATCACTTTTCAGCTCCTGATTACTGTGAGGTATAGTTGACATTTACATACACCTTACTTGCACTATGCACAAGGATAGGTCAGGTCATTTAAATTACAACTGGAATTGTCAATATGTTTTTATTATAACATTATTTCAAAACTTCCTCGTCTTGGACTGAGCCCAACAACCCAACCCTAAGAAAATGACCCCCTAGAAAATGAAACCCTAGAAAATGAACGTCCATTTGTTCAGTAATAAAACTTGTACACTACACAAAACTCTTATCATAATAATGGTAAGTAGTGTCAGACTGGAGTTCCACTGACCTGTTGACGTTGTGCAGCTTGTAGTAGAGACCACATGCGTTACACACCATCTCTCCTAGAGGGTTTCTCCGCCAGATGGTGGTGGTCCGAGTGCCACAGTTGGTACACGACAGGTCCATCCGCTTGGCCAGTGACGGCCCTTGCTGCAAAAACAACTAGGTTACAACTGAGTGCTGTCACAAGCAAATTCAAGGTTTGACATTTTTCAATTAAGATAAAAAGCAGTTTTGTATTGTCTGCATAAAAAAAACATCCAATAATTTTGTTCAGGGTGGGGCCGGGAAGTATCCCAAATTTTGAAGGTACATTAAAAGACAACCAAGAATATTAGAACCAAACTTTATATTGGGATTAAAAGGTTACATCTGGGAGTTTATTTTAATATAACTTTACTTGGTTTTAAACAGCATATCCTGCATATGGTGTCCCTAATCGTAAATACACTGCTGTATTCTGGTTCTGGAGTTCATCATAACCCTGTGAAGCATTTGTTGTGGAGTGCGGCCAACCTCAAGGTGAATTGCATCCTTCAAGGCATCTAGGGTCTTTTCGTAAACTACCCTAGGCTCCAATAGAGCATATTCTGCTTATTTACCGCTCCAGTAATATGGAAGTGTGTCTCGTCACTAAACAAAACCCGAGCAACATGAGACAGTCCCGCAATTAAGATTTCACATGCCTTCATACGTTATTGCCAGTCCCGTTGTGTGAGTTCATGAGCAACTACAAGCTTTAATAGATGGAGGTGTAGGTCCTCATGGAGAATACGAGGCACAGTAAGATTAGGCAACGCCAGCGCGGATGCTTGTTTACAAGCAGAACGTTGAGAAGACTGCAAAATCGATCTTCTGCCAAGGTAAATATTTTCAGGAGTTCGGATGGTTCTTTGAGCACCAAATATCCTTCGCAATACACCACCACGTACACGGAAGTCCTTCACCCACACCAAAATGTAACAGCTTTGCGGCAGGCCATCTGATAACAAGTTCGCAGCGCACGCTAGCTGCATAGCAACAATAGACTGATTTTTTTTTTTTAAATGCATCTCGAGTGCAAAAGCACATTGCTCACTCGAGTAAGCCATGTCTACTACTGAAAGTGATATTCTTAGAAAATCCCAAAGCAACAGCGTCATTTGAGCCTAACCCCATTCCTCCAGTACACCCATACTACTCACAGTGCCATCTTAAAAGTAGGGATATTTTCCTGCCCCACCCTGTATAGTAAAAAAAAACGTGGAGAATGGAAAATAAAGGACAGCACAGAATTGATACTGTAATTTTAGGATAGGACCCAGACATTGAGGCTGAAGTAAGCAAGAAGCAGGAGGATGAGAAGCGCTGGACGTATACTAGAGAAAGAGGATGGACAGTTATTTAATTAAAGTTGTCAAATAGGTAATACAAAAAGGTGGTAAACCAATAGGAAGGCTCCAGCTGAGATGGCAGCTCAGATCACATAGATTTTTTCTTTTCAATCTATGTGTTTACTAAGTGTTAAACAGTTATAAAACAAGGATAATAATAGGACTAGAAAACTAAAGAGTGTCACAATGTTACAGAACGAATTATGTAAAGTTAATTTTTACACGTAACTCAACTGTTTAATTTTGTTGTACATAGTTTACATTCAATATTCCTTGATTTTGACTTCATAGTTCATAGTAAAACATTATCCAAATGCTACTCACCCGTCCATTGTTAGGTCTAAATACAGCAGTCGCACTACACCAGGCTTGTGTTTCCTCATCTACTTCAACCTAAAAAATCACATATGTTGAAAAACTTGTTTTTCAAATTTTATTGTTTTAATCTTTCATTTTTAAATGATATAGCACAGAGATGCGAGCTGATAGGTATCATGTTCCATGAGTGACATTTCAAAGTAATCATTCATCATGGCATTAATTTTCATAGTAGTCCAAGGTTTTGTAAAACTTAAACTGATTAATGTTGATTTATTAATAAAAAACTAATGTGCTTATTGAGGCTGAGAGACAGGTGAAATTTACAATAACCACATTTGTTACTCACACAGCCCAAAGCTTAACATTTTTACTACCAATAAAAGTAGCAAGCAGAACTAATTCTTAATTAATTATAATCTATTTTTTTTCAATAACCTGTTCACTTTTCTTGTTGGAAAAATTCCATGGAACTATTAGCCTCTTGAATTCTTCCAATAGGCAACAAGGACTGTACTGATTTGATTCAAATACAGTTATTTTTCCACAAGAGTCCTTTTACATTGAGCCTGTGATGGGTCTGCACACTGACTACTAAGTGTACACTGAACATTGGACAGGAATCTATCAGGCTTGGCCACTTGTTACAGTATGCTTGTACAATGTACGAGGCATGTTTTTTAAGTAAGTACCGTTTTTAAACTTCTCCGTTCCAGCGCTGCGATTGGCATTTTGGACATTTGCGCTGTATACGTGCATCTATTGGCAAGCCCTAGCCGGAAATTCGACAACAATCGGCTGTGTTTACATCCGGTATCGAGCATTCAAAATGATGCCGCAAATTGAGACTGCCGCCGACTGTGAAGTGAGCGCTGTAATTAGATTTTTATGTTCTAAAGGTGTGAAAGCCATTGAAATTTGTCAACAGATTAGTGAGGTGTATGGCGAGAACATTTATGAGTGACGGAATGGTACACAAGTGGGTAAGGGCATCTAAAGACGGCCCAACCAATGTTCATGATAAGCAACGCACTGAGTACTGGGGACAGTGACGCTGCCCAGTGCGTTAGTCATCATGAACGATAATGGGGCCGTCTTTAGATGCCCTTACCCACTTGTGTACCATTCCGTCACTCATAAATGTTCTCGCCATACACCTCACTAATCTGTTGACAAATTTCAATGGCTTTCACACCTTTAGAACATAAAAATCTAATTACAGCGCGCACTTCACAGTCGGCGGCAGTATCAATTTGCGGCACCATTTTGAATGCTCGATACCGGATATAAACACAGCCGATTGTTGTCGAATTTCCGGCTAGGGCTTGCCAATAGATGCACATATACAGCGCAAATGTCCAAAATGCCAATCGCAGCGCTGGAACGGAGAAGTTTAAAAACGGTACTTACTTAAAAAACATGCCTCGTAGCAGAGTAGGTTTGTGAATGAGACACCATATTCGTGAGCCCAATGTATTCTTTAGTTGATTGAGTTGATTTTTACATCACAATCTTTACAGCCAGGTGGTTCTAACATTCTCAGACAATGCCATTACCTCCTCGACCTCATCGTCCTGCGTGGCGTGTGTGTCCCGAGCCGCTTCTCTGTCTGTGTAGTTGGCTGCTTCCAGCAGTCTGGAGATGGCTTCCTGCGACCGTGAGACCTGCTCCACAGGCGTGATCGTCACTCCACTCTTGCCTGTAACATCAATTACTTTACTTTATCCGATATTTTGATACATTATAATTTTCAAAACACAAGACTTTTTAAAACTGAAAATATATAGGGGATTAGACGTTAGTTAGTTAAGATTTCATTTATGGTGATAATGTAGGTTTGTCATGGGATTAATACTAGGAATGCTGTAATTACCATTAAAGCTGCCGTTGTGGTGAGGCATATAAGGTAGTTCTGTCGCTCTTAGTGGACAGCTTTGTTTTCGCCGTCCGCTAGCAGTCCTAGCTTCTGAGCCCAGCCCAGATTGCTGCAAACAGAAAAAAATATTTTTGTAAAAATATGTGGGATAGAAACAATGAATTTTTTTTTAAATTAATTTAGGTGCAGAGAACATCTCTTACATCTCTAGAGTGTGAGGTTGAATTTTGTTGCAGCAAGAACCCAATTTGGGGTCCATGAATCTTTGACATCTTTAAAATCAATGGTGTACTGATTTTGCTGGGATATCGGAAGATTATTACGATAGTGCTGCAATCACGGATTAGTCATGATGAGTACAATTTCCACTCATAATTAGGTACAGTCTAACCTTAATATAACGAACCTCGATATAACAAATTCCTTGATATAACGAATTTTTTTTAATCCCCTAGAACTCTCCATAAGACACAATGTATATTTTACCTCTACATAACGAACAAACCATAACAACGACCTTGATTTAACGAATTTTTCGTGATTTCGGCTAAAATAAGACACCTCAATATAACGAATTTATCATTGTCAGAACCTCTACATTGCGAATTTAACCTCTGCATAACGAATTGTCTACGTCTTTCCCTCGATATAACAAATCCCCCACCCAATTATTGTTTTGGGAAAATCTGTTTCTTTATCAAATGAAATGGAAAGGTCACGTCATCGCTTGCGCTAACATTCGTCTGCTCCGTTTTACATCTTTGTCTGCTGTCGCTGCGTGCGCTATGTTGCAACTGAGAAGATTTCATTCACTGAGGACTGATGACGACGTAATGTTTAGTAAGCTGTGATTGGGCGATATGGGATAACTATGGGGAATTGTACAATTTTTGGATAAAGTGAAACCTAAGAAAGAATATAAAAACAAAACCAAAGAGAAAGAATAACAACATCGCTATTTTAACATTTCTTTTACGAGTATTTTTACTATCCTTAAGTTGGCTATGATTATACACTTTTATAATGACTTATCTAATAATTTATTGTTTTCAATACGATTTGTTTCAACTAGCATTAGCAACACCAATGCTATAGTTAATGATTATTATTGACATTCCTCTGTTGTGATAAATCAGTACTGTACTGTAAGTAGCCTACCGGCCTTATCGCGAGCAGTAGCTTACAAAACTTTCTACTGTTTTGTTTTGTTCTTTACATAATTTATGACTACGCAATACAGTGTTTGGCTAGATTTTAGGAGGGTTAGAACAAGCTGTGATTTTAAACTTACAGCTTTTAACCTATACCAAGGTGAATGCCATTGTCATGATTGCGCAATATTCAAGATCCCTCCCCTTTATTATGCCGGATAATTTAGGTTCTACTGTACAATGTAAACACTGTACTGTAAAGTATTGTAGCCTATGCTACTTTAATTGTACTGTATTTTAATGAGGTCAAATCCCGACCTATATTGATCGACGCTAGTTCTAAACCTCGACTTAGCGAAATTCCTGCAAACCTAACCTCTATATAACGAACCTCGTTTTAACGAAATCCTTGATATAACGAATATTCAGTTCGGTCCCTTCAGATTCGTTATACTGAGGTTGGACTGTACTACATAGAAAATCTTGATTTAATTTTTCAAGTCATATATGAAAATTGTCTGTAATATTATATGGCTTGGAATTTGTTTATAAATGTCAACATTAACTCACATTGTTGTAGTGGGACAGCAGGTTTGTTCGGTTGGCAAGAATGTCTTCTGACGAGTTGAACCTACCGCTGTGGGGAGTTCCGGACATGAGAGATCGTAACAGACTGTTTGCTTCACTGGAACAAGCATAGGAAAAAACCACAATTAGAATCCTCTTCATAATAGGTTTCATGGTCAAAGTAGAGGATATTCGGAGGAAATAATATCAGTGAGTGTTGTCGTTTTCCTGATTAAAAGAAACCTAGTGTTTTGGTCAATGTATGAACTTCATCCTAATCTTGATTCAAGGTGTTCAAAATTATAGTTTAGTACAGTATGTTAAGTTTACTTTGATATAAATTCCCTCTAACACTGATAACACTGGTTTTATGTTCTAACCTCTTAGGTTTGGGTGTGGGAGGGTCAAGTGAATGGCTACGGTCGTCTGAACGAGATCCATCGTCTGAGGCATAGCTTCCTGCGTCATCCCTCTCCTGCTTAACCTGTAACCAGTTGGTAGAAACTATTAACTTGGATTCCAAACATAAATATACACTTTCCCCACATATCAACTACCTTTGCTGACAAATTTGTATCAAAGTTCATCATTAAACAGAACTAACAAATTTTTTGACCATTGCAAATTCCAGTGGATCTTGAATTATTTGTTCAACTTCCATTACCAACTGAATTGGAATTAAAACTTAAAGACCAAATAATTCAAAGACAACCCTGTAGTTAACCATGCATAGGGGTCTCAATCCCGGGATCCCGGTCGATTTTTGATACCTAGAAATCCCGGGATTGGTGTCTTTTTATTCCGTTATTAACAGGATTGAAAAATCTACGTTTATATTTTTTTTTGTGAATTTGAGGAGTTTTACTTACGGAAAATAAATAAAAATACATCCAATAACACTTGAAACACATATACTGTTTATTTTTAGGTAGATAATTAATATATTAAACTAGCGGTGTGCCCGTTCTACGTACGGGGATCTTATATTGGTCAGTTGAAACCTTCCTATATAAAGAAAAGCAGTTGATTTGCATATTTTCAGATATGCTGGCCAAACTATTATATATAAACAAATACAGTATCTGACAGTTTCAAGTAAAAAAATTGCAATAGATCTATGAGGGGTACACTTCCATTTCTGTTGGCACAAATAACTAAATGAGTAATATTGATTATTCAATTGTTTAATTCAATATATCGTTTGGTTAGTTAAGTTAGGTTAACCTTACCTAACTAACCAAACGATATATAGTTAAAATACTATACCTCAACCTCGCCATTTAACATTCAGGTTGGAAATTTCACTATCAAAGGTGCTCTTGTCCTGACCGTACGGAACACTGAGTAATATGCGCTACCAACTTATGAATAATGAATAATTGTTTAGGCCTACAAACCCAAGAGATGGGCACTTGGTCTATTGGCTGTATGGTCCAGCGAGCAGCACATAGCGTTGATTTGCATATTTTTTTCAGATATGCTGGCCAAACTATTATATATAAGAAGACACATTGGAAAAGCGATTTGAGAATAATCCGTAAACCTCTGTTACAATCACCCACTGCAGTTGTCACTTTACACAACCACCATTGAAGTGCCGTCAATGAGTTGAAACTTTTTATGTAAGCTATTGGTAACGCTTATGTAAAAAATGCAAGTTTCCCAGCCATATACAACACTGATTCAAGGTCTTTTTCCCGGTTATCAAAACTCAAGAAAAATTTTATACACAAAGAATCTCTATTTTAATTTACGGTTACCCTACACATTATTGCACTTGCGGTTAATTAAATCCGTTATGTAAAGAAAAACGGTTTTAATCCAACTTGGTTTGGATTTGCTTTTGAAACGTCATCGAAAATGATTGCGGTATTTGTAAACAACATTCAATGTAAACATATCAGTGACAGATAGAGAAAAATAATCTTGATCCGAACAGCTGTTCACTATTTCATAGATGATTATGTAATAAACATTGGGAGAAAACTTGACAAAAAATCACGCAAAATTGGGTTTTTAAACGTCCGTAAGTTTATTTACAAAGTAGTGAAGCCATATTTTAATAGCTAAAGACACTCTCGCCAATCCAGTGAATGCATTAAAATGATTCAGATCTTGATAGGCACTCTCGTTTTTCAGGAGAAGGCAGCTTAAAATGGCTCTTGGGCCGTGACAAAAAGGAAAAACATCAGTTGTTACTATTGAGCAAAGATTATACTGAAGATTACTCGATACATTGTAGTCAAGGATAGCAGTGTGGAGTGTGGGATCTGTTTATGATGATAAGATTACTGTATCTGCAATCCTAAAATGCTATGGGAAGGGAGGAAAACAGGTCCGCGACGTAGGAAGTGGTGAAAGAAGTAGTCAAGGCGAGGTGTCCGGAGTGTGGGAACTGTTTATGACGATTAGATTAAGGTATACAATCCTAAAATGCTATGGGAAGGGAGGGAAACAGGTCCACGACGTAGAAGTGATGAAGGATGTAGTAAAGGCGAGCAGTCCGGAGTGTGGGAACTGTTTATGACGATTAGATTAAGGTATCTGCAATCCTAAAATGCTATGGGAAGGGAGGGAAACAGGTCTGTGTCGTAAGAAGTGATGAAGGAATTAGTAAAGGCGAACAGTCTGGAGTGTGGGAACAGTTTATGACGATTATATTAAGGTATATACAATCCTAAAATGCTATGGGAAGGGAGGGAAACAGGTCCGCGACGTAGGAAGTGGTGAAGGAAGTAGTAATGGCGAGTAGTACGGAGTGTGAGAACTGTTTATGACAATTAGATTAAGGTATCTACAATCTTAAAATGCCATGGGAAGGGAGGGAAACAGGTCCGAAACGTAGGAAGTGGTGAAGGAAGTAGTCAAGGCGAGCAGTCCGGAGTGTGGGAACTAATTATGAGGATTAGATTATGGTATCTGCAATCTTAAAATGCAATGGGAAACAGGTCCGCGACGTAGGAAGAGGGGAAGGAAGTAGTAAAGGCGAGCAGTGTGGAGGGTGGAAATTGGAAACCGTTTGTAATAGTAAGATTTATGTATCTGAAATTGAAATACTGAAATGCTATGAGAAGGGATGGAAACATCTCCACGACATAGGAAATGGTGAAAGAAGTAGTAAATGCTTGCAGTGCGGAGTGTGGGAAATGTTTGTGGCAATTAGAATAATGTATTTAAAATACTAAAATGCTATGGAAAGACATGAAAACAGGTCCACGACGTAGGAAGTGGTGTAGGAAGTAGTAAAGTTTAGCATCGCAAAGTGTGGGAACTGTTTGTAGCAGTTAGATCGATGTATCTGTAATACTTAAATGCTATGAGAAGGGAAGGAAATAGGTCCATGACGTAGGAAATGGTGAAGGAAGTAGTAAAGGCTGGCATCGCAGAGTGGGGGAATGATTTTCAACGAACAAAGCTCGGTCCCCAGGTACTTATGATTAAACTCAATAGGCGAACATATGTAAATAATATATATAATAATATATATGTTTCATGTTTTAAGACAAACTGGATTTACTTTCTGTAATTGTTATTATATTAGTTAGAAGTTAATTAGTAGGCCTAAGTTATTTTGAGTTTTATTTTGACATTAAACGCAAACAACGCTATTCATGTGGCATAACATAACATGGTAATCAGTAATTGAAATATTACTTTCTTAATAACATTGAAGCCCTAAAATTAACTATAGACACACCATTATTATTTCATTATTAAGATTGCTTATATTTAGGGTCTAAAACCTTAACTTCGTATTTGGTTATTAGTGTGGTGATTAAATCTTTTACAATCCTAAATTATGTTTTTCGTATACATGCTACTACATACGCAGATGGTTTAATGGTTTACAGTATCTAATATTGTTTTATCGCTGTCACTCAAAATAACATTTTTACGCTGCTACTCGTGATTCTTCCCATTTATCTTTTTATCTTTATATTTTGATTTATTTAGTTTCCATATTAGCGTGACATGTAGGCTACACGCGAGTGCGGATGCTCATGATTAAAATAAGTGTATTTATTATATTCTAGAGTGACATATCAAGATTTATACACTGTAAATAAGAAAGGCGGGTGATGAAAGTTCCGGCAAAATTGTGCAATGTAACACTGATAAGGCCAGTTTAAAACATTAAAGGACTTAACGAGGAGACTTCTAGCTCATTTAAAATGGCTAAAAAATTAAAATCATAAGAAGATATAATCCCGGGATGGATCCTGGGATCCCGGAATCGGCTGAGACGAATCCCAAAATCTCGGGATTGGATTGAAGACCCGGGATTGAATTGAAGGCCCAGGATTGAGACCCCTAACCATGCACTACCCCACAACAAAAAAGTGTTAAACAGCTGCTCCACTACTTAAGTCATAAGGCCTTACCCAAACTTGCAACTCCTCAGAATTGAGAAGATGATTTTTCCCACCAGTGAATGACCATCCAGAGTAACCCCAACACAACAGGCTTTTGTTAATATAGAATTATTTTTACAGTATAATTTAGTTGTTGCTTAGTGGTAGTGACCAAAAACCATTGACTAGACAGCATATTCTTCTTTCTCCTTCCACAACCAGAACACGCGACAAGAACAAAGACTGTACTACTGAAGAAATAGCCAATAGCTCCAAATATTTGGTGTTTTTTGCTATTTGTGCAATTTTGTCGATTTTGGTCAGTTATTCCTATTGAACTACTTCACCTATGCACTACTAAATCCTTAAAAACCTGTTCTAAAGCCACCTTTATTTACTAAAAACATCATAAATATAAGAACTTGCTATTTCAAATCCCCCCCACACAATTTGTAGCATAATCAAACATTCCTAAGTAAATAAAAGATTTTTGCTAACCTCAGGAGAGTTGTAGTTATCCTCCTCGGCAATCCTTAGCTGTCCTTCTTCATCAGAATCGTCAGAGTCTGAACAGCCATTCATTTCACTATCTGGCTCTTGCTCCTGATAAGAAAAAAAAAACAAATGTTCAGATGGCAACATCACAGTATGCATCACCACCGTCGATAGATGTCGTGACAATAATTTAATCAGGAATGAACCAAATTAAATAAGAGTTTATTTAAATATGTCTTTTGTAAGAATCCCAAAACACAATAACAATACCGTATTTGTTTACATCTGATAATAGTTCGGACTTCGGGCCCAAGGCAGCGATGTCATGGGTTCAGATCCTGGTCACTGCCACTAAAATTTATCAGTAGGCCCTACAGTTCACCTTTGTACTGTACCGGCTCACCCCTTCCTTTGCTGTAAACGATCCACGCACGGGCGCTTAGTCTATGTGGACCGGCAAATGCAAGGTTAAAAAAGGCCGCCAACCTCTTAAAAAAAAAAAAAAATAATAATCTAAATAAAACACATGTTTTATTTGCAGTCTTTATGAAACACAATACATTACAGAGTTTTCACAATACATTTATCACCTGTATTAAAACCACACAACTATTTCAGCATGCTATAAATATGTTAAAATGGTTGGTATCAAAAGTAGGCCTAAATGCAATTTAGAGTAAAATAGGAATTTCAGGGTTATCCGTAAATTAACGTCTCTGTCGAGCTCTGATTGCAGTCAAGCGAGCCAGGTCAAATCTGAGACCAAAGCCCTGTTCTTTACTTCATCCACTAACATTCTAGTGGGTTCCCAACCTAATGGGGCGATTGGTCTCACCATGGTGTTAAAAATCGTCGTGGAGGAAAATTATGAATCACAAGTATGAATCAGAATCTGTGATTAGGATTCTAAAGGAAGAGAATGGTGTTGGAGTTACAACATCATCCAATTTACTTATTACCTGTTTTATAAAATCATATGTTATATATCTAGTTTTGTTATGATAAAAAAGTAAATAAAAGTTATTATTGTGTGAGTGTTATTAAAGAATAGTTGATTCAATTTTAACAGATTATGAGACTCAATTAAGGGAGGAATATGGAAAGAAATATGAGTAATCACATTGAACTTTTGAACAGAAATAATTATGACACATGGAAAATGCAGATGGAAGCAATTTTAGTTAAAAATGATTTACTTGGGTATGTGTTAGGAACCATTAAAAGGCCTCTAGAAGAAGGTGAAAGAATGACTGCTTGGCTAATCACTGATGCAAAGGCAAAGGCAGATATAATCCTCTCTATCAGCCCAAGCGAATTAAAGCAAGTGAAAGGATGTAACACTTCAGCAGAGATATGGGAAAAATTAAAAGGCATTTATGATTCCAGTGGACCAGCAAGGAAAGCCTTTTTGTTAAAGAAGCTAATTTTGGCAAAACTGACACCTGATTATGATGTCAGAGATTACATGAATATGTTTTTTGATGTAGTGGACAAATTAAAAGGAATGGAAATCGATATTAATGAGGATCTTTTGACAATTATTCTTTTGTATTCCCTGTCAGATGAATTTGAAAACTTTAGAATTGCTATTGAAACTAGAGATGCACTACCTTCTCCTGAAACTTTAAAAATAAAAATTGTAGAAGAGTGGGAAGCGAGAAAAGAACATGGTAAGAAAGAGAGTAGTGAAGCTCTGCTAGGAAAATTTCAGAACAAAGTTAGATTTCAACCAGGAAGATTTTCAAAAGACTCTTATAGAAATAGAACGGAATCAGTTGATTTTCCGTTTCGATGCTTTATTTGTAAAGCGATCGGGCATAAAGCAAAATTTTGTCCCAAAGCAAATAAAGATCAACAAAACGTAGCGATTGCTAAACTAGAAGAAGTCGGACTTAATTCTTCTGTACAAGATGACAGTTATTTTGGAAACTTGTCAATGAAAGATATACAGTGGTGTTTGGACAGTGGATGCACTTCACATATGACTCATGTGAACAGTAAATTTACCAAGTACAAGCCTGCAAATGGAAGAAGTATATCTCTTGCCAACAATTCATCAACTGATGCAAGAGGGGTTGGAACAGTTAATATGAACATTTTAAATGGGAGTACAAATCTAAGCGTTAATTTGTATGACACTTTGTATGTACCAGAACTTCGAACAAACCTAATGTCTGTAGCTAAAATTACTGACCATGGGTATCAAGTTTTGTTTAAAAAAGATGCTGCTTTGATAATAGATCAGAATGGACAGACAAAGATCCATGCGAATAGGTTAAATGGACTTTATTACGTACAAGAGAGTAATGAAGAAATGAATATAAGCTGTGAAAAATCAAGTCTATTGTCTTGGCACCAACATTTTGGACACTTGAACTTTGGAGACTTGAAAAGAATAATCAATTTAAATATGGTTAAAGGTATTAAAGTGAACACAAAAGAGCTTATTCCACAATGTGAGGTGTGTATTCAAGGAAAATTTACAAAAAGACCCTTTCCTAAAAGTGAAAGAACATCTGAAGTGTTGGACATTATTCACTCTGACATCTGTGGACCAATGAAAACTGAGTCACATGGAAAATCTCAATATTTCATTACTTTTATTGATGATAGCTCAAGATGGGTTGAAGTTTACTTTTTGAAGAAGAAAAGTGATGCATTAGATTCTTTCAAAAAGTACAAAAACAAAAGGTGTTCCTCCTAACAGACTATCATTAATAGCTCAAGGAAATGTGATTGAACCAAAATCTTGGAAACAATTGGAGAAATTGTCTGAACCTGAGAAAAAACAATGGGTTGTAGCAGCTCAAGAAGAAATGGAAGCCTTATTAAAAAATGATACATGGGAACTTGTAGATTTACCTCCACAGAAAACAGCAGTTGGATGTAAATGGATATTTAAAGCAAAGTATGGAGATGACGGTATGGTTGAGCGCTATAAGGCACGTTTAGTAGCCAAAGGTTACTCACAGAAATATGGAGAAGACTATGATGAAATATTTGCTCCTGTTGTTAATTCAACAACAGTAAGAATTTTACTAACCATAGCAGCGACAAAAGATCTGACTGTGCATCATTTTGATGTAAAAACAGCCTTTTTAAATGGAAAGTTAGAAGAAGAAATATATATGCAACAGGCCGAAGGTTTTGTGAAATCTGATAATGAAGATAAAGTTTATAAATTGAAGAAATCAATTTATGGGCTAAAACAAGCAGCTCGGGCCTGGAATGAAACACTGAATACAACAATGATGAGCATGGGATTTGAAAAAAGCAATTCTGACCCTTGTTTATATACGAGTAATACTGATGGAAATTATACATATGTAGTGGTTCATGTTGATGACATTTTGTGTGTTGGATCAATTGAAAATGTCAAGAAAACATTTCAAAAACTGACACAATGCTTTGAAATGAAAGACTTAGGAATTGTTCACAACTACTTAGGAGTTGAAATTGATAAGATGGATGGAGACTTTTACATTCACCAAAGAAGAAAAATAAATAAAGTCATAATTGAACATGGACTAGAAAACAGTAAACCAGCAAGAACACCAATGGAAGTTGGATTTATCAACTCAACAGCTATGTCACCAGATCTGCCAGATAACAAAATGTACAGGAAGGCAATAGGATCACTTCTTTATCTTGCAGTGACATTAAGACCGGATATTTTGTCAGCTGTTGGAATTCTAGCTAGAAGAGTTGAAAAACCCACCCAAAGTGATTGGAATGCTGTAAAGAGAATAATAAGATATCTGAAAAGTACCATTGACAAGAAATTAAAATTAGGGGTGGAAAAAGAATTGAAATTGTCATGCTATGTAGATGCTGATTGGGGGGGTGATTTAGCAGATAGAAAATCAATCAGCGGAATGATGTACAAGTTAGGAAACAGCACTATAAACTGGATTAGCAAAAAACAGACCAATGTCACTCTTTCTTCAACAGAAGCTGAATTCATGGCCGCAAGCTTAGCCACTCAAGAAGTAGTATGGTTAAGACTATTGTTGAAAGATATGGGATTCCCCCAAGAAAATCCTACAGTAATATTTGAAGACAATCAGAGCTGTATCAAGTTTATTGAAAATGAAAAGATGAGTGCTAGAATAAAACATTTAGATATTCGAAAACATTACGTCCGAGAAATGATAAGTAAGAACGAAGTATTTCTGGAATACTGTCCAAGTGAAAATAATCAAGCGGACCTTTTAACAAAGCCACTTCTAGGGCAAGTGTTTAAAAGATCACTCTTTTACCTAGGACTTTACTAGGCATGATGTTGAGAGGGTGTGTTGGAGTTACAACATCATCCAATTTACTTATTACCTGTTTTATAAAATCATATGTTATATATCTAGTTTTGTTATGATAAAAAAGTAAATAAAAGTTATTATTGTGTGAGTGTTATTAAAGAATAGTTGATTCAATTTTAACAAATGGAACCCTTTTGATTACTTTTGACATCAGCGGAACCAAGGCACAGCCACCTCATGAGAAAAGTGTAGCCCATAGGCCTATTAATTTTTTTTCAACTTCAAAGATTTATAGAACTTTTAATCTTAAACAAACTTTTTATAATTTGTAATTCAAACTCTGGGGTCGATATAATTTGACAATTGTAGTTTTAAAATAAGTAGGCTACATACAGTAGAGTATCTTAAAATACCCCCGCCGCAGCAAACCTGCAGACTAAGCGAATTTCAACTTGATTATATTTTTACTAAAATATTTCCATAAATAAGACATATTTATTCCAAATTTAAATAACATTAGATTTAATGAGTGTTTAGGTTTGCTGCTACGGGGAAGGTAAATACCCCCGCCGCAGCAAACCTGCCGTCTAAGCGAATTTCCATTTTGCCGAATTGATTTTCAATTGATCTATTTAAATAACATTAGGTTTAACGAGTACCTAGGTTTGCTGCTACAAGGAAACTAATAAAGTAGTGTGATTTTAGTAAAATATTGATAGCTTACTATAAAATAAATAAATTTGCCAAGTTTGATCAAAATATATCCATAAACAAGCAAACTACAACATTTTACAATATTCTCCATAAGAATAACATGGGAATTTTAAATTTACAATTTTTTTAGTTTTCTCCGTAACCAATAACCGTACAAAAACACTTTGATATACTGAATTGTTTGTTTTTTTAAGCTCTTTAAGAAGGTTTGGAGAAAAAGTGGGAAATTTTGTGTTTTGAGGGTAAAAAGTGAGAAAAACCAATTTTTACCCCATAAAACCCCCCATAAAACCCTGTTCCCATGGTCCGATCATGCTGGATCGCGAACTCATTCAAGTTTATCCCGCCTTACACCTTCAAACCAAATTTCATCAAAATCGGATAAAAATTACTCAAGTTATCGTGTTCACGGACACATATATATATATATAAATCTATATATATATATACCTATATATATATATATACATATATAAAAATTTTAACGAATGGTGTTTTTGGCCTCTGGGGACATTAAAATGAAAAAGTAAATCGGTCCCGGGCCTAAGTCTTACCATGAGACCTACGGTAATAGCTACTTCCCTATAGGGAAATTCACTAAAAGTGTTTTTTGACCATACGTCAATAGTATAGGATGAAATAAATTTGCCAAATTTTATCAATATATAGGCCTATCCATAAACAAGTAAACTACAACAGTTTTCATTTACTCCATAAGAATAACATGGGAATTTTAAATTACACTATTTTTTAATTTTCTCCATGACTGTTAGGCATACAACAGCGCTTCAATATATTAAATTATTTCTTTTTTTAAGCTCTACTAAACGGTTTAAAAAGAAATTCCAACATTTTTGTTTGGTCAAAAATGGGAAAACCCCATTTTTACTCCATAAAACCCCCCCCATAAACCCCTGTTCCCATGTTCCATTTATGCTGGTTCGCGAACTCGTTCGAATAAACGTATGTTTACACATCTGTACCAAATTTCATCAAAATCGGATGATTTTTGCTCGAGTTATTGTGCTAACAGACACATAGCCTATATATGAATTAGCTTATTCCTTACATGGGAAATTTGCTAAAAACACTGTGATGCATATAACTTATATCTTAAAATAATTTTTGCTGCATATAACTTAAGTGTGAATAAACAGAAAAGATAATGAGGGTCTACCTACAAATTGAAACATATATTAAACTTACTTTTTCCACTTCTTTATTTGAAGGATCTTGGTTGTTATGTACAGGTTCAGGACTTGAGTTTGTATTGCTTTGAAGATTTGTCATTACTTCGCTTCCTTCTACGTTCTCTTTCTTCACTTCCCGAGATGAAAGCGCAGCTATACTGTTTAAGTACTCCTGAAAGTAAAATGACACATTCATCCTGAGATTCTAGTATTGTTTTGTATTAGGCCTACCTAATTAGGCTTTTTGATAATATTATCTGATGTCCCATAAACTATTATAGCCTACAGTGAACTATTACAATATGATTACCATTCACAATACATAATATCATTATATGGCGAATAGGATACTTATCAAACGTGGTGTAAGATCACCTATATAAAGAAACTAGAATGGTCCAACTAAGTGATATACATACTGGATATCACAGGCATGAGAAGATAGAACTTTTAGAACTCGTAATTTAATAGTATGACAGGTACAAGAGAGATCTCAACTATTGGGTAGCATAACATAATTTAAACAAATAGAATATAGTGAGTTGATTGACTAAAGACAATTTATGACCGTGAGCTTAATATTAAATCATTAATCAATATTAGGAAATCACAACAACAAAAACAAATATGGACACAAATTAAATAACTGTGGACAATGTTTACCTGTGCATTATGTGACATGTAGTCAGCATTTGATAAATATCGTTTGAGAATAATTTCTGATTTACGAGATGTCTCGCGGAACTCATATAACATATCTAGCTTGTAAGTGCAGTGTTCACAAATGTTTCTTGGCAGCATGTCTTGTTCAGTGACCTGCAAAAAAAGCAAAGATAAAATATTGATTTGCTAAATGAAGAGGTATTGTAGAAAAACTTGACTGGAACACAGCAGGCCTAGATTTAATTGCAACCTATAGTCACCAAACCAATTTACCAAATTTAAGGTTTAATACATTTTTTGGCCTCAAAATGTCACTGTAAACAATTTCACTTTTATTGAACAGCAATTTATGTTTCAGGATCAACAACTATGAAACCATATTTAATTGACTAGGCCTATCTTGGGACAAAGAAAACTATGCCCCACTGCAGCAAACTTATGAATTTCCATTTACCTAATCAAAGTATCACTAAAACATTTCCCTAACTCCTTAACCGCGACACACGCGTTATTCCGTGGTAGTATTCTGTACATGTTATTGCGACGCACGGAATATCACGTGCAACAACTTTGTGGCGTTAACCGCGACGCCCGAGTTTAGACGGTTTTGACGTTCTCAGCTGATTTATTTCATTGATACGAGTCTTCTGCTAATTTCTTTACATGGTACATTGACCCTGAGAATTGACAGACCATTTAGTGCTGCACTCAAGTGTATCTTTCTGGAACTACGTCTACGCCACATGTTCTGCAGTATAAAAGGTTGCGCCTGGTAGTTGTTTTTGTCGTGTTGAGATGATAACGTCGCTTCTTCGTGTTGATAAAACAAAACCATTGTATATATGTCTGTATGGATATATATATTTATATATGTGTGTGTGTATATAACAGAAACCGAGATATATGGCGCAGAAAGCCTAGGCTTGTCGGGTGTGATTGTTACAGCAATGTAGTCTATTAGGCGCACCCAAAAGTGGTATAAAAAACCATTTTTACATTTTGTGGATCTAGCAATACTGAATTCCCATGAAAGTTATCTATGTGTAAGTGGCAAGAAACCAACACTGGCAGAATTTAATTTAGAGCTAGTTCGCCAAATTTTAGAGGAAAACATTGCAGCTCAGATCCAAAAAGTCAAAAAACCGGTGGTTGGCCTTACCCCGGTCATACACTACTGAGATTAACACAGTGTCATTTTCCATCATGTTTTCCTTCAATGGAAAAAAGAGTTTCCCTCACGTCAATGCTATGTTTGCCATCATGTCTATTGTCTATTGTATTTTGTCACATTTCGCGACGTGGCCAGGTGGGAGTCGCGATATCAGTGCCAGGACTGCGTGGTTTCCTTGTGCGTAGTGCCGTGCTTCAAAGAGTTATCATACTCTGAAGAATTTTTTAAAATAGTAAAAAGTAACCTTTTTACATAATATATATATACTAGTGTACATGTTGCTCGAAATCGAGCAATTGCAAAGAAGTGCAGGAGTTATTTATATACTAATAACTTGTTTCAAAACTAATAACAGTCATAATTTCAAAGCAAATGTAACCATTGTGAATTTTCTCATGCTTCCATGGAGACCAATTATCTATACTTATTTTTAATACGCAAGCAGGATTTTTGTGACAATTACTCCTCCGAAACTACTGAACCGATTGACATGTTTTTGGTGTCATTGGAAAGAGCGTAACGTGAAGTTGTGCAGGAAACTTTCTTTTTAGGGAAATAATTAGAGGGTGAGGCCATGGGGCCCTTTAAAGTTTTGTATTTCTCCATAAGATTAACATGGGAAACAAACATTGTTTTGACACTCCAGCTGTTGTCAGAAATTAAATATTAATAATTGGTCTCCATGGAAGCATGAGAAAATTCACAATGGTTACATTTGCTTTGAAATTATGACTGTTTAATTTCTGACAACAGCTGGAGTGTCAAAACAATGTTTGTTTCCCATGTTAATCTTATGGAGAAATACAAAACTTTAAAGGGCCCCATGGCCTCACCCTCTAATTATTTCCCTAAAAAGAAAGTTTCCTGCACAACTTCACGTTACGCTCTTTCCAATGACACCAAAAACATGTCAATCGGTTCAGTAGTTTCGGAGGAGTAATTGTCACAAAAATCCTGCTTGCGTATTAAAAATAAGTATAGATACATTTCAATATTTACTTCTTGAAACATCCACTCAGTTTACCAGACAACAAAATAAAACCCGTAAGTAAATATGGTCAATGCCAATATCTTGTTATTTAATTATTAGTTTATTATTATTAATTATTTATATGACTATTTATATAGACTATTACAATGTTTATTATAATATTTATCATAGTTTATTGCTTTAAAATGCGTTTAATACTAGGTTTCCTCAGAATGTTAAAAATCAACAAAAAATTGCGAAAAAACCCTGTCCTGGGCCATTGGTGAGCGTAATTAAACCCCGCGCCACTGATCGTGTAGAAACCGCGGTTAGGCTGCGGTTAAGGGGTTAAAAGATTTAAGTTTTTACTACATTCTAAGTCTTCTGGTAGGAGCTGTGTCGAATTGGTATTAGTCTAATCTGTTAGCATCATTAACAACAATATTTACCAGTTTTCCTTACTTTAATACTTTACTTTAGACTTTACTTTATACTTTACTTTATACTTTACTCCTATACTCTTATATGGCATTGTCAGTTGTAAAGCTGAAACTGGTTAAACTGAAGTGGTTTTAATGGTTAATCATGCAAAAATGAGCCCAAGTATTGATTTATGACTGTAAGACTCAGTCTTGTACTGACCCCTTCAGACTAGACACATTGTCTATTTCAAAAAGTTATGAACTCTGAACTATTCTAAACTAATTGATTGTTTAAGAGGACCAAGATAACGCAGCATAAGTGCCATACACATTTGTACGTCAAATCCAAACAGATCTACACAGGCAGAAGTTCAGAAGGCCAACTCTAATTCACTCATAGTATAGCTAGGCAGAAGAGTGGTTATAGTGCTTGTCTGGAAATCAACATGTTACAAAATTAAGAAGCTTTTTAATCCTTTTGAACTGGGGCTGTCCTTGATAATTGGGCTCTTCTTAATAATTGGTCTCGCTAATCTAAAGCAGTAACAAAGGTGCAAGAAGCATTTTAGCCAATTTCCCATACAGGGAAAAAGCTGTAACCCGTTTATTATATTTTTATAAATTTCCATTTATATCCGGCTGGATTTCCAATAAAATATTCCCTTAAAATTGTCAGACTTCCAACTAGCAGTTACCCGGCGCATGTTGCTGCGCTACCTAACAACTATTATTTTATATAGTAATTTGTTCTTTACGATTCATAAAAATGTATAGGTCTACTCAAAACAAAATTTAATATTTATTTTACTTAATTGAATGTGGATAAACAATGTTTTTTTTTCTTTAGGTGTTTAAGTTTTTAGGCGTATCTACCACCATGTGAGCATGCCACATACAGCTGTCCGTGTGAAAAGCATGGATTTTCTCAATTTAAACCGGCGATAGTCAGGGACTGCCCTTGTGCCTTTTAATGGTGATTGCGAAAGCAAGACGCAAGGGAAATTTGTAGTCACTTGAATTCAAAGGGTAATTCGGATGAATCAAATCAAATCAAATCAAATCAAACTTTATTGTCACAAAACGTTTATACATAGCTTAGCTACAAAACAGGTGACATTGTCAAAATTATAATAAATACATTGTTGATCATCTTACATTCTATAGTTAAAAAATTAAATACAATAAAAATAAAAATATGAAATAATCTGTATTCTTGGGATTAAGACTATTTCTCCTTTAAACTTACCACTGACAATTGTTGCTTTGATCGTTTAGGTGTCATTTTTAAAATCGTCAGTCTGATTCCGTTACACAGTTTAGGTAGATTTAAGTTTCGCATTAGTATTATTGGGGTTCCTTCTTTTAATGACAGTAATGTGGTGGGTTAATGACAAATTGGGAGACAGTTAAATACCTGAGATAGCATGCACGATTATTATTCCCTTAAGTTAATAATTTATGTTAGATTCTGTGGGTATAGAACAAAGATAAAAATTTAAGGCATTGACATTCCTTTTATTGTTTATAATACTTTGATAAAAGTTCTTACTTTTTATGTTTACATATTAATTTAATAGTGGAAAATTTAAACATTGTTGAGTGTACAGGTGTGCTGTGATTGGGGTAGCCTACCATTAAAGTAAAATTGTTTTCTATGCTGCATTCTGTGGAAACAGTGTGGCACTGTTTCAAATCATGACTACGGTAATACAGAATGTTTTGACTATTCAAACCTACAAAACAGTTGGTGAAAGTAAACATAGGTATGTTTTTTAATTATATTTATTTGTAAACATTGTAGTTCCAAAAGTCTGACATTGGAACCCTTAAAACCCTCCGAGGCGGAGCCCTTTTGACTGATCTGCGACCAAACAACACACAAACCATCCTTGACCTTGAATAATGGTTAATAATGCCTAAAAGTTTCATTACAATCTGTCGAACGGTTTCGGAGTCCATAGGGTACAGTATATACACCATGTACATAGGCCTACTTCATATTTTATTTATAGGCCCTATAGATTGTAAAAACATTAATTTTTAAGAGTAGGCCTACTTAGGTTTGCTACAACAGGGAAGGTTTTAATGAGTAGGCCTACCTATTTTTTATTGAAATGTTGATAGTAGCTTAGTAGGAAAATTGTGTTGACCTAAACAATATTGTCAAATGTTATTTAAATATTTATCTTTAACAAGCAAACTACAACAGTTTATTTATTCTCTACAAAAGAATAACATAGAAACTTTTAATTTACTTAAATTTTTGAATTTTCTCCGTAACCATTAGGTACCTATAGGCTACAACAATTCTACTATTTTAAGCAATTTTATATTTTAGGATTAAAATGGAAAAACCTAACTTTTAACCCATAAAAACCCGTTCCCATACTTAGCCCAATCATGCTGGTTCGCAAATTCGTTAGAATAAATGTAGGTTTAGGGCCTACACCAAAAATTATCAAATTCTGATCACTTTTGATAGAGTCATTGCGCTAACGGAAATATAAATAAATATATAATTATATAGAATGGCTATAAATATAAATTTGAACGGAGGTTTTTGGGCTCTGGGGGCCACAAAATGAAAAAGTAAATCGGTCCCGTGTCCAGGTCTTACCTGAGACCTAGAGTAATAGCTTAGCCTATTATCCATGGGAAATTTGCTAAAAAAGAGAAAAATGTTTGCCCTCCTTCTATATACTGTAGTGTACTTTACCGGTACTGTGGGTACTGTAGTGCATTAAAAACAAGCAAAACTGGTAGGCCTATTGTGTGCAATTCATATTACAGTAAACTTAAATGTCAATATCTTCCACCGAAGCGTGACACTTGACACTGTTAACTTACAAGGTGGGTTGGTGGGGTGGCTCCCCCCGACTAAGCCACACATTGGTGGGCCTTCGCATATTATGGATGGCCTTGATATGATTCTAGCCAGCAATTTTGAAAGACCACGGTGCTACACTTCGCCTTAGTCAACTGAGCTACCGTGTCACCATCGGGCAGCTGCCCCGGGTGTGAGCTGAACTAGAATAAGGATGTGCGACACTAGCACTCACTGGTAAGATTCAATAAACTACTTTAGTCCCAGTGAGTTAGCAGTAGGCCTACGGCTAACTCGCCACGAGATGCCATCTTAAAAACCCTATTGAAGTGTTAAAATATCCAATCAAGTGTGTGTTGCTGTCTCAAATAATTGACAAATGAACTGTCAAGGTAAATTCATAGCTGCACTTATAATATCACTTAGCCTATAAGTGCAAGTGAGTTGGTCAGTCAGAAAAGGCTTAACTTACTTTCGACTTGCATAACCAAAGTTAACTTAAGTCAATAAATTAGGCCAAATTGAGAAACTAAGTAGACATCTCATAATCTCATTGTAAATTTTGAAGCTCTTTTTCGTAGTAGGCCTACATGTCTGGTGACACTGATCACTAGTGTCGACAAAATGTTGTTTCTACCATTTTGGAGATAATTTCATGATTTGTGCTTTAAGATACCGTACTGTTTGGTTAAATACAACAAGGGGACGAGTTGTTGTTTATGATTAAGTTAGATTGTTTTAATTTGGCTAAAGGAGGTTTTAAATGACTGAAGTTATTTAAGAAACAAATTAGGCCTATATTACAAAACACAACCTGTACAGTGCACCGGGTGGAACCAACAATAAAATTGTCTTCAGCTGATCCATAAGGATGAGAAATATAAGTTACTAAGAGATGAAGAAGTAGGCCTTCAACCTAACAAAGAGGTCATTAATTGTGGTGAGTAGGCATATGATTTATGGTAGGCCTATAGGTACCGGTAACCTTAATTATACATTATTATTATTTTTTTTCACCTTGGAAATTTATAGTTAGCTGACAAGTCATTTTATAAATAACTAACTTATAACCTAGTTATTTACTTAATTTAAGTTAGCCTACCTACCGTATTCATTTTTTATAATGACGCATACATATTTGCCTTGATATACTTAAGCTACCACTAAATTAAGTTATAAAACAGTATTTACTGTACCTAATGAGATTTTTTGCTGAGTAGGCATACAACCTATAAATGAAGAGGTCATAAATTGTGGTTGAGTTTTATCCCTACACAAATAAATTAATAATTGGCTAATCTTTATTTCTCCCTGAAACAAGTGAAATACAACATAGGCCTATAGAGGGTATAGGCCTAACCTTGTTAATTTTTTTTCAACTGCAGCAAAATGGGTTGATTTTTTTACAAAAATAACAGGCAGTTCCAAGGTTACTGTTGGGACCATTAACTTAGTCAGTGTGCACGGCTCAGACCCCCCACCTTACTGACAGTGTTTCCATTCGCGGGATTATTATCCCGAAAACGGGATTTTTAGACCATGAGCGGGATTAAAACGGGATGCGGGATAAAACGGGATTTTCGGCTTGACGAATGTTTTTATTTTTTTTCTACTCAATTTTAGAGAAAAATTAACTCAAATTGTTTAAATACTGTAGCAAAATATAATAGTGATGTTTAAACAACTAATAAAAATGATACGTAAAGATTAATACAAGGTATTGTACCAAAAAAAATTATGCGGGATAAACGGGATTTTTCACGAATTTAAAAGCGGGATAAAACGGGATTTCTCGACCCAGTAAGCGGGATTAATTTTTTGGTTGTGTGGAAACACTGCTTACTGAGTATATCCACCCTAATCTCCTACCGTGCCATATCCAGCCGTGCACACAGACTAATGGTCCCAACTTAGTTACTGTGCGTAGGCTACTTAATCAGAATGTTAAATATAAGAACCAGATGAGTAGGCCTAGGCCTCTTAGCTTCTTATAAAAGTTCTAAAAGCCCTAGGCCTAATTCACACCGCCTAAGAAATGGACGTAGACTTAAGTTTTACCACATCATAGAACTGCAAATATTTTTTAATCACACGGCCTAATCATTTTTATTCTTAAGTTCTTTAAGATTAATTTTCCATAGGATTGATTTTTTGTTTACTCTACCAAAATTGTATGTAGGCTACAATTTATGACAGCTAGGTCACTTTAATATGCCATCCAGCCCATGTTCTATAACTTAGGCCAAGTTACTTGACCTTTCCCTCTCTAACTCAGATAATAGAGGAATTTGTATTTCTAAATCAATAGTGTTGGCACATCTAAATATAAGAAACATTACTTAATAACCCACAAGATAAAGACTATCAGCATGAGTCAAGTTCAAGCCTCATGGCAAATGACATCATATCTACCAGTCCCTAACCTATATTAGATAGAGTGAAAGGTTAGGAGTGTCCCTTATCAATTGTAAATAAGATGAATTAAAATATTTTATCAATGATATATATTAAATATAATAGATAATACAACGCCTAGTTGCTAGTAAACGATTTGACCACTATTTTAAGTTCATTGCCATTACACGTTCTCAATATCACAATGGTTCCGGGGAAGAAAATGGCCTGAGATGGCATTTCCTGAGGAACAAAGAGAGCCTGCAAAGCCTACAGTAATAACAACAAATAATTTAATTTTAAACAAATACAAAATAAAAGTTAGCCTACACAAAGGAATATGATTTTGGAAAGTTCAGTGGCCTTGGCCTACGCTACATGCAGAGAAATTCTTATCACCTCATCTTATCTCGGGATCTTTCAAACGAGGACAAGGTGTTGATAATGGTATTTAAACAACATCTAAGGTCATATCCTATCATAAAGTATTTTAGGAAAAGGTAAAACGCTGAAAACATCTAAATTACCTACCAAAATAGACAGACACGTCATTATTTTCAGTGGATAGTTGCGTTGGGTTCCTTCATCATCGAAAATAGACAACTTCATGCCACTGCACGATAAACAAAGGCGACAAAGTTCGTAAAACTTAGGCGGGACGTTAGACATTATGACACACACAAATTAGCACTAAACAACACAACACAAAAATTACGACACAAACAAAATTGCCCATCTAAACTAGTGGTTCTCTAACGCCATGATAACGCTTAACAATCTCGGAAAGTTTTTGTTTCTATCACAGTTCATTGTCGGATACGAGACTACCCCCTCTCCTGCACACCTCCTGTAATCTACACATTCCACCTCCACTCCTGGCGTTCTCCATAGAGGTATAAAGGTGCAACTTTACTATCTACCTAACACCATAGAGGTTAAACAGCTCCACTGCACATTCTGTGAACATAATATATTTGAGTATAATAAGTCATTTACAGCAGGTAAAGCTATTTTATATTTTCCAACTACAATAAAATCATGTTTTCTCTAATACTGCAGCATTAATTATCACCTGCAGCCATTATATTGCAAAAATTAATACAAATTAGATATCTTATTTTAGATGTATATAAAAGACAGTGTTATCGGTGTTATTGGCTTTATTAATTTTAGTTTATCAAGATAATTTACATTTAAGTTTCATCTATTATTTAGTTTTAAACATTTTGAAATAATAATTTTAATGAGTTATATATAAATCTAAATTATTACTAACTGTGGCAGTGATAAAAAGATAAAAACATGGATTCGATTCTCACGGAATCGTCACAAATAAACAACAAAAACAAGCACGGCTTATCGACCTTTGTCCACTGGTCCATAACAGGTTTTCCTCCGTCCATCGACCCTGAGTCTCATTGAATGATGTTCTGTTCTGATATGGCGGGTGATAAAACTAACTATACCAAATATCAAACCTATAAAACGTATAATCTTTTTAAATATATTTTTATTCTTTTCTTATCAGGTGTTTTAAACATATATTTACACTCTCGAAAGAAAAGAAGTAATGTGTGAGGCTTGTTTTGACTCTGGTAGTAGTACAAACAGCACTTATCTGCTAGATAGCTCTTGAGGCGGGAGATTTAAAAGACAAACACCCGGTAAATTTGAGTTAATATTTAGATAGAAATTATCAAAATAACATTCCCACATGTCCCATATTAGGCACTGTAGGTGTGTGCTTAGAGTTCCAAAATCGGTGGAAACTTTAGGATATCTATAATGTACAATAATTATATTATTTACCGGACGCTAATGATGATCCAAATGTCCAGAAACGCATATCTATAAAATAACTAGAGGTCGTACTACAGTAGTCGAAAACTCGACCAAAAATTTCTAATGTACAGACTTTTCTCTATTTTCACCCCACGCTGTAAATAAAACATGTGATTGGAATTCCTTCCATTTATTTTTATTTTCTGTTTATATTTCGTTGTTATTTCGTCACCAGCATGGCAAAGTCCAATGTTATTTTCGTTAATTCATTTGTTGTGCTTATTTTTAAAACGTTTTTATTAGCTCGCTTTCTTGTCCGGTACAAATTTTGCAATTGATTTTATACTAAGTTCCCGATGAGCCAGAGACTTGAAACTTGAAACATAGCTCACAAATGGATGACAATGCAATATTATATCATTTAATTTTCATATTATTTCCGTTGGGCTGCGCCCCATGGGCTTGTTTTTATTAACTCGCTTTCTTGCAAATTGTGATACTTCCCGATGATCTACAGACTTGAAACTTGAAACATAGCTCACAAATGGATGTCAATGCAATATTATATCATTTAATTTTTATATTTCCCTTGGGCTACACCCCATGGGCTTGTTTTTATTAGCTCGCTATTCGCTTCCCTACAAATTTTGATATAAATCTTAAACGAAGTTCCCGACGAGCTAGAGACTTGAAATTTGAAACATAGCTCACAAATGGATGACATTGCAATATTATATCATTTAATTTTCATATTTCCCACGGGATACGTCCCATGGGTTTCCACATTTTCCTTGTTTACATTTTGAAAGAATGTAAACATAATAATTAATTTAAGTCAGCTGTAAATACTTAAATTTGACATTTCGAAGAGCAGAGGTTAAGCGGTACATGTTCTGCTCCAGATATATTTAAAAAAATATAAAACAAGCATTTTAAAGTAAAGATAAAACATCTGATTAGAGATAATAAGGTTTTGGTTTGTTGTATTAATAGTCAAAGGTTATATATCAACAGGCCATATAAAATATATTTAACATATTTACACATTAAAGACTAAAAATTTGAAAATAATTTATAAATAAAAAACTTGTTAAAAACAAAACGTTTTTAAACGCACTATAAAGTAGAAAATAATTTATAAATATGTTGAGAGTTTAAATACTTGCAATATTTAAAACGAAAAACGTTGGGTGCATGCAATTAATTGATAATAATACATTAGTTTAATAGGTGAAGGTAATTGTAAATTATCTATTGCACGCACCCCACGTTTTTCGTTTTAAATTTTGCAAGTATTTATTTATAAATTATTTTCTACTTTTTAGTGCGTTTAAAAACGTTTTGTTTTAAAAAAGTTTTTTATTTATAAATTATTTAACTTATTTTAATTTATAAAGGGATTTTGCACACCTGCAGGAAAATATCATTCTAACAGTATGCGTAGATTTTCCCTACGATGCACACGAGCAGAGACAAAAGGTTTTAAAGGAACATGCTCGCATATTATATTAATATATAGACTACAGGTCGTCCAGTGGTCTAAAACTCGACCAAAAATATGTATTGTGCAAACTTCTAAAAGTAAAGTATTAAAAAAGTATTATCTTGTTTACCCCACGCTGTAAAAGAAAACGTGTACGGTATTTGGAATTTCTTTAATTTGTTTTGATTTTCTGTTCATATTTTGTTGTTATTTCGTCACCAGAATGGCAACCCATAAGGCCCACGTTATTTTTTTTTTAATTTTTAAATTCATTTTTATGCTTATTTTTTAGAGCCTATTTTAATTTATTAAGGTATTCTGCACATCTACATGCAAATACAGTAGGTTCTAACAGTAGGTTTACCCTACGATGCACACAAGCTGAGAAAAAAGGTTTTAAAGAAACATGCTTGCCCATATAGATTGTCATTGAAAGAAAAGCTAAATGATACAGGCAAGAAAACATTTAATCATCCAAAGAGGTATTTTATATCTTCAATATTCAAAGTCCATGGGTCAAAACATCAACTTTAATAATTCGTTCCTAGATTATGAACGTTCATAATTAAAAGAAGTTCAAGAGTTTGAGAAGAATCGGTCGATATTGTTTAGGGATATCTTTTAATAAAAATCTATGCGAGCTATTTTATTTACTTATTACTATAACTGCAGTAATTTGTTATACATGACATACACTATGTAATTGTATTTACATTGTAAAAAACTTGTGAAAACATTATTGTAATTGGAGATGCATTATTGTCAAAGATAAAAAAAATAATGTATGGTCTTTCAGGATTTTTATATTCTCTTGACTACTCGATACTATATAATCTCAATAACCCATTATTTGTTGAACAAAGTATAGTCATATTTACACGTATTGGTTACGTTAAAATAATATAAAATGTTTAGCTTACAATCAAATAATCAACTAAAACATTAACTTAACTAATCGCTTTGTTTCTATTTATTAATAAGTTGTTATTCTATTTTTAGTAATTCCTCGTCTGTCTTCAAAAAGCCCTCAGGACGCTATTAAATTTCAGATTCCCAAACGTGAAAACATGTATTGTACTAATAATTTATTGTTATGGGAAATGACCACAATAGTATTTCAAATCACTAAATCAACTTCAAATTTTCAAATCAAGATTAAATTACGTTCCACAATTTTTCAGACATATCTCTTTCTGGTAATTTTGAGACACAAAAATATTGAACTCCAAATCATTATACACAATTTATTTACGTGTATTATTTTTATGCTAGAAAACCGACGATGTATCAATAAAGTAGCATAAATAAAAATCCCTGATCTACATCGCTATCAGTCAGTACGTGTATCAGTTTGGAGTTGGAGCGGTCGTTGTCGTCAGGTCGGGTGTTGAACACCTGTTGTTTTGTGTTCTCTGTTCTCTTTGTTGGGGTTCCAGGTAGAGGGGTAGATGCTTGCACTTTCTTGCTCCCTCTCCTCGACGCCGTGACCCTTAATTCCCTCCCCCCTCATACATAGGTCTTTATCTTTCCAAGGCCAAAACTGTAAAACTTGGAACTAGAATTGATCTAGTGTGGTAGCTCATGCAACTGTGAGATTTCAGCATTTCAGGATCTCTTCAGTCCTGCTCCTAACCTCAACACCAGTGGCATTTTGGATGTGTTGGACACTCTAAATTTTGGTGTATTACTCAATCAAATTGTTTCTTAATAGTAAAAGGATACCCTTTTATTCTTAACGGTTTTGAAGCAACAATCTCAGGTCCAACAAAAACATCAACCCCAAAAAACTTGCAGTACCTACTATATTTTGGCCAAACCAACGGACAAAGACAAAAAATAGGATAATATAAATTCGTGTTCAATGTTCATCCACATTTCTGTTGTTCAATGGTTCCTCTAAAAACACAAATATAAAAATTATTACCAGTTAATCCAATATAAACCCTTAGATTTTAGTCTCAATGCTACACCTGGTAGACCTACAGTATTATGCAATTGCAGTAGAATTTGGTGAATTGGTGATAACTCAATAAACTGAACCTTTTTGTACTTATCAAGAATCCCCACAGAACAATTCACTTTCTTACTTAGGGATATGTCAAGACCATCAAGTCTTCTATCAATTTACTATTTCAAAACTAAAATATTTTATCTGGTCTGAAATAGGTAAAACACAATTTCCCCCAAAAGTGACATAGGACATAATATTTAATTGTAATAAGTTTTAGTTTTCTAGGCTCTGAGAAAAAGAGGTTAGAAGCTTTATTCAAATTAATATAAAATGCTCGTTTCCAAAAATTGCTATGATTAATTAATTTAGACCTTAAACTCTAAATAGGGGGGCAACATAACATATATTATAATGATCTTTTTTGACACAAATTATAATTAAACTATGCAAGCTGCAACTGTTGTAAGAGCAACCTTGCAAGTTGGGAAACTGTTATCTCACAAAGCTCATCTCATAAAGAAACTAACTACTGTATGCAAAAAAGAGCTATTTGTTGGCAAAGTCATGCAAGGTGGTCAGGTGCAAGGTCAGTCAAGATTAAAAAATATGGAAAATGTT